GAAGGGGGACTTCCTGAGGGCCAGTTTGCTTACGAGTTTGCTTATCCCGGGAACAAAGAAGGAGGACTTCCTGGAGGGCCAGTTTGCTTATCCCGGGGACAAAGAAGGAGGACTTCCTGGAGGGCCAGTTTGCTTATCCCGGGGACAAAGAAGGAGGACTTCCTGGAGGGCCAGTTTGCTTATCCCGGGGACAAAGAAGGAGGGGGACAAAGAAGGAGGACTTCCTGGACGGCCAGTTTGCTTATCCCGGGAACAAAGCAGGAGGACTTCCTGGAGGGCAGTTTGCTTATCCGGGACAAAGAAGGAGGACTTCCTGGAGGGCCAATTTGCTTATCCCGAGGACAAAGAAGGAGGACTTCCTGGAGGGCCAGTTTGCTTATCCCGGGGACAAAGAAGGAGGACTTCGTGGAGGGCCAATTTGGTTATCCCGGGGACAAAGAAGCAAGACTTCCTGGAGGGCCAGATTGCTTATCCTGGGTTCAAAGAAGAAGAATTCCTGGAAGGCCAATTTGCTTATCCCGGGGACAAAGAAGGAGGACTTCCTGGAGGGTCAGTTTGCTTATTCCCAGGGACAAAGAAGAAGGACTTCCTGGAGGGCAAGTTTGCTTCTCCCGGGGATACAGAAGGAGGACTTCCTGAAGGGCCAGTTTGCTTATCCCGGGGACAAAGAAGGAGGACTTCCTGGAGAGCCAATTCACTTATTCCGGACAAAGAAGGAGGACTTCCTGCAGGGCCAGTTTGCTCATCCCGAGGACAAAGAAGGAGGACTTCCTGGAGGGCCAGTTTGCTTATCTCGGGGACAAAGAAGGAGGACTTCCTGGAAGGCCAATTTGCTTATCCCGGGGACAAAGAAGGAAGAATTCCTGGAGGGCCAGATTGCTTATCCCGGGTTCAAAGAAGGAGGACTTCCTGGAGGGCCAGATTGCTTATCCCGGGTTCAAAGAAGGACGACTTCCTGGAAGGCCAGTTTGCTTCTCCGGGGACAAAGAAGGAGGACTTCCTGGAGGGCCAGTTTGCTTATCCCGGGACAAAGAAGGAGGACTTCCTGGAGGGCCAGTTTGCTTATCTCGGGGACAAAGAAGGAGGACTTCCTGGAGGGCCAATTTGCTTATCCCGGGGACAAAGAAGGAAGAATTCCTGGAGGGCCAGATTGCTTATCCCGGGTTCAAAGAAGGAGGACTTCCTGGAAGGCCAATTTGCTTATCCCGGGGACAAAGAAGGAGGACTTCCTGGAGGGCCAGTTTGCTTATCCCGGGACAAAGAAGGAGGACTTCCTGGAGGGCCAGTTTGCTTCTCCCGGAGATATAGAAGGAGGACTACTTGGAGGGTTCGGTGATGGCGCGACTTTGGCTGCAGTCAAATAAGCCAGCCAACCTGAGGTGAAAATGTTTGTCTTGAAGACCAAGAAGAAAAGCCTCCCGGCGGGCCATTTCGTGTGTCGGGGCAAAGGTGGAGGACTTTGTGGAGGGCTCGTTCAAGAGCTGGACTTTGTGAAGGGCTGGTTCGAGTCGAGGACATTGAAGACAAATAGATTGATGTGTGCAACTTCAGCTGCTGATCTTAGCAAGACATTGTATTTTCGTTTTAAATCAGAACAGGGCATTGAACCCTTTGTCTGTGCACGGACGATGGCCTGGAGCACCAGTCTATCACGGGGCGAAGAAGGAGGACTTCCTGCTGAAGGGCTCGTTCAAATCCTGGACTTTGTGACGGGCTAGTTCGAATCGAGGACATTCAAGACAAATGGAACGCTTGGGCAAAGCACCTTCGGCTGCAGACAAGCCTGGGTGCCCCAATCCTGAAGTGACTCAAGCTTTTGGAGTGACCCAACGCTGGGGTGACTCAGTTCTGGCGTACCCAGCTCTGAGGTGACCCAGTCGTTGGGGTGATCCATTCTTGAGGTGATTCGGGTGTGGGGTGACCTGGTCTCAGCAAGGCGAAGCTTTTCGTTTTTCTTTTAAACAACAACATTACATTGAATCCTTTCTCTGCGCACGGACAATGGCCTGGAGCACCAGTCTATCACGGGGCGAAGAAGGAGGACTTTTTGAAGGGCTCGTTCAAGACCTGGACTTTGCGCAGGGCTGGTTCGAGTCGAGGACATAGAGGACAAATAGATTGATGGGCGCAACTTCGGCTGCTGGTCTGAGCAAGGCTTTGCTTTATCTGTTTGTTTAAATCAGAACAGTACATTGGATCCTTTGTCTGTGCACGGACGATGGCCTGGAGATGTTTGGAGCAGCAGTCTATCACGGGGCGAAGAAGGAGGACTTCCTGGAGGGCTCGTTCAAGACCTGGACTTTGTGAAGGGCTGGTTTGAGTCGAGGACATTGAAGACAAATAGAACGCTTGGGCAAAGCGCCTTCGGCTGCAGACTGACCCAACGCCGGGGTGACTCAGTTCTGGCACACACCCAGCTCTGAGGTGACCCAGTCGTTGGGGTGATCCATTCTTGAGGTGATTCGGGTATGGGGTGACCTGGTCTTAGCAAGGCTTTGCATTTCGTTTTCCTTTTAATTAAGCAACAACATTACGTTGAATCCTTTGTCTGCGCACGGACGATGGCCTGGAGCACCAGTCTATCACGGGGCGAAGAAGGAGGACTTTTTGAAGGGCTCGTTCAAGACCTGGACTTTGCGCAGGGCTGGTTCGAGTCGAGGACATAGAGGACAAATAGATTGATGGGCGCAACTTCGGCTGCTGGTCTGAGCAAGGCTTTGCTTTTTCTGTTTAAATCAGAACAGTACATTGAATGCTTTGTCTGTGCACGGACGATGGCCTTGGGCACCAATCTATCACGGGGCGAAGAAGGAAGGAGGACTTCCTGGAGGACCGACCAACTTGCTTATCGGGGCGGGGGACAAAGAAGGAGGACTTCCTGGAGGGCCAGTTTGCTTATCCCGCAGACAAAGAAGGAGGACTTCCTGGAGGACCAATTTGCTTATCCCGGGGACGAAGAAGGAGGACTACCTGGAGGGCTCGGTGATGGCGCGACTTTGGCTGCAGTCAAACAAAAGCCAACCTGAAGCGGTCTTGTTTTTCTTGAGGACAAAAGCCTCCTGCGGGCATTTCTTCGTGTATCGGGGCGAAGAAGGAGGACTTTCTGAAGGGCTCGTTCAAGACCTGGACAATGTCAAGGGCTGGTTCCAATCCAGGACTTCGAAGACAAATAGATCGATGGACGCAACTTCGGCTGCAGCTGGTCTTAGCAAGGCTTTGGTTTGTGCTTTTAGATTTCAACAGTATACTGAATCCTTTCGCTATGCACGGACGATGGCTTGTGGCTTGGAGCACGGGACGAAGAAGGAGGACTTCCTGGAGGGCTCGTTCAAGAACTTTGTGAAGGGCTGGTTTATGAGTCGAGGACATTGAAGACAAATAGAACGCTTGGGCACCTTCGGCTGCAGACAAGGCTGGGTGACCCAATCATGAAGTGACTCGAGCTTTTGGAGTGACCCAACGCTGGGGTGACTCAGTTCTGGCACACCTAGCTCTGAGGTGACCCAGTCGTTGGGGTGATCCATTCTTGAGGTGATTCGGGTATGGGGTGGCCTGGTCTTAGCAAGGCTTTGCTTTTTCTTTTAAATAACAACAATGAATTGAACCCTTTGTCTATGCGTGGACGATGACTTGGAGCACCAGTTTATCATGGGGCGAAGAAGAAGGACTGCCTGCAGTTTGGTGAAGGGCAGGTTCGAGACGAAAACGTTCAAGACACCTTCGGCTGGAATCGAACAAGTGTGTGGGGCGACTGTTGCAATTGTCGCTGTAAAGAGACTTGTTGCAACAATAGCCTGTAGCCTGAAGAAATAGAAGACGGGCCACCATGTTCGAGATTTTTGCCAACATGCGGACAGGAAGAGGCGCTGCTCAAAAGCCATTGGCCCAAATGATCCAGCAAGCTCCTTAGCTTAGCCCTGCCAAAGTTCAGAAACCGCAAGATGGGCAGCCGCCGTCTCGAGTGGAGCCGGTGCTTGGAAGGCAGTCCTAGTTCCTGGTCAATGCTTGGCTTGGGCGGTGCTGCCTTTGCCGTTGCCACAGACGCAGCTCCTGGATGGCATATACCTTTCTTCTACATCAGCGGCATGAATGTGCTGGAGTGCCGATTTGCCCAGTGGCATCCAGAAGAATCTCATGTTGCCGTGTTCGACGCTGAAGAACTGCACTACGATGCTTGGGTCAGCTATCCTGCTGGAAAGATCTATGTCCGTGAAGTGCCCTCGCCCTTGGTCATCACCTGCAGCTTGACATTTGTGCAACAAGATGCTATTGACGTCGTATTCACCACGGTGGCCGGCGCCCAGATGTTGCGCATCGCCAGGTTGTCAAGCCTGCCGGAGATGGAACATCTTGCAACAGCCGCTGCCATGGCGGCGGCAGCGCAAGGCCGTCTGCAGAGCCGCAACCAAGCAGTGTGCACGGTCTTGGAAGGGCAGGCAACCCCACTGGGCACGGTGGCCCTGTCAGATGACTTGTGGGACAAGATGACAGTGCAGGAGGCCCAGCAGCCATAAAGACATACTACCTGCCCCGCGCTTGAGAGGAAAACAAGCTGCTGCGCGTGACCTTGAGAAGACTTTGGCTTGTTGAGTGCCCAGCCTGAAACAACAAGAAGATGGGCCGGCTGAAGGTCATTGCTGCAAAGTCCAAATGCAGGCAGGTTGCTTGTCATTCAGGGGACAAGAAGTCAAGCGTGAAATCACATCAGTTCTGTGTACGGCAGTTGAAAGGCTTCATGCGTAGCAGCATAGTGCCTTTGCCCGCGGCTGTTTCGCACCACAGCTCCCGCTTGAGTCGACACAAACGCGCGCTAGCAGGAACTTACTACGCAACCGCACACACACACACACACACGTCCCACATAACTACACGTGCAAGCCAACAAACTTGCCCTTCGGAAGTTCATGATTCCTTGGATCATTAGATCATTCAAAGTTCACATCGCTGCTGCGCAACCATGCCTGTGTGTGAGCGCTGCGGTGGGACGAGAAGTGGCCGAGGCCGCGGATGGTGCTCCAACCCTGCGTGCAAAGCAGCTGAGAGGAACGAAGCCCAAGTTGCAAAGCGCTTGCAACAAGAGGCCCGGCGAGAGGCTGGAGCTGGAAAACGGGGGCCACTTCCTGACGTTGAAGCCCAGGCTGCTAAGCGCTTGCGGCAAGGGGCCCGGCAAGAAGTTGGAGCCGGTGGACGGGGTCCATGTCCCGGCGAAGGTGGTCGCCCCGCCGACGCTGAAGCCCAAGCTGCCAAGCGCTGGCGACAGGATGCCCGGCAAGAAGCTGGGGCTGGTGAACGGGGGCCGCTTCCTGACGTTGAGGCTCAAGCTGTCAAACTTTTGCGAGAAGGGGCCCGGCGAGAAGCTGGAGCTGGCGAACGGGGACCGCTTCCTGATGTTGAGGCTCAAGCTGTCAAACTTTTGCGAGAAGAGGCCCGGCGAGAAGCTGGAGCTGGCGAACGGGGACCGCTTCCTGATGTTGAGGCTCAAGCTGTCAAACTTTTGCGAGAAGAGGTCCGGCGAGAAGCTGGAGCTGGCGAACGGGGACCGCTTCCTGATGTTGAGGCTCAAGCTGTCAAACTTTTGCGAGAAGAGGCACGGCGAGAAGCTGGAGCTTGTGGTGGACGAGGCCCATGTCCCGGCGAAGGTGGTCGACCAACCCTCGAGCCGGATCAAGTTGGCAACCGCCAGCCTCCTTTCCTCAACGAGAAGAACCTCACCTCGGACGATGTGCTCAAGAGGTACGCAAACTACATGAAAGCGTGGGGGCGCTTTGGCCTCTCGCGGGTCTGCGAGATTTGCCGCGCCCTCACACCAGCCAGGTTCTGGACGTTGACTGGAAGCAAAGACCAACCATCGAAGCAGCAGAAATTCGCTTGCAAGAACTGCCGCGAGCACCGCACCAGGTACACGCTGCCAGAACTGTCGCCCGTTCCACCAAGCTTGGGATGCCTCAGCACCTTGGAGAAGCGGCTGCTGGCCAGCGCCCACGTGGATCAAGTCATCATCGACAAGCTGCCGTCGGGAGGGCCCAGCGCACAGTGGGGAAGGATGTACTGCGTTCCCATGGAGGAGCCGGCCTTGTGCCACGTGCTAGATGGAGCAGAGCTTGGAGAGAACGGCGAGGTCTATGTCAACGGGGTGCAGGGCATGATGGCTTCAACTGCGCGGCTGCAGTGCTTGGAAGCTGGCCTGAGGGCATTGAAGCTGCAGCACGCAGCGTACAAGTGCAACGCTGGCGTGGACAAGGCTTTGCAGAACATGCAAGCCATTCTGGCCAAGTTGGCTGCTGCATCGACGCCTGGAGGAGCAGGAGACGAGGACAAAGAAGAGGACGTGGAGGTGACCTATCTGATGGCCCGGGACCCTGCCATCCCGAAAGCTGACCTAGCCGACTTGCAGGAGCTCCGCCGCAAAGCCAAGCAGACCATCGACAACTTGGACACTCTCCTCTTCCCATATCTGTTCCCAGATGGCATAGGAGGCTACGATCCATGGGCCCACAAGAAGTTCTCGGAGTATGCTCGCAAGAGGATACTGGGGCAGGACGGCCGCTTCGAGAAAGACCCGGCCTACTTGATGTGGTTGCTGGAAGAGCAGATGAGGAGGCGGCTTTCTGGCAACGTCAATGTCCGGATGAAGGGGCAGGTCCACCCGCAGTTCGGCAGCAGGTACGAGGACTTCAGCCGCAAGATCTATACCGCCTTGCGCGACATCCCCGGCACTCAGCCATACTTATACGCCAAGAAAGGCATAGCCATGAGCATGTACGAGCAGCTGGGCAAGCCGCAGTTCTTCCTGACACTGACCTGCCACGCGCGGCAACCTGATATCCTCGCTGCATGCATCACTGCCGAGCTTCTCAGACAGCGTGAGCCCGCAGCTGACCAGCCCGATGTTGAAGCGGAAGCAGCCGAGGTCCTCCGTCACTACATGACCGACGAGAACTATGTGTGGAACGGGATGACCGCAAATCAGCTGTGCAACTCGATGCCGGGCATCGTCGCAAGGCAATTCATGCACGGCCTGCGGCAACTTCTGCACTGGTTGCACGGAGGAGAAAGCGACGCGCAATTCAAGGCCGACGATGCTGACGAACAAGATCGCCCAGACCTGGCAGACGATGATGAGGAAGATGCAGAAGCAGCTCCAGAAGTCGGCCAATCAGGAAAATCCCACAGCATGAAGAAAGAGAAGCCGCCTTTCAAGATCCTGGACTACATCGTCCGCATCGAGTGGCAGAAGCGGGGCTATCCACACGCCCACATTCTCTTGTGGGCCGATGTCCCAGATGTGGCGGGAAAGCAGCGGCCAGAGGAAGCCCCGACACATCAAGGGAAGGAGGAGCAGCGCGTCGACTGGTCTGACGAGGAAGCCTGCCACCGCGCCGCGCCAACCTGCGCAGAGGATCTGAGCGACAAGTACATCTGCACCAAGTCCGCGCAAAGGTGGCTTGAGGATCCTCGTGTGAGCGAGGCAAAGCGGGAGGTCAACGCCAAGCTTGCTGCCTACTGTGAACACAAGTGCGGGCCATACTGCGGCAAGTACACAGTAGGCTCGTGCCGCTTTGGTTTTCCGCGGGCAGCAGAGGAGCGGACCAGGCGGCGCACGCCGCAGGAACAATTCTCCAGTAGGTGGAAGGCCAGCTTGGCTGCCCGGCGGCACGAAAACGACTCGATGATGGGCCAGTACAACACAGCAATCCTGCGGCACTGGCGCGCCAGCATGGATCTGCAGGTCATTTCCGAACTCACCTGCGCCAGCAAGTACATCTTGGGCTACGCCTTCAAATCAGAAGAAGACATCGCCGCCAAGCAGCGTGTCGACGAGATTGTGCAGGGCTACCTGGAGGACTCAGGCACAGTTGACCTCAGCAACCAGCAGGTGTACAGGGCCGCCCACGCCGCGACGCAAGCTCGCACAACCTCCACCTTCGAGGCAGCTCACTTGCTTTTGGGCTATCCAACGGTCCTCTTCTCAAGAGACAACGAATGGGTGCAGGTCGGCCCGCCAAGCACATGGACCCTGGTGGCGCCGCAACTGGAAGAGGCAGATGCCCTGCAGGACCCCGCCGTGTATGCAGCCACTCGTAGAGACGAAGGAACTGACCTCCCGAAGGCCCATCGTTTTCAACAGCAACACTGCGGTGACAAGGAGACCGAGGTTCCCGTGGAAGGAGGCAAGCCAGTGAGGAAGCCCTGGCGGGAGATCACATTCTTTGATTTCGTGGCCGGCTTCAAATTCGTTGCCAAGAAGATGGGGGAGGAGCCAGAACCAAGGAAGAGGCCGGCCATCGTCGGGCATCGCAATTACAATCCAGACTTGCAGCCGGAAGAGTTCTACTACTCAAAGCTGCTGCTGCATCTTGTTTGGACAGAGCCTGGCGATTGGCTCCGAGAAGAGGATGGAGGAAGCCACGCAGCTGCCTTCCATCGGATTGTGAAGGATTTGGAGCGCCACCCCACATTCCTGGAATCCATCGCCCTGCCAAAGCTCGATGGCACTGTGCAAGCAGCCAGGGAGCTGCAGGCGGTCCAGTCGTTCATGTACCTCAAAGCCAGCGTTGGAAACATGATGGGCCTTGTCCATTGCCGGGCAGACGAGCAAAACTACGAGGACTCGCTGCGCATCATGCAGGCTCTCAAGGACAGGCACGGGAACGACATCGAGTTCATGGCCCCGGACACCGTGCCCACCGGCCCTGCTACTGACATCTTCGCACCAGTCGAAGGCGGCGAGGCCGGGCGGGTATAATTCAACGAGACATTATCATTTGTGTTTGGATTTGTGCGTCAGCCGTCTGCCTGCCAGGAAGCTTTGGAGATGCTGGCCATCAAAGACCCGTCGCCTCAGGTCTTGAAGCAGAGGCAGTGCATGGAGTACGTGCTGCGATCGGTGCTCGATGGGCCACACTCCAAGAACCGGAACAACCTGCGCCGGCTCCGCTTGCTCATTCACGGGCCAGGCGGCTGCGGCAAGTCGGTGGTGGCAAGAGCAGCCGCTCATATGCTGCGGCAGGCCGGTCGAGGTGTGGTATTGGCAGCGCCTACAGGAGTCGCAGCGTGCAACATCAACGGTGTCACTTTGCATTCCAGCCTCTTGTTGCCGGTCATCAACCAGAGCTACGGCAAGGCCTGCGACGTGCCATTGCCTCGTGGGGAGCAGCTCGCTGCGCTACATGCCTTTTGGAAGCACGTCGACGTCCTCATGATAGACGAAATGAGCTTCGTGTCCGAGGCCATGTTGGAGCGGGTGGATCAACACCTGCGACTGGCGCGGGACATGCCGCACTTGCCCTTCGGCGGTGTCCACTTGATTCTTATTGGCGATCTCTACCAGCTGCCGCCGCCCAAAGGCCTGGAGGGGTGCCAAAACATGACATGAAACACGCGCGCAGCACAATGATATACATCCTCCTGTGTTGCAGCACACAAACAGATTTCGGCGCTGGGTTTTTAGCTTGCTTGTCCCTCCAGGCCTACCGATCTTTGCCAGCAAGCTATGGGGCTGCTTTGAGCTGCGCGAGCTGGAAGGCAACCAACGCGCAGCCAAAGACCCCGAGTGGGCAGCGCTCCTGGCACGCGTGAGGGTGGGCCAGCAGACCGAGCAGGACATCCAGATTCTGCAGAGCCGGGTCGTCAACAAACACTCTGCGAATCCTCGCCCATCACCAGAAGCAGTCCACTTGTTTGCAACCCGAGATGCCGTGGCAAACCACAATTCCCATTACATCCAAAACCACATTGAACGCACTGGCAGCGTCCTGTATGAATGCCCTTCGGTGGATGTTTCCGTGAAGACTGGCGCACCTCTACCTGCAGAAAAGGCATGGCCGCGCGCGGATGACACCGGCGGCCTGGAAGCATTGTTGACCGTGGCTGAGGGCGCCCAAGTCATGTTGCGGAAGAACCTGGATGTGGGAGATGGTTTGGTCAACGGCGCACGGGGCACCATCCAAGGCATTGATCTTCACCAATAGACCAAGGAGGTGACCAAGCTGTGGGTGAAGTTTGAAAAGAACGCGGGCAGCAAGTGGGAAAGCGCCAACGCCTGCGCAGCAGTAGCCATCCGGCGAACCACCGCCACCTTTCAGGACAGAGATGGCAACAAAGCTGACCGAACGCAGTTCCCGCTCACCTTGGCCAAGGCCTGCACCATCCACAACAGTCAGGCTGCCACTTACCACGCCGGCGTGCACGCCCGGCTCGACAAGTCAGTGCGGGAGCCTGGCTCTGCATATGTGGCTTTGAGCCGTTCTCCAACTCAGCAGCTGTGCACGCTGGAGCGCTTCCAAAGAGAGAGCCTCAAGTACAACCACTATGCCGCATGGGCTTTGGCACAATTGAAGAGCAAATTGGCGAAGAGCCCTGGGCCCAAGCAGCAAGGCTTGCAAGAACTATGGGACAGCGTCGTGCGTCCAGCCCACGGCCACGACCATTACGAGATGCTTCTGGAGAGCATGCAGCCATTCAACCGCAGGACCTACCTGGAGGAGCAGCGTGCAAAGGATGCGCCAGCAGACGACGCAGTGCAGGACGCCAAGACGAACAAGCCAAAGACGAAGAGCAAGGCAAAAGCAACAGCCAAAAGGAGGGCCAAGGCGACCGCCAAGGCGAAAGCAAAGCAGGCAGCAAGTGCCAAAGCCAAGGCCGCAGCCAGCAAGCGAGCCATGTCCGCGGCGGCTGCAGCAGCAGAGGCTGCAGCTGCCGCAGCAGCGGCAGCAGCAGTGGGCACATTCTTCGAACATCAACAAGAAGCGCAATGTGGCATGCACGCGCTCAACAATGCTTTGGGCAAAACAGCATTCACCCCAGAGGACATGGCCACAGCTGCCGAGACATACCTCCAGGAATGGCAAGGCATTGATGAAGCCGAGAGTGAACACATCAGGCCTGGAGGGTGGTATTCAGTCCAGATCCTTTATGCCGCTCTTTTCAACCGGGGCATTGCGCTCAACCTGGACGAGCCGGTGCAATCCGTGGACCAGGCGCACCTCGCGACAGCTCTGGTGCAGAATTGGAACAACCAGCATTGGGTGGCCTACCGCTGGGGGGCCGATGGCGCCATGTACCGGTTCGATTCGTTGCAGCGTGGCCCTGAAAGAGTGAGTGAAGCGGACTTCGCAGCATCCTTGGTCACACATTGGACCTATGCAGTTCTTCTCCCGTGTGACATGTGAAGTGTACAGCGACGTCGTAGACGGTGTTTGCGCCCTGACAAGTACAGCAGAGGCGCGGCAGCGTGACAGCACGGCGTATCCATGCAAAAGAACCAACGCCTGCCTAGGACTTACAGCGTCTGGTTGCACGTGTTACACTGCTACACGCATGAGCATGACCCACAGTGTTACACGCACGAGCACGACCCAGCTTTCGGAGCATGAACCCTATCAAAAATCCCAAAAAAAACCCTCGAAACTCCTCAAAGTCTGGTTGCACGTGTTACAGTGCTACACGAGTGTTACACGCACGAGCATGACCCAGCGTTCTGAGCATGAACCCTATCAAAAATCCAAAAAAAAAACTCCTGGAAACTTTCCTCGAAACTCCTTAAAACTCCTCAAAACTCCTCGAAACTTTCCCCGGACCTGAACCCTTAATAAGTTCAATAAACCCTAAACCCTAAACCCTAAACCCTAAACCCTAAACCCTAAACCCTCAAGCCAATCTGTAAACTTGAACTTATTCCTTCCTTTTATTGGAAGGCCACTTTTGCGCAATTCAAAGTTTGCAGCAAAGTTGCAGGGCTTCCTGGCGGGCAAGTTTGCTTCTCCGGGACATTCTCTCGGGATTAAAGAAGGAAGACTTCCTGGAAGACCGGAAACAAAGAAGGAGGACTTCCTGGAGGGCCAATTTGCTTATCCCCGGAGGCAAAGAAGGAAGACTTCCTGGAGGGCCAGCTTGCTTATCCCGGGGACAAAGAAGGAGGACCTGGGGCAAGTTTGCTATCCGGGGACAAAGAAGGAGGACTTCCTGGAGGGCCAGTTTGCTTATCCCAAAGACAAAGAAGGAGGACTTCCTGGAGGGCCAGTTTGCTTATCTTGGAGACAAAGAAGGAGGATTTCCTGGAGGGCTTTGCTTATGCGGGGACAAAGAAGGAGAAATTCCTGGAGGGCCAGTTTGCTTATCCCGGGGGACAAAGAAGGAGGAATTTCTGGAGGGCCAGTTTGCTTTTCCCGGACAAAGAAGGAGGACTTCCTGGAGGGCCAGTTTGCTTGTCCCTGGAGGGCCAATTTGCTATCCTGGGAACAAAGAAGGAGGACTTCCTGGACGGCCAGTTTGCTTATCCCGGGGACAAAGAAGGAGGACTTCCTGGAGGGCAGTTTGCTTATCCGGGGACAAAGAAGGAGGACTTCCTGGAGGGCCAGTTTGCTTATCCCAACGACAAAGAAGGAGGACTTCCTGGAGGGCCAGTTTGCTTATCCCGAGGACAAAGAAGGAGGACTTCCTGGAGGGCCAGTTTGCTTATCCGGGGACAAAGAGGACTTCCTGGAGGGCCAGTTTGCTTATCCCGGGGACAAAGAAGGAGGACTTCCTGGAGGGCCAGTTTGCTTATCCCGGGACAAAGAAGGAGGACTTCCTGGAGGGCCAGTTTGCTTATCCCGGGACAAAGAAGGAGGAATTCCTGGAGGGCCCAGTTTGCTTGTCCCGGAAACAAAAAAGGAGGACTTCCTGGAGGGCCAATTTGCTTATCCGGGGGACAAAGAAGGAGGACTTCCTGGAGGGCCAGTTTGCTTATCCCGGACAAAGAAGGAGGACTTCCTGGAGGGCCAATTTGCTCATCTGGGGGACAAAGAAGGAGGACTAGCTGGAGGGCCAATTTGCTTGTCCCGGGGACAAAGAAGGAGGACTTCCTGGAGGGCCAGTTTGCTTATCCCAAAGACAAAGAAGGAGGACTTCCTGGAAGGCCAATTTGCTTATCCCGGTGACAAAGAAGACTTCCTGGAGTGCCAGATTGCTTATCCCGGGTGGAGCACTTCCTGGAAAGCCAATTTGCTTATCCCGGAGACAAAAATGGAGGACTTCCTGGAGGGCCAGTTTGCTTATCCTGGGGACAAAGAAGGGGGACTTCCTGGAGGGCCAGTTTGCTTCTCCCGATGATACAGAAGGAGGACTTCCTGAAAGGCCAGTTTGCTTATCCTGGGGACAAAAAAGGAGGACTTCCTGGAGGGCCAGTTTGCTTATCCCGGGGACAAAGAAGGAGAATTTCCTGGAGGGCCAGTTTGCTTATCCCGGGGACAAAGAAGGAGGATTTCCCGGAGCGCCAGTTTGCTTATCCCGGGAACAAAGATGGAGGACTTCCTGGAGGGCCAGTTTGCTTATCCCGGAGACAAAGAAGGAGGACTTCCTGGAGGGCCAGTTTGCTTACGGGGACAAAGAAGGGGGACTTCCTGGAGGGCCAGTTTGCTTTTCCCGGACAAAGAAGGAGGACTTCCTGGAGGGCCAGTTTGCTTGTTCCGGAAACAAAGAAGGAGGACTTCCTGGAGGGCCAATTTGCTTATCCCGGGGACAAAGAAGGAGGACTTCCTGGAGGGCCAGTTTGCTTATCCCGGGGACAAAGAAGGAGGACTTGCTGGAGGGCCAGTTTGCTTCGAAGGAGGACTTCCTGGAGGGCCAGTTTGCTTATCCCGGGGACAAAGAAGGAGGACTTCCTGGAGGGCCAGTTTGCTTATCCCGGGGACAAAGAAGGGGTTCCTGGAGGGCCAGTTTGCTTATCCCGGAGACAAAAATGGAGGACTTCCTGGAGGGCCAGTTTGCTTATCCTGGGGACAAAGAAGGGGGACTTCCTGGAGGGCCAGTTTGCTTATCCTGGGGACAAAGAAGGAGGACTTCCTGGAGGGCTAGTTTGCTTCTCCCGGGGATACAGAAGGAGGACTTCCTGGAGGGCCAGTTTGCTTATCCAGGGGACAAAGAAGGAGGACTTCTTGGAGGGCCAGTTTGCTTATCCCGGGGACAAAGAAGGAGAACTTCCTGGAGGGCCAGTTTGCTTATCCCGGACACAAAGAAGGAGGATTTCCTGGAGGGCCAGTTTGCTTATCCCGGGGACAAAGGAGGAGGACTTCCTGGAGGGCCAGTTTGCTTATCCTGGGGACAAAGAAGGGGGACTTCCTGAGGGCCAGTTTGCCGGGAACAAAGAAGGAGGACTTCCTGGAGGGCCAGTTTGCTTATCCCGGGGACAAAGAAGGAGGACTTCCTGGAGGGCCAGTTTGCTTATCCCGGGGACAAAGAAGGAGGACTTCCTGGAGGGCCAGTTTGCTTATCCCGGGGACAAAGAAGGAGGGGGACAAAGAAGGAGGACTTCCTGGACGGCCAGTTTGCTTATCCCGGGAACAAAGCAGGAGGACTTCCTGGAGGGCAGTTTGCTTATCCGGGACAAAGAAGGAGGACTTCCTGGAGGGCCAGTTTGCTTATCCCGAGGACAAAGAAGGAGGACTTCCTGGAGGGCCAGTTTGCTTATCCCGGGGACAAAGAAGGAGGACTTCGTGGAGGGCCAATTTGGTTATCCCGGGGACAAAGAAGCAAGACTTCCTGGAGGGCCAGATTGCTTATCCTGGGTTCAAAGAAGAAGAATTCCTGGAAGGCCAATTTGCTTATCCCGGGGACAAAGAAGGAGGACTTCCTGGAGGGTCAGTTTGCTTATTCCCAGGGACAAAGAAGAAGGACTTCCTGGAGGGCAAGTTTGCTTCTCCCGGGGATACAGAAGGAGGACTTCCTGAAGGGCCAGTTTGCTTATCCCGGGGACAAAGAAGGAGGACTTCCTGGAGAGCCAATTCACTTATTCCGGACAAAGAAGGAGGACTTCCTGCAGGGCCAGTTTGCTCATCCCGAGGACAAAGAAGGAGGACTTCCTGGAGGGCCAGTTTGCTTATCTCGGGGACAAAGAAGGAGGACTTCCTGGAAGGCCAATTTGCTTATCCCGGGGACAAAGAAGGAAGAATTCCTGGAGGGCCAGATTGCTTATCCCGGGTTCAAAGAAGGAGGACTTCCTGGAGGGCCAGATTGCTTATCCCGGGTTCAAAGAAGGACGACTTCCTGGAAGGCCAGTTTGCTTCTCCGGGGACAAAGAAGGAGGACTTCCTGGAGGGCCAGTTTGCTTATCCCGGGACAAAGAAGGAGGACTTCCTGGAGGGCCAGTTTGCTTATCTCGGGGACAAAGAAGGAGGACTTCCTGGAGGGCCAATTTGCTTATCCCGGGGACAAAGAAGGAAGAATTCCTGGAGGGCCAGATTGCTTATCCCGGGTTCAAAGAAGGAGGACTTCCTGGAAGGCCAGTTTGCTTATCCCGGGGACAAAGAAGGAGGACTTCCTGGAGGGCCAGTTTGCTTATCCCGGGACAAAGAAGGAGGACTTCCTGGAGGGCCAGTTTGCTTCTCCCGGAGATACAGAAGGAGGACTACTTGGAGGGTTCGGTGATGGCGCGACTTTGGCTGCAGTCAAATAAGCCAGCCAACCTGAGGTGAAAATGTTTGTCTTGAAGACCAAGAAGAAAAGCCTCCCGGCGGGCCATTTCGTGTGTCGGGGCAAAGGTGGAGGACTTTGTGGAGGGCTCGTTCAAGAGCTGGACTTTGTGAAGGGCTGGTTCGAGTCGAGGACATTGAAGACAAATAGATTGATGTGTGCAACTTCAGCTGCTGATCTTAGCAAGACATTGTATTTTCGTTTTAAATCAGAACAGGGCATTGAACCCTTTGTCTGTGCACGGACGATGGCCTGGAGCACCAGTCTATCACGGGGCGAAGAAGGAGGACTTCCTGCTGAAGGGCTCGTTCAAATCCTGGACTTTGTGACGGGCTAGTTCGAATCGAGGACATTCAAGACAAATGGAACGCTTGGGCAAAGCACCTTCGGCTGCAGACAAGCCTGGGTGCCCCAATCCTGAAGTGACTCAAGCTTTTGGAGTGACCCAACGCTGGGGTGACTCAGTTCTGGCGTACCCAGCTCTGAGGTGACCCAGTCGTTGGGGTGATCCATTCTTGAGGTGATTCGGGTGTGGGGTGACCTGGTCTCAGCAAGGCGAAGCTTTTCGTTTTTCTTTTAAACAACAACATTACATTGAATCCTTTCTCTGCGCACGGACAATGGCCTGGAGCACCAGTCTATCACGGGGCGAAGAAGGAGGACTTTTTGAAGGGCTCGTTCAAGACCTGGACTTTGCGCAGGGCTGGTTCGAGTCGAGGACATAGAGGACAAATAGATTGATGGGCGCAACTTCGGCTGCTGGTCTGAGCAAGGCTTTGCTTTATCTGTTTGTTTAAATCAGAACAGTACATTGGATCCTTTGTCTGTGCACGGACGATGGCCTGGAGATGTTTGGAGCAGCAGTCTATCACGGGGCGAAGAAGGAGGACTTCCTGGAGGGCTCGTTCAAGACCTGGACTTTGTGAAGGGCTGGTTTGAGTCGAGGACATTGAAGACAAATAGAACGCTTGGGCAAAGCGCCTTCGGCTGCAGACTGACCCAACGCCGGGGTGACTCAGTTCTGGCACACACCCAGCTCTGAGGTGACCCAGTCGTTGGGGTGATCCATTCTTGAGGTGATTCGGGTATGGGGTGACCTGGTCTTAGCAAGGCTTTGCGTTTCGTTTTCCTTTTAATTAAGCAACAACATTACGTTGAATCCTTTGTCTGCGCACGGACGATGGCCTGGAGCACCAGTCTATCACGGGGCGAAGAAGGAGGACTTTTTGAAGGGCTCGTTCAAGACCTGGACTTTGCGCAGGGCTGGTTCGAGTCGAGGACATAGAGGACAAATAGATTGATGGGCGCAACTTCGGCTGCTGGTCTGAGCAAGGCTTTGCTTTTTCTGTTTAAATCAGAACAGTACATTGAATGCTTTGTCTGTGCACGGACGATGGCCTTGGGCACCAATCTATCACGGGGCGAAGAAGGAAGGAGGACTTCCTGGAGGACCGACCAACTTGCTTATCGGGGCGGGGGACAAAGAAGGAGGACTTCCTGGAGGGCCAGTTTGCTTATCCCGCAGACAAAGAAGGAGGACTTCCTGGAGGACCAATTTGCTTATCCCGGGGACGAAGAAGGAGGACTACCTGGAGGGCTCGGTGATGGCGCGACTTTGGCTGCAGTCAAACAAAAGCCAACCTGAAGCGGTCTTGTTTTTCTTGAGGACAAAAGCCTCCTGCGGGCATTTCTTCGTGTATCGGGGCGAAGAAGGAGGACTTTCTGAAGGGCTCGTTCAAGACCTGGACAATGTCAAGGGCTGGTTCCAATCCAGGACTTCGAAGACAAATAGATCGATGGACGCAACTTCGGCTGCAGCTGGTCTTAGCAAGGCTTTGGTTTGTGCTTTTAGATTTCAACAGTATACTGAATCCTTTCGCTATGCACGGACGATGGCTTGTGGCTTGGAGCACGGGACGAAGAAGGAGGACTTCCTGGAGGGCTCGTTCAAGAACTTTGTGAAGGGCTGGTTTATGAGTCGAGGACATTGAAGACAAATAGAACGCTTGGGCACCTTCGGCTGCAGACAAGGCTGGGTGACCCAATCATGAAGTGACTCGAGCTTTTGGAGTGACCCAACGCTGGGGTGACTCAGTTCTGGCACACCTAGCTCTGAGGTGACCCAGTCGTTGGGGTGATCCATTCTTGAGGTGATTCGGGTATGGGGTGGCCTGGTCTTAGCAAGGCTTTGCTTTTTCTTTTAAATAACAACAATGAATTGAACCCTTTGTCTATGCGTGGACGATGACTTGGAGCACCAGTTTATCATGGGGCGAAGAAGAAGGACTGCCTGCAGTTTGGTGAAGGGCAGGTTCGAGACGAAAACGTTCAAGACACCTTCGGCTGGAATCGAACAAGTGTGTGGGGCGACTGTTGCAATTGTCGCTGTAAAGAGACTTGTTGCAACAATAGCCTGTAGCCTGAAGAAATAGAAGACGGGCCACCATGTTCGAGATTTTTGCCAACATGCGGATACCTTCAACGCAGGAAGAGGCGCTGCTCAAAAGCCATTGGCCCAAATGATCCAGCAAGCTCCTTAGCTTAGCCCTGCCAAAGTTCAGAAACCGCAAGATGGGCAGCCGCCGTCTCGAGTGGAGCCGGTGCTTGGAAGGCAGTCCTAGTTCCTGGTCAATGCTTGGCTTGGGCGGTGCTGCCTTTGCCGTTGCCACAGACGCAGCTCCTGGATGGCATATACCTTTCTTCTACATCAGCGGCATGAATGTGCTGGAGTGCCGATTTGCCCAGTGGCATCCAGAAGAATCTCATGTTGCCGTGTTCGACGCTGAAGAACTGCACTACGATGCTTGGGTCAGCTATCCTGCTGGAAAGATCTATGTCCGTGAAGTGCCCTCGCCCTTGGTCATCACCTGCAGCTTGACATTTGTGCAACAAGATGCTATTGACGTCGTATTCACCACGGTGGCCGGCGCCCAGATGTTGCGCATCGCCAGGTTGTCAAGCCTGCCGGAGATGGAACATCTTGCAACAGCCGCTGCCATGGCGGCGGCAGCGCAAGGCCGTCTGCAGAGCCGCAACCAAGCAGTGTGCACGGTCTTGGAAGGGCAGGCAACCCCACTGGGCACGGTGGCCCTGTCAGATGACTTGTGGGACAAGATGACAGTGCAGGAGGCCCAGCAGCCATAAAGACATACTACCTGCCCCGCGCTTGAGAGGAAAACAAGCTGCTGCGCGTGACCTTGAGAAGACTTTGGCTTGTTGAGTGCCCAGCCTGAAACAACAAGAAGATGGGCCGGCTGAAGGTCATTGCTGCAAAGTCCAAATGCAGGCAGGTTGCTTGTCATTCAGGGGACAAGAAGTCAAGCGTGAAATCACATCAGTTCTGTGTACGGCAGTTGAAAGGCTTCATGCGTAGCAGCATAGTGCCTTTGCCCGCGGCTGTTTCGCACCACAGCTCCCGCTTGAGTCGACACAAACGCGCGCTAGCAGGAACTTACTACGCAACCGCACACACACACACACACACGTCCCACATAACTACACGTGCAAGCCAACAAACTTGCCCTTCGGAAGTTCATGATTCCTTGGATCATTAGATCATTCAAAGTTCACATCGCTGCTGCGCAACCATGCCTGTGTGTGAGCGCTGCGGTGGGACGAGAAGTGGCCGAGGCCGCGGATGGTGCTCCAACCCTGCGTGCAAAGCAGCTGAGAGGAACGAAGCCCAAGTTGCAAAGCGCTTGCAACAAGAGGCCCGGCGAGAGGCTGGAGCTGGAAAACGGGGGCCACTTCCTGACGTTGAAGCCCAGGCTGCTAAGCGCTTGCGGCAAGGGGCCCGGCAAGAAGTTGGAGCCGGTGGACGGGGTCCATGTCCCGGCGAAGGTGGTCGCCCCGCCGACGCTGAAGCCCAAGCTGCCAAGCGCTGGCGACAGGATGCCCGGCAAGAAGCTGGGGCTGGTGAACGGGGGCCGCTTCCTGACGTTGAGGCTCAAGCTGTCAAACTTTTGCGAGAAGGGGCCCGGCGAGAAGCTGGAGCTGGCGAACGGGGACCGCTTCCTGATGTTGAGGCTCAAGCTGTCAAACTTTTGCGAGAAGAGGCCCGGCGAGAAGCTGGAGCTGGCGAACGGGGACCGCTTCCTGATGTTGAGGCTCAAGCTGTCAAACTTTTGCGAGAAGAGGTCCGGCGAGAAGCTGGAGCTGGCGAACGGGGACCGCTTCCTGATGTTGAGGCTCAAGCTGTCAAACTTTTGCGAGAAGAGGCACGGCGAGAAGCTGGAGCTTGTGGTGGACGAGGCCCATGTCCCGGCGAAGGTGGTCGACCAACCCTCGAGCCGGATCAAGTTGGCAACCGCCAGCCTCCTTTCCTCAACGAGAAGAACCTCACCTCGGACGATGTGCTCAAGAGGTACGCAAACTACATGAAAGCGTGGGGGCGCTTTGGCCTCTCGCGGGTCTGCGAGATTTGCCGCGCCCTCACACCAGCCAGGTTCTGGACGTTGACTGGAAGCAAAGACCAACCATCGAAGCAGCAGAAATTCGCTTGCAAGAACTGCCGCGAGCACCGCACCAGGTACACGCTGCCAGAACTGTCGCCCGTTCCACCAAGCTTGGGATGCCTCAGCACCTTGGAGAAGCGGCTGCTGGCCAGCGCCCACGTGGATCAAGTCATCATCGACAAGCTGCCGTCGGGAGGGCCCAGCGCACAGTGGGGAAGGATGTACTGCGTTCCCATGGAGGAGCCGGCCTTGTGCCACGTGCTAGATGGAGCAGAGCTTGGAGAGAACGGCGAGGTCTATGTCAACGGGGTGCAGGGCATGATGGCTTCAACTGCGCGGCTGCAGTGCTTGGAAGCTGGCCTGAGGGCATTGAAGCTGCAGCACGCAGCGTACAAGTGCAACGCTGGCGTGGACAAGGCTTTGCAGAACATGCAAGCCATTCTGGCCAAGTTGGCTGCTGCATCGACGCCTGGAGGAGCAGGAGACGAGGACAAAGAAGAGGACGTGGAGGTGACCTATCTGATGGCCCGGGACCCTGCCATCCCGAAAGCTGACCTAGCCGACTTGCAGGAGCTCCGCCGCAAAGCCAAGCAGACCATCGACAACTTGGACACTCTCCTCTTCCCATATCTGTTCCCAGATGGCATAGGAGGCTACGATCCATGGGCCCACAAGAAGTTCTCGGAGTATGCTCGCAAGAGGATACTGGGGCAGGACGGCCGCTTCGAGAAAGACCCGGCCTACTTGATGTGGTTGCTGGAAGAGCAGATGAGGAGGCGGCTTTCTGGCAACGTCAATGTCCGGATGAAGGGGCAGGTCCACCCGCAGTTCGGCAGCAGGTACGAGGACTTCAGCCGCAAGATCTATACCGCCTTGCGCGACATCCCCGGCACTCAGCCATACTTATACGCCAAGAAAGGCATAGCCATGAGCATGTACGAGCAGCTGGGCAAGCCGCAGTTCTTCCTGACACTGACCTGCCACGCGCGGCAACCTGATATCCTCGCTGCATGCATCACTGCCGAGCTTCTCAGACAGCGTGAGCCCGCAGCTGACCAGCCCGATGTTGAAGCGGAAGCAGCCGAGGTCCTCCGTCACTACATGACCGACGAGAACTATGTGTGGAACGGGATGACCGCAAATCAGCTGTGCAACTCGATGCCGGGCATCGTCGCAAGGCAATTCATGCACGGCCTGCGGCAACTTCTGCACTGGTTGCACGGAGGAGAAAGCGACGCGCAATTCAAGGCCGACGATGCTGACGAACAAGATCGCCCAGACCTGGCAGACGATGATGAGGAAGATGCAGAAGCAGCTCCAGAAGTCGGCCAATCAGGAAAATCCCACAGCATGAAGAAAGAGAAGCCGCCTTTCAAGATCCTGGACTACATCGTCCGCATCGAGTGGCAGAAGCGGGGCTATCCACACGCCCACATTCTCTTGTGGGCCGATGTCCCAGATGTGGCGGGAAAGCAGCGGCCAGAGGAAGCCCCGACACATCAAGGGAAGGAGGAGCAGCGCGTCGACTGGTCTGACGAGGAAGCCTGCCACCGCGCCGCGCCAACCTGCGCAGAGGATCTGAGCGACAAGTACATCTGCACCAAGTCCGCGCAAAGGTGGCTTGAGGATCCTCGTGTGAGCGAGGCAAAGCGGGAGGTCAACGCCAAGCTTGCTGCCTACTGTGAACACAAGTGCGGGCCATACTGCGGCAAGTACACAGTAGGCTCGTGCCGCTTTGGTTTTCCGCGGGCAGCAGAGGAGCGGACCAGGCGGCGCACGCCGCAGGAACAATTCTCCAGTAGGTGGAAGGCCAGCTTGGCTGCCCGGCGGCACGAAAACGACTCGATGATGGGCCAGTACAACACAGCAATCCTGCGGCACTGGCGCGCCAGCATGGATCTGCAGGTCATTTCCGAACTCACCTGCGCCAGCAAGTACATCTTGGGCTACGCCTTCAAATCAGAAGAAGACATCGCCGCCAAGCAGCGTGTCGACGAGATTGTTCAGGGCTACCTGGAGGACTCAGGCACAGTTGACCTCAGCAACCAGCAGGTGTACAGGGCCGCCCACGCCGCGACGCAAGCTCGCACAACCTCCACCTTCGAGGCAGCTCACTTGCTTTTGGGCTATCCAACGGTCCTCTTCTCAAGAGACAACGAATGGGTGCAGGTCGGCCCGCCAAGCACATGGACCCTGGTGGTGCCGCAACTGGAAGAGGCAGATGCCCTGCAGGACCCCGCCGTGTATGCAGCCACTCGTAGAGACGAAGGAACTGACCTCCCGAAGGCCCATCGTTTTCAACAGCAACACTGCGGTGACAAGGAGACCGAGGTTCCCGTGGAAGGAGGCAAGCCAGTGAGGAAGCCCTGGCGGGAGATCACATTCTTTGATTTCGTGGCCGGCTTCAAATTCGTTGCCAAGAAGATGGGGGAGGAGCCAGAACCAAGGAAGAGGCCGGCCATCGTCGGGCATCGCAATTACAATCCAGACTTGCAGCCGGAAGAGTTCTACTACTCAAAGCTGCTGCTGCATCTTGTTTGGACAGAGCCTGGCGATTGGCTCCGAGAAGAGGATGGAGGAAGCCACGCAGCTGCCTTCCATCGGATTGTGAAGGATTTGGAGCGCCACCCCACATTCCTGGAATCCATCGCCCTGCCAAAGCTCGATGGCACTGTGCAAGCAGCCAGGGAGCTGCAGGCGGTCCAGTCGTTCATGTACCTCAAAGCCAACGTTGGAAACATGATGGGCCTTGTCCATTGCCGGGCAGACGAGCAAAACTACGAGGACTCGCTGCGCATCATGCAGGCTCTCAAGGACAGGCACGGGAACGACATCGAGTTCATGGCCCCGGACACCGTGCCCACCGGCCCTGCTACTGACATCTTCGCACCAGTCGAAGGCGGCGAGGCCGGGCGGGTAAAATTCAACGAGACATTATCATTTGTGTTTGGATTTGTGCGTCAGCCGTCTGCCTGCCAGGAAGCTTTGGAGATGCTGGCCATCAAAGACCCGTCGCCTCAGGTCTTGAAGCAGAGGCAGTGCATGGAGTACGTGCTGCGATCGGTGCTCGATGGGCCACACTCCAAGAACCGGAACAACCTGCGCCGGCTCCGCTTGCTCATTCACGGGCCAGGCGGCTGCGGCAAGTCGGTGGTGGCAAGAGCAGCCGCTCATATGCTGCGGCAGGCCGGTCGAGGTGTGGTATTGGCAGCGCCTACAGGAGTCGCAGCGTGCAACATCAACGGCGTCACTTTGCATTCCAGCCTCTTGTTGCCGGTCATCAACCAGAGCTACGGCAAGGCCTGCGACGTGCCATTGCCTCGTGGGGAGCAGCTCGCTGCGCTACATGCCTTTTGGAAGCACGTCGACGTCCTCATGATAGACGAAATGAGCTTCGTGTCCGAGGCCATGTTGGAGCGGGTGGATCAACACCTGCGACTGGCGCGGGACATGCCGCACTTGCCCTTCGGCGGTGTCCACTTGATTCTTATTGGCGATCTCTACCAGCTGCCGCCGCCCAAAGGCCTGGAGGGGTGCCAAAACATGACATGAAACACGCGCGCAGCACAATGATATACATCCTCCTGTGTTGCAGCACACAAACAGATTTCGGCGCTGGGTTTTTAGCTTGCTTGTCCCTCCAGGCCTACCGATCTTTGCCAGCAAGCTATGGGGCTGCTTTGAGCTGCGCGAGCTGGAAGGCAACCAACGCGCAGCCAAAGACCCCGAGTGGGCAGCGCTCCTGGCACGCGTGAGGGTGGGCCAGCAGACCGAGCAGGACATCCAGATTCTGCAGAGCCGGGTCGTCAACAAACACTCTGCGAATCCTCGCCCATCACCAGAAGCAGTCCACTTGTTTGCAACCCGAGATGCCGTGGCAAACCACAATTCCCATTACATCCAAAACCACATTGAACGCACTGGCAGCGTCCTGTATGAATGCCCTTCGGTGGATGTTTCCGTGAAGACTGGCGCACCTCTACCTGCAGAAAAGGCATGGCCGCGCGCGGATGACACCGGCGGCCTGGAAGCATTGTTGACCGTGGCTGAGGGCGCCCAAGTCATGTTGCGGAAGAACCTGGATGTGGGAGATGGTTTGGTCAACGGCGCACGGGGCACCATCCAAGGCATTGATCTTCACCAATAGACCAAGGAGGTGACCAAGCTGTGGGTGAAGTTTGAAAAGAACGCGGGCAGCAAGTGGGAAAGCGCCAACGCCTGCGCAGCAGTAGCCATCCGGCGAACCACCGCCACCTTTCAGGACAGAGATGGCAACAAAGCTGACCGAACGCAGTTCCCGCTCACCTTGGCCAAGGCCTGCACCATCCACAAAAGTCAGGCTGCCACTTACCACGCCGGCGTGCACGCCCGGCTCGACAAGTCAGTGCGGGAGCCTGGCTCTGCATATGTGGCTTTGAGCCGTTCTCCAACTCAGCAGCTGTGCACGCTGGAGCGCTTCCAAAGAGAGAGCCTCAAGTACAACCACTATGCCGCATGGGCTTTGGCACAATTGAAGAGCAAATTGGCGAAGAGCCCTGGGCCCAAGCAGCAAGGCTTGCAAGAACTATGGGACAGCGTCGTGCGTCCAGCCCACGGCCACGACCATTACGAGATGCTTCTGGAGAGCATGCAGCCATTCAACCGCAGGACCTACCTGGAGGAGCAGCGTGCAAAGGATGCGCCAGCAGACGACGCAGTGCAGGACGCCAAGACGAACAAGCCAAAGACGAAGAGCAAGGCAAAAGCAACAGCCAAAAGGAGGGCCAAGGCGACCGCCAAGGCGAAAGCAAAGCAGGCAGCAAGTGCCAAAGCCAAGGCCGCAGCCAGCAAGCGAGCCATGTCCGCGGCGGCTGCAGCAGCAGAGGCTGCAGCTGCCGCAGCAGCGGCAGCAGCAGTGGGCACATTCTTCGAACATCAACAAGAAGCGCAATGTGGCATGCACGCGCTCAACAATGCTTTGGGCAAAACAGCATTCACCCCAGAGGACATGGCCACAGCTGCCGAGACATACCTCCAGGAATGGCAAGGCATTGATGAAGCCGAGAGTGAACACATCAGGCCTGGAGGGTGGTATTCAGTCCAGATCCTTTATGCCGCTCTTTTCAACCGGGGCATTGCGCTCAACCTGGACGAGCCGGTGCAATCCGTGGACCAGGCGCACCTCGCGACAGCTCTGGTGCAGAATTGGAACAACCAGCATTGGGTGGCCTACCGCTGGGGGGCCGATGGCGCCATGTACCGGTTCGATTCGTTGCAGCGTGGCCCTGAAAGAGTGAGTGAAGCGGACTTCGCAGCATCCTTGGTCACACATTGGACCTATGCAGTTCTTCTCCCGTGTGACATGTGAAGTGTAGGTGTTTGCGCCCTGACAAGTACAGCAGAGGCGCGGCAGCGTGACAGCACGGCGTATCCATGCAAAAGAACCAACGCCTGCCTAGGACTTACAGCGTCTGGTTGCACGTGTTACACTGCTACACGCATGAGCATGACCCACAGTGTTACACGCACGAGCACGACCCAGCTTTCGGAGCATGAACCCTATCAAAAATCCCAAAAAAAAAAAACCCTCGAAACTCCTCAAAGTCTGGTTGCACGTGTTACAGTGCTACACGAGTGTTACACGCACGAGCATGACCCAGCGTTCTGAGCATGAACCCTATCAAAAATCCAAAAAAAAAACTCCTGGAAACTTTCCTCGAAACTCCTTAAAACTCCTCAAAACTCCTCAAAACTCCTCGAAACTTTCCCCGGACCTGAACCCTTAATAAGTTCAATAAACCCTAAACCCTAAACCCTAAACCCTAAACCCTAAACCCTAAACCCTAAACCCTAAACCCTAAACCCTAAACCCTAAACCCTAAACCTGGTGGTGGCCCTGCTCTGGTTCTTTGGGCCAGACTAGGGGTGCAGTGCAACCTCTTTTTTGAGAGGGCCCTTCGGCCCAGACCGTCCCCTTCGCGCAAACCTGAAGGAGAGTCCTTTGCCTTATGGACCCAAGTGACCCACAACCTGCAAGTTCACGCCTGAGTTTTCTGTGAGAGGGCCCTTCGGCCCAGACCGTCCCCTTCGCGTAAACCTGAAGGGGGATCCTTTGCCTTATGGCCCCAAGAAAAACCCAGAAGTCTAGTCACTAAAGGCTTGGGCTGTTCTAACTAGTTTTCAGAATCCTCCAAGAATGTTCGACGTGTGAGTTTTGAATGGTTGCCTTAGTTTGGGCTGGCTCCGGCTCGGTTTCGCGGATTTTGAATGGCTGGCTTGGTTTTGGCTGGCTCCGGTTTGGTTTCGCAGTGAGTTGTGATAGGGTGGCCTTGGGGTGGGCATGTCTTCACACTATTACGTTCAGCTGACCCGTGCTACACCCTAAACCCTAAACCCTAAACCCTAAACCCTAAACCCTAAACCCTAAACCCTAAACCCTAAACCCTAAACCCTAAACCCTAAACCCTAAACCCTAAACCCTAAACCCTAAACCCTAAACCCTAAACCCTAAACCTGGTGGTGGCCCTGCTCTGGTTCTTTGGGCCAGACTAGGGGTGCAGTGCAACCTCTTTTTTGAGAGGGCCCTTCGGCCCAGACCGTCCCCTTCGCGCAAACCTGAAGGAGAGTCCTTTGCCTTATGGACCCAAGTGACCCACAACCTGCAAGTTCACGCCTGAGTTTTCTGTGAGAGGGCCCTTCGGCCCAGACCGTCCCCTTCGCGTAAACCTGAAGGGGAATCCTTTGCCTTATGGCCCCAAGAAAAACCCAGAAGTCTAGTCACTAAAGGCTTGGGCTGTTCTAACTAGTTTTCAGAATCCTCCAAGAATGTTCGACGTGTGAGTTTTGAATGGTTGCCTTAGTTTGGGCTGGCTCCGGCTCGGTTTCGCGGATTTTGAATGGCTGGCTTGGTTTTGGCTGGCTCCGGTTTGGTTTCGCAGTGAGTTGTGATAGGGTGGCCTTGGGGTGGGCATGTCTTCACACTATTACGTTCAGCTGACCCGTGCTACACCCTAAACCCTAAACCCTAAACCCTAAACCCTAAACCCTAAACCCTAAACCCTAAACCCTAAACCCTAAACCCTAAACCCTAAACCCTAAACCCTAAACCCTAAACCCTAAACCCTAAACCCTAAACCCTAAACCTGGTGGTGGCCCTGCTCTGGTTCTTTGGGCCAGACTAGGGGTGCAGTGCAACCTCTTTTTTGAGAGGGCCCTTCGGCCCAGACCGTCCCCTTCGCGCAAACCTGAAGGAGAGTCCTTTGCCTTATGGACCCAAGTGACCCACAACCTGCAAGTTCACGCCTGAGTTTTCTGTGAGAGGGCCCTTCGGCCCAGACCGTCCCCTTCGCGTAAACCTGAAGGGGGATCCTTTGCCTTATGGCCCCAAGAAAAACCCAGAAGTCTAGTCACTAAAGGCTTGGGCTGTTCTAACTAGTTTTCAGAATCCTCCAAGAATGTTCGACGTGTGAGTTTTGAATGGTTGCCTTAGTTTGGGCTGGCTCCGGCTCGGTTTCGCGGATTTTGAATGGCTGGCTTGGTTTTGGCTGGCTCCGGTTTGGTTTCGCAGTGAGTTGTGATAGGGTGGCCTTGGGGTGGGCATGTCTTCACACTATTACGTTCAGCTGACCCGTGCTACACCCTAAACCCTAAACCCTAAACCCTAAACCCTAAACCCTAAACCCTAAACCCTAAACCCTAAACCCTAACCCTAAACCCTAAACCCTAAACCCTAAACCCTAAACCCTAAACCCTAAACCCTAAACCCTAAACCTGTGGTGGCCCTGCTCTGGTTCTTTGGGCCAGACTAGGGGTGCAGTGCAACCTCTTTTTTGAGAGGGCCCTTCGGCCCAGACCGTCCCCTTCGCGCAAACCTGAAGGAGAGTCCTTTGCCTTATGGACCCAAGTGACCCACAACCTGCAAGTTCACGCCTGAGTTTTCTGTGAGAGGGCCCTTCGGCCCAGACCGTCCCCTTCGCGTAAACCTGAAGGGGAATCCTTTGCCTTATGGCCCCAAGAAAAACCCAGAAGTCTAGTCACTAAAGGCTTGGGCTGTTCTAACTAGTTTCAGAATCCTCCAAGAATGTTCGACGTGTGAGTTTTGAATGGTTGCCTTAGTTTGGGCTGGCTCCGGCTCGGTTTCGCGGATTTTGAATGGCTGGCTTGGTTTTGGCTGGCTCCGGTTTGGTTTCGCAGTGAGTTGTGATAGGGTGGCCTTGGGGTGGGCATGTCTTCACACTATTACGTTCAGCTGACCCGTGCTACTAAACCCTAAACCCTAAACCCTAAACCCCCTAAACCCTAAACCCTAAACCCTAAACCCTAAACCCTAAACCCTAAACCCTAAACCCTAAACCCTAAACCCTAAACCCTAAACCCTAAACCTGGTGGTGGCCCTGCTCTGGTTCTTTGGGCCAGACTAGGGGTGCAGTGCAACCTCTTTTTTGAGAGGGCCCTTCGGCCCAGACCGTCCCCTTCGCGCAAACCTGAAGGAGAGTCCTTTGCCTTATGGACCCAAGTGACCCACAACCTGCAAGTTCACGCCTGAGTTTTCTGTGAGAGGGCCCTTCGGCCCAGACCGTCCCCTTCGCGTAAACCTGAAGGGGGATCCTTTGCCTTATGGCCCCAAGAAAAACCCAGAAGTCTAGTCACTAAAGGCTTGGGCTGTTCTAACTAGTTTTCAGAATCCTCCAAGAATGTTCGACGTGTGAGTTTTGAATGGTTGCCTTAGTTTGGGCTGGCTCCGGCTCGGTTTCGCGGATTTTGAATGGCTGGCTTGGTTTTGGCTGGCTCCGGTTTGGTTTCGCAGTGAGTTGTGATAGGGTGGCCTTGGGGTGGGCATGTCTTCACACTATTACGTTCAGCTGACCCGTGCTACACCCTAAACCCTAAACCCTAAACCCTAAACCCTAAACCCTAAACCCTAAACCCTAAACCCTAAACCCTAAACCCTAAACCCTAAACCCTAAACCCTAAACCCTAAACCCTGAACCGTTTTGGAATTAGGGTTTTCAGGGTTGTTACCGTTTAGGAATTAGGGTTTTGAGGGTTTTTACGATTTAGGGATTAGGGTTCTCGGTTTAAGGGATTTAGGGTTATTTAAAAAATTTAGGCGCTGCGCGCGCCAAAACCTGCATTCGCTGCGCGGGCCTACGGGGGCCCAGACGCGCAGCTCATGCTTTTGTCTTGCACGCAGCGCTTAAGAGCGCACTTCACGGCGACCCGCTTGCTCAAGTCTTTGGGGCAACAGTCGTTAAAGAATGCTTCAGGGTTTCGGGGATTAAGGCTTAGAGCTTACTTTGCCCCTCAAGTGCTTCTGGTGTTATATTGACTCTCATGTTGCCACGGTGTTCTGTTTGGTGCTTTGTTCTTTTCTACTTCAACCCCACTCTACGAAAACGAGCTTTCCCTTTTCGCAGTTCTTTGTCGCCAGTCTGGGATACTCGTGACCTCGCAACTATCAAGTAAGGGGCAAGTGATGCCCGCAAGCCCTACCGACAGATTCGCTCAGGGCTTTGGGGTCCCCGCTCATTTGAGCAACGGCTTTGCGTCCTGTCATTCTGTTCGGCAATTGTGGTGACTGGTTAGGGCGGCCCAACCAAAGCTAAAAAGCAAACTGAGATTGCCTGCTAGGGGTATTCGTGTATTCGGAAGAGAGGCTCATAAAGCCCATAGATCCAATGCGCAGACCGCATCATTGACATTAAACCCTGCAGATAGTGATGGAAGCTCATCAAAACAAGGAACAAGAGCTGGCTCTTCCAAGCGGTTTATCGATGTGTGCTGGGGCCTCTCATACTTCCCAGAAATGTGGCCACGTGTGGCCAAAAACTTCCAGAGCTCTTTCCTGAGTTTTCCACCGTAAACCCTGAAGACACTGCCCACACAGGCTGTGCGCAGAAGCTGATCCACTCAAGTCGCAACAATCCCAAACCAATCCCCACAGTCTGCACACATTCGCAATCAAGTCGCACAGCCCACCCCACCCATCTCTCCCCGCCCAATTTTGACCCCCCACCTATGGACAAGTCTTGGATGGAATAGCTTTCCCAAAAAAAAGCAAACCCTAAACCCTGAACCCTGAACCCTAAACCCGAAGCCCTGGACCCTAAACCCCTAACCCCTAAACCCTAAACTGAGTGAGCTCGGGGCCGTCGAAGCCGGCAGGCGAGGTAGCTCCGAAGCCAGAAGCCCTACGGAGCGCGGTGGCGACCAGACGCCGTCAGAGCCAGTCCAGACGGAGGCTGCCTGGCAGGCCCCTGCCTGGGCGGCCCCTGCCCGGAAGGCCCCTGACAGGACCCTGATGCCAAACCTCCAACACCGACAAGGAACCCCAACAAAGAAGAAGCAAAAGCGGCAGCCAGCCCCAAGCCCAAACCTCGGACTTTTCTGGCGCTTTTTGAAGGCATCACAAAGCCGCCGCCTCCCAAACAAGACGTTCCGGATGCAGCATCAGCGAGGCGACGGTGGCAGCAACCCCCACAAAGGTCCCAAACCTCTGATTTTGGCCCGCCCAGAAGCCCTCGAATGATGGACATCATCCCTTGCAACGCCAAGGGGCTGCGAACTTCTGCATCGATGCCGAGCTTCTAAACCCAACCCCTGGAAAAAAGAAAAATAGCAAAAACACGATCAGAATATACCAGAATTCAAAAGAACCCTAAACTCGTAGAGGTTAAGGCGAGGGTGGAGCGCCAGCGCGCGGGTGGGCTCCTGCAAGTCGGGGCACGCGCCTGGGTGCTTTCAGCACCAGCGCGCCCACTCACTGAGACACCCTAAACCCTAAACCCTAAACCCTAAACCCAATGGACCTGGCGGCGCGACTGCTTGTTTCTACGAACTTTTGCCGCAGTTGGACCGAACACAAAAAATCAAACAGTCGGAAAAGGTTCTGCCTCGTAGGAATAAACGGGGAACTCCGCGACAACGCGGCGATGCTGTCTTTGGAGAGCTCGCAAAGCTTGCATTGGCCGGGGTCTTGGCACCGCTCGCTGTATCAAGCAACAGCAACACTGACACTCAAAGATTCGGTCACGACACAAAGCACTGAAACACTTCCCGCATACGAACACTGCCGTCCAAGCAACTTGCGGCAACCTGCGGCCTCGAACAGAAGCCTCGATGACTGCTTCCTTCGATTGCCCGCCATACTTTAAGCAGAAGCAACTATCAATATAGACATATAGACTACACATGGCTACACCCTCAGACAGGCCAGGCAAGGGCTCCTCCTGCAGCAGTAGATCCCGCGCAAGCCTCTCCGCCTCGCGTTCCTCATTGGCTTTGACCAGTGCGGCGGGGGCGTCGCGGAAGCTACGCGTCACAGACAATGTCCTTGACCAATGCGCCGTCAAGACAAGGATGTCTCACTCACTCACTCACTCACTCACACTTGCACACACACACACACACACCTACACCTGAGGCTCGAAGCTTCCTTATGAACGCTACTACTACTACTACTACTACTACTACTACTACTACTACTACTACTACTACTACTACTACTACTACTACTACTACTACTACTACTACTACTACTACTACTACTACTACTACTACTACTACTACTACTACTACTACTACTACTACTACTACTACTACTACTACTACTAACTACTACTACTACTACTACTACTACTACTACTACTACTACTACTACTACTACTACTACTACTACTACTACTACTACTACTACTACTACTACTACTACTACTACTACTACTACTACTACTACTACTACTACTACTACTACTACTACTACTACTACTGCGAACAGCCACTCTCTGCCACAACAAGATGAGGAAACTGCTTTGCGACTCTCCTAATCGCCGCCGCGCGGTCCGCATCGTCTTTCTGGGTCTCCCGCTGCCTGCGCCACCTCTGCAAGCATACTATCATAAGACGCCATACGCAACCAGCGCCAGTCCTTGCCCACTCTTCCACGCACGGCTGTAGTTGCTGCCGGAGACGCGAAGAACTCGGCCTGGCAAGATCCCGACACGAAGCCTGAAGCCCTGCCAAGCCCTGATCCCAGCAAAGCCTAAGCCCCTAAGCCCTGGCCCTAAGCGCCCTTCGAAGCCCTTATATCTACAAAGCCCTAAGCCCTACCAAGCCCTAAGCCCTACCAAGCCCTATCCAATAGAAAACCAATAGAAAACCCTAAACCCCAATAGAAAACCAATCGAAACCAATAGAAAACCAATAGAACACCATTAAAACCCAATAGAAAACCTATAACAACCAATGAAAACCTGTCAACACCAATAGAAAACCACAGGAAATAAATTAAATCCAAATAGAAAACCTATGGAAAACCCTCAACCCTAAGAGAAAACCAATCGAAACAAATAGAAAACCAACAGAACACCAATAAAAACCAATAAAAACCAAATAGAAAAACCTAAACCCTAAACCATACCAAGCCCTTTCCAATAGAAAACCAATGGAAAACCCGAAGCCCGAATAGAAAACCAATCGAAACCAATAGAAAACCAATAGAACACCAATAAAAACCAATAAAAACCAAAAAAACAATACAGAACAATACAAAACCAATAAAAACCAATAGAAAACCAATTAGAAAACTACAAAAACCAATAGAAAACCGATCGAAACCAACAGAAAACCAAAAGAAAACCAATAACACTTGAGAGAAAACCAATGGAAAACCCTAAACCCTAAACCCAAAGCCCTGCAAAGCCCGAAGCCCTGCCAAGCCCTGATCCCAGCAAAGCTTAAGCCGCTAAGCCCTGGCCCTATGCGCCCTTCGAAGCCTTTATATCTACAAAGCTCTAAGCCCTACCAAGCCCTATCCAATAGAAAACCAATGGAAAACCCTAAACCCTAATAAAAACAATCGAAACCAATAGAAAACTAATAGAACACCAATAAAAACCAATAAAAAACAAAAAAAAAAACTTAAACCCTAAACCTCAAACCCTAAACCCTACCAAGCCCTATCCAATAGAAAACCAATGAAAACCCTAAACCCTAATAGAAAACCAATCGAAACAAATAGAAAACCAATAGAACACCAATCAATACAGAACAATAGAAAACCAATAAAAACCAACAGAAAACCACAGGAAATAAATTAAATCTAATAGAAAACCTATGGAAAACCCTCAACCCTAATAGAAAGCCAATCGAAACCAATATAGAACACCAATAAAAAAACAAATAGAAAAAACCTAAAATAGAAACCAAAAAAAAAACAATAAAAAACAATACAGAACAATAGAAAACCAATAAAAACAAATAGAAAACCAATGGAAAACCTACAAAAACCAATAGAAAACCGATCGAAACCAACAGAAAACCAAAAGAAAACCAATAACACCCGAGAGAAAACCAATGGAAAACCCTAAACCCTAAACCCAAAGCCCTGCAAAGCCCGAAGCCCTGCCAAGCCCTGATCCCAGCAAAGCCTAAGCCCCTAAGCCCTGGCCCTAAGCGCCCTTCGAAGCCCATATATCTACAAAGCCCTAAGCCCTACCAAGCCCTAAGCCCTACCAAGCCCTAAGCCCTACCAAGCCCTAAGCCCTACCAAGCCCTATCCAATAGAAAACCAATAGAAAACCCTAAACCCTAATAGAAAACCAATCGAAACCAATAGAAAACCAAGAGAACACAAATAAAAACCAATAGAAAACCTATAACAACCAATGAAAACCTGTCAACACCAATAGAAAACCACAGGAAATAAATTAAATCCAATAGAAAACCTGTGGAAAACCCTCAACCCTAAGAGAAAACCAATCGAAACAAATAGAAAACCAATAGAACACCCATAAAAACCAATAAAAAACAAATAAATAGAAAAACCTAAACCCTAAACCCCACCAAGCCCTATCAAATAGAAAACCAATGGAAAACCCTAAACCCTAATAGAAAACAAATCGAAACAACTAGAAAACCAATAGAACACAAATAAAAACCAATAGAAAACCAATACCAATAGAAAACCTATAACAACCAATGAAAACCTGTCAAAACCAATAGAAAACCCCAGGAAATAAATTAAATCCAATAGAAAACCTATGGAAAACCCTCAACCCCGCTCCGCCCGCGCGTTTTGCCGCGCTTCGACTAGAGCGATTTGTGTCGCACATGCTTCCCGTATCGTTATTTGCAGTGTTTTGTAGCTTCACGAGTCGCGGAAAAGTCGTTTATGTTAGGACGCCGTTTTATAAAATTCAGCGTCCCAGACGCATACCTCTCGTGAGAAGTGCCGTTGAATGTGTGTGTGTGTGTGTGTGTGTGTGTGTGTGTGAGTGTGGGTGTGCGTGTGCGTGTGCGTGTGCGTGTGCGTGTGCGTGTGCGTGTGTGTGTGTGTGCGTGTGTGTGTGTGTGTGTGTGTGTGTGTGTGTGTGAGTGTGTGTGTGAGTGTGTGTGTGTGTGTGTGTGTGTGTTTGCTTGCAAGGCCAGAGCGGGCAATTTTCTTGCTGACCCGGCGAATGTCTGAGAAACATTGCGGAATCCACACCAAAGCATCGAGCCCGGTACAGTGTTGCTGTGGGCAATGGACGCACTGGCAGCATGGACGTTATCAAGGTTCGGGCACGGTGCCCTAGACACTCGCACGTACTGGTACAGTGTTGCTGTGGGCAATGGACGCACTGGCAGCATGAACGTTATCAAGGTTCGGGCACGGTGCCCTAGACACTCGCACGTATTGGTACAGTGTTGCTGTGGGCAATGGACGCACTGGCAGCATGGACGGTTCGGGCACGGTGCCCTAGACACTCGCACGTACTGGTACAGTGTTGCTGTGGGCAATGGACGCACTGGCAGCATGAACGTTATCAAGGTTCGGGCACGGTGCCCTAGACACTCGCACGTACTGGTACAGTGTTGCTGTGGGCAATGGACGCACTGGCAGCATGGACGTTATCAAGGTTCGGGCACGGTGCCTTAGGGCCTAGACACTCGCACGTACTGGTGCAGTGTTGCTGTGGGCAATGGATGCACTGGCAGCATGGACGTTATCAAGGTTCGGGCACGGTGCCCTAGACACTCGCACGTACTGGTACAGTGTTGCTGTGGGCATTGGATGCACTGGCAGCATGGACGTTATCAAGGTTCGGGCACGGTGCCTTAGGGCCTAGACACTCGCACGTACTGGTACAGTGTTGCTGTGAGCAATGGACGCACTGGCAGCATGGACGTTATCAAGGTTCGGGCACGGTGCCCTAGACACTCGCACGTACTGGTACAGTGTTGCTGTGGGCAATGGATGCACTGGCAGCATGGACGTTATCAAGGTTCGGGCACGGTGCCCTAGACACGCGCGTGGAGGCCTCGACGAATTTGAGCTGAAATTTCTCGGAAAGCATGGCAGGGACGGTGTTGACACAGATGGTAAACCTGCGGCAAGACGTGTGGTCGTAGGGCTCAACCCTAATAGAAAAGCAACCGAAACCAATAGAAAACCAATAGAACACCAATTAAACCAATAAAAAACAATACAAAACAATACAGAACAATAGAAAACCAATAAACACCAATAGAAAACCTACAAAAACCAAAGAAAACCTATCGAAACCAATAGAAAACCAACAGAAAACCAATAAAACCCGAGAGAAAACCAATGGAAAACCCTAACCCTAAACCCTAAACCCAAAGCCCTGCAAAGCCCTAAGCCCGACACGAAGCCCGAAGCCCTGCCAAGCCCTGATCCCAGCAAAGCCTAAGCCCCTAAGCCCTGGCCCTAAGCGCCCTTGGAAGCCCTTATATCTACAAAGCCCTAAGCCCTACCAAGCCCTATCCAATAGAAAACCAATGGAAAACCCTAAACCCTAATAGAAAACCAATCGAAACCAATAGAAAACCAATAGAACACCAATAACAGCCAATAGAAAACCAATACAGAACAATAGAAAACCAATAAAAACCAACAGAAAACCTATAACAACCAATGAAAACCTGTCAAAACCGAAAACCACAGGAAACAAATTAAATCCAATAGACAACCTATGGAAAACCCTCAACCCTAAACCCTAAACCCTAAAACCCTAAACCCTAGCTGCAAAGTCGAGATGATGAAGGAAAGGACGCAGTGTCCAGGGAGGCCCCCCCCTCCTGCCTGTCTGTGAGTGAGCCCGTGACCTGAGAGAGCCCTGTTTCACTTGATGTCAGCCCCATAGGGATCACGATGGCACAGCTGGGTTCGATGTTGGTGGGTTCGATGTTGGATGTATACTGTTAGCCATCCTGTTTTGGGCTGTGCCACTGTGGTCGGGAACCTAGTATGCTGTTGCGCCCTCAGCTGCCAATGTGTAGTCACACTTTGTCATGGTGATTCTCCAGTCCACCGAGTATGTTGGGTGTGCGCTGTTAACCATCCTGCTTGAGTGGCTGGTGAAGCGTGGTCCACATGGTGGGTCGCCTAGTATGCCTTTGCACCCTCGGCTGCCAATGCGTAGCCACACTTGTCATGGCGCTTCTCCCAGTCCACAGGGTATGTTGGGTGTATACTGTTAACTATCCTTGCCACCTGGTGGCTCTTTCCATCGGGGCCCCTCTACTGGCGTTGTTTCTTCAACTGTCTCCAATGTGATGCAGCTTCTGTCTTGGATCATCCGGAGCCTCGCCAGCGTGTGCGCCAGTGTGGGAGTCGAAACCCTAAGCCCTAAACCTTAAACCGCATACCTATCTCTTAAAGTTGTTTTAAAGTTTGTTTGGAGTGTTGGCATACCTATCTTTGAAAGTTTGGAGTTTTGGCATACCTAGAAGCACCACACAACAACACACAGCAACAACACGACGACGCAACAACACGCAGCACAACAACACGACGCAACGCAGCAACACGACTACCAGACGTAACAACACGACACAACACAAAACAGCACAACGCAACGCTGGATTGAAGAGTCTGTCACGCGCAAAACAAAGGCTCATCTCTTGAATACAAAAGTTGGGAGTTTGGCATACCTATCTCTTGAAGATTGGAGTTTTGGCATACCTTTCCTCTTAACGTTTGGAGTTTTGGCATACCTATCTCTTAAAGTTTGTTTGGAGTTTTGGCATACCTATCTGACCTATCTCTTAAAGTTTGGAGTTTTGGCATACCTATCTCTTAACGCTTGGAGTTTTGGCATACCTATCTCTCAAAGTTTGGAGTTTACCTATCTCTTGAAGTTTGGACTTTTGGCATGCCTATCTCTTAAAGTTTGGAGTTTTGGCATACCTAGCAACTTGCAACACCACACAACAACACACAGCAACAACACGACGACGCAACAACACGACCCAACAACACGCAACAACACGCAGCAACACGACGTAACAGACGTAACAACACAACGCAACACGAAACAACACAACGCTACGCCGCGCAACAACACGACGCAACAACACGCGGCAACACCACACAACAACACACAGCATGACAACGCAACAACACGCAGCAACACCACACAACAACACGCAGCAACACCACGACGCAACACCACACAAAACCACACACCCAAAAAGTCTTGCCATGGGCTCCTTCCCCAAAGGGCGCTACCAAGAAAGAGGTCCACACTAACATACACTAACCGTCCCCAGGTCGCTGGAAGGCACGCCAACACGGTCAACCGCGAGGCCCGGCCCCACCCATCTTCCAGGAACCCAGTCTTGCCGGAGCACGCAGGGCCAGCTGAACAGCTGCCTTTCGTGCTAGGTTCCCATCTATACATGGCCCCTTAGCTTGGGCCCCTAAACGGGGACCCCTGAAATACCCCTTATATACCCTACACAACCCAAGGGGCCCATACTTCAGAACCATTTAAAGGAGGTGAGGGGCCATATTCAGGCCCACAGAACTGCTGCTGAATTGCGGGGCTTAGGGGTTTGGGTAGACATCACTGAGCTCTGAACCCCTGGAGGCCCTCCCTTCAGAAACCTACAATGTTGGTTTAGGGTTTAGGGTTTTGGATTTAGGGCTTATCATAAACAACTCCCCCTTTCGCAGGGTGCTTTCTTGGGTTGGTCCTCACTTTCGTGCGCAGAAGGAAATTTCAGGCCGAACCAAAAAAAGGCCCAGGGCTTCTGGAACCCGACAGATGGTTAACGACAAGTAACTTGGCTCACCACCTTCCGGCAATCATCCAGAAAACCCTTTCTACAACCACGTTTGCCCAGACGCTCTCACAGCCCGCACTCGGACCCATGCATACCCATGCCACGCACTCGCACACCACCTCACACGTCGCATGCCGCCGTCCGCTGTCGCGGTACCAGTCCGTACCACCCCTAGGCCCTAAGTGTCCAGCTCACCGGCCTGTGCAAGTCGGCTTCGAGCTTCGGTTTTAAGAAACCTCACGACAAAGACACAACCACTTATTACGGTCACTCTTGCTGTCTGGGAGCTTGATGATTGTCTCTTCCGCACCATCCACATGCTCTGCTTGCCGCTCCCCGGGAGCCCATATCATCCCTGTATGCGTCCTGAACACTACGATTGGGATTCTCAATGCAAACCCCAACACAGCGTTGCATGGAGGTCTTTCCGCAAGCAACTCCACGACGTGGAGGGAGCGAGGTTATGCTATAGGTTGTCGGAGGCTATTGCTTGTCCCCGCCTCTCTACGTGCACTGCAACCACACCACTGGATACAATCAACAAGTAGTGCTGAATTATAACCATACAGCAACTGATACGCTGAAGCCTTCAGACACTGGAGATGATGGCCGTCTCTTCTGCAGGAATGCCACGGGCAAACGAATGCAAAGCAACAGCTAACTACGAGCACCCTGGACCGAAGTGATTCGTCGTAGCTCGAAAAGTGACATGAAAACGAATAGACGACACCTGGAAAGCACCAAGTGCGGGGCACGTCCTGCCTCCAAAGCACCGAGTCCAACAGGCCCGGAGCTGCGCATTGTTGGCAGCAAAACGTAGTCTTACTCCACAAATAGTTCGGTAAATTCACACTGGTATCAGATACAACTTCCATGTAGTTTGTCTTGAGGCTTAGGGCTTCATCCTCAAAAGCAAACACGAAAATTATTCAACAATAATTTGGTTGGTCTCTTTGTTCTTGTTCTTGTTTTTGCATACATTTGTTTTGCTGATATGTGTGTGAGGCATGGCAAGGGTACGTACGATTTACACAAAACGACAGGGACCATGAGGGGTGGAAAGAACCTTGTTTAGCAGGGTCTGGGATTCAAATCGGGTTTCAAAACTCGGGGGTTTCATATCGGACTTGGGAGTGTTTGAAGGGGCTGGGGTTGGTTTGTGTCTTGAAAAGGCCCGGTGCTGGGTTTGGGGTGGGCTTGACCTTGTTTAGAATGTAAACGAGGTCTGGGGTTCTAATCTGGTTTGGAACAAAATGGGTTCGTGATTCTTAAAAGGTGCTGGAGTAGGTTTGGGTTAAGGTGCCTGGAGAGCCAAAAAAAAAAAACAAACCTCCTTGGAGGACGCATGCCTTGAATTTGTTAAAACCTCCCTTGCCGAGAAAGCTTCATCCTTTTGTCTGTTCGTACGTGCAGCAATCCTCAAACTTGTTCCCCGAAACAAGCTTTAACCGAAAAAGGTTGAACCGACAACTTGTTAAGTTCAAGCTTGTTCACCCACACAAGGTTGGGCCGAATTGCTCAATTCAAGCATGCACAAACAAGGTTGAACCGAAAACTTAAGCTCAAGCTTGTTCCTTCATCCAACTGTCCCCTGGCACGAAGCCAGACCCTAATGAAGCCAAAAGCCCGAAAGCCAAGGCTACGCACATTGTGCCAACCAACGCCAACACAAGCGATTCTCGCATCAGAGGAACATCATCTACAAGACCAAACAAACCAAGCAAAGTCTGTGGCTTGTAGACAAGGAGGCATGCAGTTACCTCCTTGCTTGAAGTCGACATCTGAGATGAATCTATATATCAACAGTAGACTAGACCAGACTAGATCGACCCTGTCACTAGACTAGATGCTACAGAACCGAGGATCGTCGCTTCTTTTGGCAAAGTGTCAGACTCCCGGCTGCCAGCAGTGCCCTGCGCCGGTTGCGCGGCACTGACCCTTCAGAGCTTCAGCACCTGGCATGTTCACATATGTTCATGCTCGACAGCAGTAGCAGAATTTGCCGGACATGCTATGGCCGCCATGGGGTATACCTTCACCTTGGTCTCACGGCGGGACAAATACACGGCAAAGCTCCGGTTTGGGCTAAGGCAACAAGGACATTTACTTTAAGAGTCTTGAGGTATTTGGCTTGTCAATGATTCTCTCGCAGCACCAGCTCCAGAAATCGACATTGATTGGAAGCTCTTGCTTGATATCGCAGGATGGATTTATGGCAGGCTTGGAGAGGTTTAGGGTTTGAAGGAGCTTCGGGTTCGGAAGAGGCGCGCAGTGAGCTTGTTTTTGAAAATGCTTCGCTTGCATGGTCCAATGGCTCATGCAAAGCTGCGAAAAGGCTGCAAAGGCACCTGCACCAACGTACTGTGTGGCAGACGCTATATGCGTGGCTGAGTGCGCGTGTGCGTGCACTGGTGCTTTTGCGGATGTGTGTGTGGGGTGCGTCACAAAATTGACATGGGGGGGAAGGGTTGGGTTAGGGGAAGGAGACCGGATCCGTGTCGCTTGTTCCAAACGCTTCTCGGCAGAAAGCCGAGGCGAAGATGTACTTCTGTATGTATGTATGTATGTACGTATGTGCATGCTTGTTTTTTATGGACACTCACAGCGCGCCATTCAGCTCTTACCTACTTAATACAGAGAGCATGCAATGCCGCGTGTTTTTGTGACGTGCCTGTGGTGCCACCAGTTGCGGAGGAGACGGATGAGGTGTGGTCAGCAGGTTTTACACATCCGTACCAATCATGCCAACACGCCAAGCGAGGACAGGCAGCATGCAGTAACAACATCGACATGCAACTTCAGGTGTCAGTCAGGTGCGGTGATGTTTCATCACCCCCGAGATCATCACATGAATGAACTCGAGCCGATTTGTGCGCAACCACCTGCATTCCGCGAACCATGCATTTGTGAGATGTAATGACGTTCAGGTTTTCTTATATGATAGGTCGCCGCCAGGCGCAAGCCTGAGTCTTCATAGGGCTCTTTGTGGACGATCCAGTGTGCTACCTGCACTTTTGTTGCTGGTTTCAAAACACCAGGCGCAACAACAGTACCGACAGTACAGCACTGCACAGTCATTTCCGCTACGTTCACCATCACCCACACCCAGCCAAATATTCTGCGAGCCTCGTACACTAACATACTATACAGACACGGCATCACCTCATGAATCCCTGCGGACAGACCCATGCAGACCCCAACAAAAAGATAGTTCCACAACAAAAGTTTGCCTGGCACAGGCTCCTCAGGAAATAAATTTTGCAGAGGAATGACGTGAAACGGCCCCGGCAAACTTGGCCAACAACCACTCAAAACCGAGCCATAACTCCAGGAGCTGAGCAGGCTCATCCTCCTGTGATGCGTCCATGCCTTCGCCGACACGGCCTACACGTCCCGAGTAGCGTTTGACCCGAGCTACGGTGGGTGGCTGACGGAAACCCCAGTATCCCATCCTTCTCCAAGCCCAAAAACCCCAAAACCCTTCTTTGGGCCGATTGTGTGCGGTAGGCAGGCAGTTGTGGGTACAGGATCCTTGCACCCACACCCCCCCATCAAACCCACAAACCCTAAACCCAACACCCCAAAACCCTACTCCTCAAAACCCCAAAATCCCCAAACCCGAAAACCCTAAACCCCCAACAGCCCAACAAGCGTGCGGATGGGACGCGGTGCAGCTGGTCAGGCTGCCCATCCCTTCGCCCTGCAGCTTAGACGGCTTCCGTGCAGCCCCCTCTTGTTCCAGAGGTCTTCTGAACCTAAACCCTCCCTTAAGCTCCCTCAATCAAGCTCTCCAGACTACCTAAACTCCCTGAACCATTTGCAGACCCGACCGCCGATCTAGTAGGCGAATGGAAGCCACGAGAGCCTATGGACCTTGGGCCCATTGGGCCCATTGTGCTCTTTGCGGGTCTGAGAATGGATCTTCCCAACAAGGCTCGATGCTCCTCTACTGTGCCTCTGAATCGCAAAACCCCAAACGCACTGCCAAGAAAAAAAAGAGGTGCCGGATGATGACGATGAGGACCTTGGCCAATTTTGGGTGGGGAGAATTTTGTGTGTGTGTGTGTGTGCTTTTTTTTTTGGGGGGGGGGGGAGGCGGGGGTAATTTGTCGGGGCTTTTGAGCTTCGGTTTTTGTTCGATGCCAAGCTTGGGTGAAACACCCCTTGGTGGATCAATTGTGTCACTGACTGTGGCGACGACCGCCACTAGTACTTCAAGGTGCTGGTGCCGACAGTGTCAAAGGTGTGAATCTGATATCCGCCCGACGAACTCATGGTGCCGCCTGTCATCAAAGGCTGTGCGCTTTTGTATCGGATGATGACGATGCCCGAGCCACCCTTCCCAGCCACCGTGCTTTCCGGATCGGTCCCACCACCGCCACCTCCGGTGTTCGCCTCTCCATCAGTTCCCGTGAACCTTGCTTTGGAGGCGCTATGTGCTTTCGCCCCGAAGTCGCCGCCCCTGCCTCCGCCGCCCTTGCCACCAGCTCCACCACCACCGGCGATGAGGATGTCACCATTGTGGTTCACACCCCCACCTCCGCCTCCTCCGTACCACTTCAGAGCGCCTGTGATGTCTGAGGACACGCCATCCCCTCCCTTGCCACCATAGTGCTTCTTTGGGGCGGACCCCCCGGGTTCGCCGGCACCACCCCCGCCACCCGCAGCCCCATAGCCTCTCTGGTTTGTGAGGCCTCCATGGAAGCCTTGACCGGGAGTCCCAGGAGCGGAAGACTGGTGGTTTTGATCGAATCCACCACCACCACCTGATCCGCCACCGCCAGGAGTGCGAGTGTAATCGGCACCCTTTCCTCCGCCAATGGCGACCAAGCTTCCCAGCATGGAGTCTTCTCCTTTTGTCGCGGGCTTGCTAGGATCTCTTTCTACGCCCCCGCCCTGGCCAGCTTTGCCGCCACCGCCGACTTTCACAGTCCACTCGGTCCCCTTATGGATCATCTTCGAGCCCATGATAACCCCTCCGCCGCCACCACCTCCAGAGCCGGCACCGCCACCCCCGGCCACGATCAGGAAATCAATCAAAATGTTGCCTGCTTTCATCCAGGACAAGTCGTCCTCTCCCGGAGTCGCGAAGGTGTGGATTTGGAAGCCTCCGGCTTCCGTCACTGTGCCACCAGAAAGAATTGGCGTAGGAGACGTATAGCGCACGATGACAACTCCGGAGCCACCTGTGCCGGCCATGCGGGTCTCAGGATCTCCGCCACCACCTCCACCTCCAGTGTTGGGCTCACCATTCGTGCCAGTGAATTTCCAGTACTGGTTCTCGGGATCGCAAACAAAGTCGCTTCCACGGCCTCCACCGCCTTTGCCACCCAGCGCAACAAGGTCTGGATACGACTTTGCGCCATGTCCATTGAGTCCGGCACCGCCGCCTCCACCGTAAAACTTGGTGCTGCCAGTAATGTCCGAAGAGATCCCGTCGCCGCCTTTGCCGCCACGATATGTGCCACTGGGGTTGTGGCCAGCTTCGCCAGCACCACCACCTCCGCCTCCTCCGCCATAACCGGATTTGAAGGACTTGCCTCCGGAATGCCCTTGACCTTTGGTGCCTGAGGCAACGGTGACTGATGGGGAGTCAAAGGCACTTCCGCCGCCAGATGCTCCGCTGGGTGCCGTCTGCCTGGCCTTGTAACCTCCGGCGGCTCCCCCCTTGGCCACGACCTTGCCGAGCTTTGAGTCGCCACCATTTGTGGGAACATTTGTAGTCGCATACCTTCCTCCACCACCGCCGCCATTTCCGCCAGCTCCCACCAGGACGCTCAAGGCCTCACCCACTTTGATCGGCTGCGTGCCCTTCAAAACGCCGCCCGCTCCTCCACCGCCCGAGCCAGCACCACCACCGCCGCCCACGATCAGGTAATCCACGACCAACTCCCCCACAGTAGAGCAGTAGGGCAGCGTTGCCGCGCATTTGACGCCACTGATCGTGCATTGCATGAACTTCCGCTCGCCTGCGGACCATTGCATCGTAGGAAAACCTGGTACTCCAGTGGAGGTGTACGAAGACGCGCAATCATCCAAAGACTGCTTCTCGCAGTCATAAGGCGAGTTGCCAATGAGCTTGCCCGTGCAAGGCACAAACCATGTGGAGTTTAGCGAGTTGGAGGCATCTTCAGCCATGTTGACAGCAAGAGACCATTCCACCAATGTGGCAAAGACGAAGAACGCCCACTTCATTATTGCTGCAACGGTTGCTACAAATTAGTAGAAGCCACCTCGTGGTGTGTTTGGGCCGACAGATGGCTCCTGGTCATGCATGGGGCCGATGCCTTGAATAGGTGTGCACAGCAAGCAACCCTGAGCGGAAACATCTCATGCGCTCCTGCAGGCGGCATGTAAGGTCAGCGCGACCACCAACAGCACAGCTAAGGTCAGGAGAATGGCCTCACCCAATCTGAAACACCAATGCTCGCACAAGTCTACGTATAGGCCTCAAGGTATGGTTTGGGGCTGCTGGGGATGTGGGTGTCGACAATCTCTTCTGAAAGGGCTGCAGCACTGGCAAGGAAGAAGCTGAGCAAGAGAGAGAGAGAGAGAGAGGGAGATTCTCATTGTGAAGGTGCACTCCATAGCCTGAAGTGAAAGCTGCTATCACTTCAAGCCACCGAGGCACGAATTCCGAAGCCATTCAAACCTCTGCTATACTGCGAACCCGTCCCACCGCGGTCGGTGGGGAGAGTTATTAGCCCGGACCTTGGGCCGACGCCAGAATCCAAAAGAGCCCTCCAGCCAATCTCAGAGGATTAGGAGTAGGGTGGGAAGTTCCACCGTCCCTTCGACCAAGGCTCCTCCTGTCAGGTGTCTTCATGGGAGACCTCTCGATAATTTCAAAGAGCAAACGGCAAGCTGTTGTGGAACATGCTCAGACCGTCGCCCGAATCTGTGGAGCACACTGCGGGTACTTTTTTGAATCTAGCTAGTGCAAAGCCAACCTTGCCCAGCTGAAAAATTATTTGTAGAACAACAAGGCGCGCAAGAAAGACCCCTAATGATTAGCCCTAATGCGCACGAGGACCACACCGTCTGTTCACCGTCTGTTCCACCCGGAGGTGATTCTGAGGGGCTTCGTGGTTACAGGGTTTAGGGTGGGCATCCTATTCCCGAAGACTTTCGAGATTGAAAGTGTGGGAGTGCACCAGTAGCTTTTAACCCCTAAAACCCTACAAGCGCAAAACATATTGCATCAGCCTTGCATGTCATGCGTGGCCGTCCTGATGTTGCGAAGGCCCCAAGAAACCTTCGAAGAGGTTTCCTGCCGTTTGGGGCCTAAACGGCCTAAACTTTATTAAACCAGGAGCTGTAAACCCGACAAGGCCAAAACCTGGGACGGGACAAATGCAGCGGCCACGTTCAGTTCGGGCCGATGCAACGGTGGCTCATGTGACATACAGACGCCGCCGAGAAAGCAACCAACGTCTTTCGGCTTGCGTTGCACCCACAAGGTCTGCTGCGATAGCCGTCATGCACTTGAACTTGCAATTGGCTGAGGTTGTGTTGTCATTGATTGCGGAAGCCCAGTGCAGCTTCCTCCCACCACCTAGACCCATTCCTCAGTAAGCCAAGCCATCAGTTGTCTCCAAAGGTCTCTCTATATAGGCCTTCTGATGACCTGATATAAAACAGCAGAATTCATGTGCGGAACGTGTGGAATCAAGTGCGAAGCCTTCATCCATGCTGATTTGCGCTGGCGTTGCTGTGCGAATGTTCGGCTAATTTTACCAATGGCAAGAACAAACAACTCTTTGCAGCCATTTTGCGCCAGTGCGCGGGGCTCGGTTCGTTCTGCCAGATAAAAAACTAATTGAACACTTCCGAATTCTACAGGAGTTCCATGAGCTCACAAGATTTACACATATCCACAATTTGACGGTAGGGTGCCTGGAATGGAACCCCTGCGACTTAATTAAGCAGAAAGTCGTCATGCTCAGGCTCAGCCCGGAGATGCATACGATACGGATACGAAGGAGTTCAGATAAGTCAGTCCAACATGGAAAGCGCAAACAGCAATGCACAGTGGATCCTGGTGGCCTGGCCCAGTGAGCAGGTTCACAGTCCGAATTCATGCTCCTCCTCTGGCCTTGGGCAGCACCATGTTTGACATACATCCCATAACAGAGGTTGTCCTGTTTGATGTCGTTGAAATGAGCTGGAACCTTTGGCATGATGTCCAAGATGCGGACCGCAAGAAGTCGGCGGAATGGCGTTGCAACCTCTGTAGGCGGTGTTGAAACCCGGCAGTGCTGCGAAAGCAGCCTTATTTCCGTACTGGGGTTCTGTTCTGTTGTTTCCCGACTTCCGTCTCCACCCTTAGAGGATGTATGCTGCACACCTGCAGCACCCGCTCATCCTCGCAGCGCTCGGTGTGAGATTGCCAGATGAGGAACACTTCTGGACCATCCGGCAAACGTAGCCCACCCCACCCCACAGAGATGATTCCGGGAGCTCCAACCCGCAGATGGTCATTGCGCCCACCACCGCCCCTGCAGACCCGCTCCCAGACTCAGACATGCGGGGCGCACTCCCGGATCAGACCGGCAGTGGCCACCGATGATCACTCAAGTGCCGGGCAGCATGCCGCAAATAATCGGGCTCTATCGGGGCTTGAGATGGGCTTGAGGCACTGCCTGGCGGTGTGCCCATGCCCCACTCCGTGCAATCAATGCCAACATAAACCAACAAACCTTCAAAATTGTTCAGGGAATGATTTTGATGAGAGCTTGTCCTGCAAACGCTCTTATACGCTCGTGCTAGTAGCAGTCCACAACTTTGACCTAGCAACTCTCCGGCCAGAGCCTTCAGTACGTCATTGACTGGACGATCTTGGTATTTTGAATTTATGAAATTTGACTGACCCTTGAGTTACCCCCGACCCCGACTGATCTGCGCACAGAAAGGCTCGTTCGAGGATGCCCTCTCTCGTCGTTGCTTGATGTGTTGGTTTGGGGTAGAAGGGCCGCTCGGCGCAAGACCGCCACGACCGCGACCATCGCGATCAACACTCTGATCTTTCAACCATTTTCGGCTTTCGTTTTGGGGAGCGATGGGCGTCTTCGATCCTCCACCCCCAGTGATTACATTGGGCATCCTTGGGACTGCCTCGGATTTTCGCTCAAACGGGCCTTCGAGTTCTGATGTACTTTCTGCATGCCACAATTCCATGCTGCATCACCCTTCTTGTTGAGCGCCTCCCTAAGATGACTAAACGAACTCTTTCCAAGAAATATGAATCACAAGCACCATGTCTCTAAGATGATTGGGCAAGCGCGCGCAGCAGCGATTTTCAGTCTTGAGTGGAGATGAGGGGGGGGTCTTGGCTTGCAAAGGACCACGAGTTTCACTGCAGCTGGCTACGTGAGCAAATGCCGAGTGGATAGGTGGTGCATCAACATCAACCAGGCTAGGTCAACTGGCAGATGTACTCGCCAACCTGAGTGTCCTCGGCAGGAATGTATCGGATCGTGGGGCCCGAGGCAATGTGAAGCAACAGCAGAAGCAGCGGCCAAGACAGAAGCCAGTTACTTCTCTGAAAAAGTGCATGAAGGCTCGGCGAAACAGGTCGTTGAGCGTGAAGGCTCAAATCAAGTTCATTTTGGGCATTTTGGGGTCCTTCTGGGGAAAAAGTCGGACGGCTCAGGAGGAAGAGGGGCTTTGCGTCCTACCCTCGGAGGACCTGCCCGTAGGCAACCTGGACTGCATCGTCTTGGTGCCAAGTGCCAACAAACATAGCGCAGAACGCCAGGTGTGAGCCTGGGATCAATACGACATGCCAAGGCTTCCAAGGGTACTGGAAGTAAGTACGCTTGGTTGAAGTGCCGTGCAATGGCCCGTTCTTCCATGCTGGATCTGAACTGCCGGGGATTGAGATATGTGACGAATATTGCAGAACGACACCTTTGTATGGGTTACTCTGGGCTGGGAGGATGGTGATGGAAACGCCTTCAAACGAGGCAGCGAAGAACCGATTGAGCAGCTATGACAAGGCATGGATGTGCATGTTTTCTCTTATTGCCTGGAAGGCATAAGAATGCCCTCGTACCGCTTAGAAAGGGCCCATGAGGACGTGAAGAGGCCCGAACGGTCAGCTCAACTTCGGACCGTCAGGTTCCGCACAAAGGACCCCGCAGACTCGAATTCCTATGGACCTCCTCACATCTCCTCACGACCCCCTTCTGAACCCTCTGACCCTATAGACCTCCCCTGCGGCTGTTCTTTGGACGCCCTGTTATTGAGGAGAAGGTTCGGGAGCTAGCTAGTGGGCTTTTGAGCTCATGGAGTCAGAACGTGGCTGTGGGCCCAGCGGCGCAAGGTGCAGTTGCAGTTTGAGGCCTAAGATGCCTTGGCCACAGGGGCCTCCTCTGCATCTGCGGACATTGGACCTTTACGGATTCCTGAGAAGGTGCAGGCCGCGCCGAGGCGAACAGCCAGTTTTTTCTACTTTTGACTGTAACAGACACTGGGGAATCGCCGGCAAAGGTTTTGTTTGCAGCTTACCTCTTCGTCGAGGGAAGTAGGCTGTCTTTCTATGGCTGGAACGATCACAGATGCCACCAACAATTCACCTGCCAATGGCAAAAAAACACGCGGCCCAAGCTCAGGGCGGGTTCTGGCTGGAGCCAAGATCACTGCACTCTCTCTATTTCTCTCTTTGCCGTTGAGTTGTTCTTGTATGGAGACGGTGCTGCAAGCCACATCTTAGAGGCATGCCGTTGCCAAGGAGGTTGCTGTGGCGCGTTGAAGAAGGGACCTCACACTGCACTGTGACCCTTCACACAAGACATTGTCGGGTCAAACGTGTCAAATAAGCTCTTTGCGACTTGGTGCAAGCCATTTCCTGGCCGCCGGGTGCAGCACAGCATGGAAGTCATCACTCAATCTCAACACGGGCCTCATTTGCATCGAAAGCATCTAGGTTGTGCGGCTTGTGCTGTCCCGTCCTTCAAGACTGAAGCCGATCTTCGTAAAATCCCCTGAAGCTGACTTGAAAAGATCTTGCATGTGCCTCTTCAGTGCAGGATCTCCCTGCGACCTGGCAATTTTTAATGGCTTAAAGTCTAACTTAGAGCACCTTAGACTGGACCCACTACAGACACAACACATGCTCTGCTTTGAGGATCCAACGGAAGTGTGCTCAGCGAAGGCGTGTTGTACATCGGGTTCGTAAGCTCAGCCTCACCAAGGCCAGGGAGCTTTTCAGCGAATTCTCTTGCTACCTGCCAAATCATTGTCAGAGATCGTGCTTCAAATATGCAACCTTGGCATGGGTGGCACTTGTCACATGTGCTGACGTCTGTTTCGGCATTGTCTGCCGAACACCATGTAAAGCAAGCTGCCAAACCCACGTCTCCTGTACATTGTCCGATGAGTGCTTACAGCTTTGTTTGGGCTTCTTTTTAAGAGCTCCGCGCTCCATTTGGGGAGGCATTTTGAAATGCATTCTTAAGCCCAGGGAAGGGCGGTTTCTTGACAAACATGAGCAAGGGTTCCAAACAGCCTTCAATGTAACAAGTTCCGCCAGCCGAGTACAAGGATCTCAAGTCTTGAAAAGAGTGTCCCTTGTTGATCACTACATCACACCTGTTATGTGGCAGGCACAAGCAGATCTGCAACTCTTTGTAATTCGTTTAGTCGACTTGACGCACTAAAGTTGCTAGTCTCCAAAAAATGTCCAGAACTGAGCTCTTCAAGCTTTGATGTGCCGGCCTTGAGCTCGACTGGAGACAGGTTGACATCGATCTCGAGTGGCCTTTCATGCTGTTGAAGACCCTGCTGTCTTTATACCACCCTGTAACACTACAGGCCTGTCGGCCTGCCCAGGTACGCTGAATATGCCAGGGCCTTTTGCAGCTGACTTTTATGACCCTATCGTACGGTTGCTCGAGAGGCACTCACCGATGATGTGCGCGTTGTACCAAAAGCCATGATACTGCTTGCCGTCTGGCCTGTTGCGAGATCAATAGTCAAGTGCTTATAGTATAGCTTCCAATGCATGCTCGTGTGACCATGAGAATGTACCAAAGCCAGAAGCAGCGTCAAGCAGGTAGTGTCCCCGATGCTCGCCTGATGCTGGAAGTTTGGAGCCCTTGTGTCTCTTCGAGGTACTTACACTGCGCAAGAAAGGCTAGGGACACTGCGGCCATCTGGCCATGTGTAAACACCTCGTCCTTTGCCCATGGACTGCATGGTCATAGCGCGCACGTAGTAGCCCATGCGGTCCCATTTCCAAAAACATCAGAAGCTCTCAGCCATCACGCTCTGAGTGAATGGCCATGCTTCTTGGAATGGACCCACTGCCCCCTGCCAAAACTGCCACGTCAAGACACCAACCATGCCTCGCCGCTAAGACAGAACTGCCCAATTATCACGTGCTTCGGGCCCAAGTGTACATAATTCAAACTCGAAACTTGTTCGTCAAGTCTGGGCTCAGAACAGAGGTACGGGATAGTAGATATATATATATATATGTAGAGAGAGAGAGAGAGCGAGAAAGAGCTCTGGAGAGCAGGTTGCTGTGGGGGCTGGGTTTTTGAAACCGGTGTTCTGGGGCTTGGGTTTTATAGCAAAGCCATCCTGCCCAGGTGCGATCCTCGTCGCCGCTGTCTTTATATGTATTGATACAAAATATACAAAGATATATAAACATATAGCCATGTGCACATACACGTACGTGTGAGTGCGGGGATGGGTAGCACCGCCCCCCCCCCCGCCCCTCGCCCACCCCCTTGCTTATAAGCAATCCAACTGCATATGAGCAACGCACACACAGAAAAAAATAGGCAAACTCTTGCACCTCACCTTCAGGATATGGGAAATCTCAAATCCTCATCCTGTAAGTGACTTCTACATCAACTGGATTTAAAGAATGAAGATGAAAGGGCAAGAGCCCATACGAAAGGGTTACAGGTATCTTAGAACCCGATACGAAAGAGTTGCAGGCATTTTAAACCCCCACCCTCTGGAGGTAGATTCTTCAGCGGGGTATCCCCATCAATTGCTACCCCCCCTCTAGAGTCTACCTTTTGCATGTATATTTTGGATGGTTATGATGTCATATGTGCGAGTAAACGGAGATTTGCTCACAGTACGAGTCCCCGGGGCCTACAGGACATGCTTTTTTTCGCACCACCCTATGCGCTCGGATGCTTCCTTGTCTTATGGTTCGAGGCCTATACTGCCTTTTCCATTTTCTGCATTTGAATACACAATGGACTGCCTTAAACCTGAGGCTTAAATTCTACTCTAATACTTTAAATGCACTTCAACCTGAAGCATAAATTCTACTGAAATGCCTTATCTGGACATTTATACCTTCAGCGCCTGTAGGGTTACAGCCTTTCAACCTTTGAGAGCCCTATAACTATAATGCTTTAGGGTTCTGAGTTCTGACCCTAAAGGGTTTAGGGTAATTAATGCCTAAGCCTTAGACCCTATAGGGTTCAAACCCTATAGAGCTATTCCTGTCAGAGTTTTAGAGAGAATCCCTGATAGCCCTAAGGCTTTTAGCCCCTATAGGGTTTAAAGGTTTAGATGCCTACACTTGAGGGTTAGATACCTGCACTTGAGGCTTAATTTCTGGGCATTTATGCCTTCAGCATAAGCGCCCTATATAGGGTTTGAGGGTTTTGACCCTCAAGGGCTTGGGGTTTAGGCTTGAATGCCTAAATCTTAAACCCTTGAGGCTTACTCCCTAAACCTTTAAACCTTAACCCTATAGGGTTTGCCGGCTTAGGTTTCAATGCCTTAAACCTGTAAACCTTAACCCTATAGAGTTTAGGGTTTAGGTTTAATTGCCGGCTCAGATTTTAAATTCTAAATCTTCAACCCTAAACCTTTGAACCCTACTCTATAGGGTTAAAGGCTAAGGGTTTAGGTTAATTCTTTAACATTGTAACCCTGTAGGGTTGAAAGGTTTAGGGTTTAAGGTTTAACAAAAAAACCTTTCGGCTTTAAGGCTGGATTAACAGGGTTTCGTGGCTTCTCTTTGAAAACTCTACACAATTTTAGAGATAAGCCCTGAGAAACCCTTGAAGAAATCAGGGAGGAGAGGGGACCCCCCCCCCCCCCCCCCCCCCCCCCCCCCCCCCCCCCCTCCCACTCGCAGAAGGCAAAGGGTATATTTTTATAAACACAGGCGATATTTAAAACACGCACCGAAAACCAAAGCAGAGACAAAACACGACACTCCTACAGGAATGTCCTGGCAATTTTCTGGCTGGGATGTGGGGTTTTCTTGAGTCAAGTCGGTTTGAGGTGCCCTCGACAAAAAGTCAAGTTTGGCGGGCTATTCATGCCGTGTGACTGTTTGGGGGCGCCCGTGGAATCCTCTGCTAAGTCAAGCCTTCTGGGCATCGCAAGAATATTATGTGTGGCGTGCTTATAAATCATTGCCGAGCCTCCTTGTCCCTTGTAAGTTCACATAAACACATCCCTGTTAAACTCATATAAAATCCCCGGACCATATAAAGAGGGGCAAAATCAGCTTCGGTGGTTCGGGGGGGGGGGGGGGGGGCTGGGGGGAACACGAAAACAGGTCCAACATCACAGGATTTAGATGGGTTTAGATATGTTCTGAATTGTTCAGATTCAGGGCAGTTACGAAGAAAAGGCTGGAAGGTGCTAACCATGCCCGTATACCGAGGGTTTGCGTGCGTGCGCGTGCGCGGGGGATTGAGTGTTGCCACAGCAAGTCCTGCGAAACCCCACTGCATCATGCAGAGTTTAAAGTACAGAATCGTGGGTTTCTGCAGCGCTAGGATTTTGGGTTTACGTTTGAGCTACTTTTTCAATTGCCGTTGCAAGGAGGAGATCTGATACGAGTGTCTTCGCGCGCGATGCTCAATGCTGCCCTATGTGTCTTTTTGTCTTCGCACGCCTGCCGGGCGTGTCTTCGGAAGTCTCTTCGCGCGCCCATGTGTCTTCGTGACGACACTTGTCTTCGCGAGATGTGCCTTCGGGAAGTGTCTTCGCTTGTCCATGCTTCGACACTTCAGTCCTAACATGTCCTAATAAACCCCATATGTCTTCAAAACATATCCTCGGTCTTCGGGGGTATGTGCACCCCCCATTCCCTTTCCCTCCAGGAGACTGCAATGTAGATATCATATTGTATGCCGATTTGTGGTACCTGTATTGGTTGGGGGTGAGTGCTCTATGCGCTGTCCACGAGACGTTGTGCAAAGCGAGATCCTTTGAAACATGCGGTGATAGCGGTGGGAGGGGAGAGGGGCGACACGAAAGAGGTCGTCAAGATTTCGCAACAACATTACTTCAAACGATTGGTACTAGCACCAAACGCATTATGAAGTCCACTAACGTCATGGCTACTTTCTTTTCTTCTGTTCCAGTTTGTTGTGTTCGCCCTTTGTGTGACGAAAGACAATTGCACCTCACACTTCCAGCAAAGTTTGGTTTGAACATTGTGTTCCTGAATATGCTAGAGCATTCCGTCTTCAGGTGATCTTTTAACACTAGCTTGTAGAAAGCAGTCTGGCCTTGTATGATCTTCTGCTGTGTCACTAACTCTGTTTGGCCTTGCCCCTGGAAAGAAACTTCGAATGCAACGCATGGCACGACAGCGACTCCAACAAAACCTCTACCCTGAGATCCTGTAGCTGCAAAGAGCTGCAAAGCACTGCTTCTTAATGCTTCTTTTCTGAGAACATCTTGATTGTCCATGCCATTTCCTGGCAAGCACCACCCTTCAACTTTGACCCCGAGCATTCCCAGATGCTACATCGAAACGCTGCATTCGAAAAGCTAGACTGCTAGGCACTCGAGCTATCTCACATCTTCTCACAGCATGGCTGCAACCCGAAGATCCGCATCAGAAGCCTGTAGGTCCGACATCCACTGTCAGATGTCAACACTCCATGGCCGGAGATCAACCCTGCTCGCCACCTGTCGTGTGGCTGGCAAGCATCGCAAGCTGTGTGGAGCGCCCAAGTCTCTGAGAGCCCCACTGTCCGGAAAATTTGCTGCCTTCTTCCCACTCGCACATGCCGTAACCGTCCTCACTACGTTGTAGAAACTGAAGCGTCGCCGTAAATCCAGCTTTGGCAAGGCGAAAACTGTACCTTTTTCCGTAGAGGGCCGACCAGGGATGATGCACTGGTGATGCATACAGACTGCTAGTACTGCACACGAATGATTGACCGCTGTTGCCTTGCGGTCTCAGAATCGTTTGGCTTCAGGACCACTTGCAGATACTTGCAGAAACGCACGTGTGAAACATGTAAACACGAGCCCAGACTGAGCCCAGCCATCCAAAGCGACATAAAGCGACGACAGATTCGCATTTCGGAGCCCAGAAGCCCAACAGCGATGAAAGTTTCGAGGGCGCCTAGGCGCGAGCGCGATCTTCTTCAAAAATGCGGGCAGGCTTCGAGAAGAAACCATGGTCCCCAGCGCGTGTGCCGGAGATCTGGCCCCTCGTAAACTTACCCTGGACATTGGGAAACCCTTAGACTGCAGCCGCAGAAAACTTGGACTTCTTTTTGTCATCGTCGCAGCCTAGGACATAGCTGGGAAACACGCCTTTCCCCTACCCGCTTTGTGGTTGCCTTGGATTAGGCCTGCTCCCCTGAGGTGTTCATCTGCGCAGCAGCTGATGCTTGGCATCCTACACCGTGTCATGGCCTGGATGCATCCGGCACCCCGCCGGGTGTTGCTCCTTTCCTTCTTCCCCTTCCTTTGTGGCTGTTTTGGGTTTAGGCTCGCTCCCCTTAGCTGGTTTCTTTCTTTGTGACTGACGCATGGCATTTCCTTTGCTGTGCCCTGCAGCGCTTGCACCTCGCTGTGGTTGCTTGGGTTTAGGCCTGCTCCCCCTTAGGTGGTTTGCCCGCACAGCAGCTGGTCATACCACGCTGCCCTTTTTCGCTGCCCGATGTGTTGGGCTGCCGTGATGGCATTGCATCTTATCCCATCCGGATGCCAGGATGATGCAATTACAAGATAGAGCCCTTAAGTGTTGACGCACTGCTTTTGGAAATGAGAGAGAGCGCTGGTCATCCGAGGGCCGTGCCTTCTGACCTCTCGAAAAATCACCCCAGTACACTGAAGCCTGTGATGCGGATGGGGCGAGGGATCACACATGCTGAAGAAGACCCCGCGACAGAGGCAAGACGATTCAGGTGAATGTCGAAGGCCTGGGTTGCACAGTCCGCGCTCGAGGAGCCCGAGGAGTCCGAGGGGCCCAAGGAACCTTCAGGTGTGACGCCATGTCACGCCATGTCATGCCCACTGCCCAGTTCACCTCGCGTTGCATTCCCGCATTCGGCACTCTGCAAAATGCCGCATAAACCCTGCAGCAACCGTCAATGCATGCTCTCTCTATCTGGAGGGATGCATGGACAGCGCCGGCATCACACCATGCGTGTACTCGAGTTGATGTCTTATGCATGAGCAGCCGAAATCATGGACTCCCACTTGGCCTGGCTCGCATGGTGTTGTCCTGGGCTTTGTTCCCTTTGCTAACCACTCGCAGTGTTGTCTGGAACTAGCTGTCCGACGCTAGACAGCTCCGCACTAGATATCAGTGCGATGTATAGTAATGCCAGCGTGGCACAGTGGCAATCACTGGGACATGCAGATGGGACTATGACTATGTGACTATGACTGATATCAGGAGCAATCTTCTGTTGCCTGCGTGCCCGCTGTCCAAGATTGGCGTGCGCAGTCAGATGAGGTTTCCCAACAAGCTGACACGGGCTGGAAGAGGTGTATGTACACTTGGAGAGTGATCAGTGGCATGCTGACTTCCCAGGGCTCGCAGTTGCGCAACTTCTCCATCCTTGCCCTACCTGCAAGAATTCCTCGCCATTGTCGGGAATGAGCCGCCGGGACGGAGCAGCTCACAGCCCTCACTCATCCATTCCCGTGAATTGTGAAATCTAGCACAGGGCTTACCCATGCCACACTCACATCAACTTTCCTTGTGGGAAATCAACCTTAATGTTTTGACATCTGCTGCGTCGATAGCACAAAGCAACACATGCTGACCACAGCAGCTTTAGCAGCAGAGCCGAGGCAAAAGCCTCGACCATTAGTAGCAGCTTCATGACGCCATCACGTTTGCCCAAAGTTGCCAGTTTCAGCGCTGTCCTTAAGATTTACAGGTGCAAGACATTGCAGGACGCAGGCTTCCCATTCAGCGTTACAGTCCCGCCGAAGCAAGTCTCTTTGGCTTGCCGCTTCCAATCTAACTACAAAGCAATCGCACCGCTGTGCGAACTGTGCTTACCGTGCTTACCCAAAGCTAACGCTGGCTGAAGCTCATTCCATCTTCGTCCTGGGCCTGGATATCAGCGCCATTGTCCAGAAGGAACCGCACAATATCTGTCAGGCATGTCGACATCCCAAGGTGAAGCACTGGGTATCTCAGTGACTAAGTGTCTTTGACCAATGTACAAGGTGCAGTCGTGCAAGACAGTCACCGCTGACTACGTGGAGCGCATGCTACAGTACACCTACTATTGCCGGCGCCGCCTTCATTGCCATTCACGGCTGCCCAGTGGAGAGCTGTCATCTTCCCGTTGTCTCTAGCCTCTATGTTCGCCCCAGATTCCACGAAGAAGTGAACAAGGTCCTCGGAGGAAACTCATATGCGAAAAAAAGACAGTGACGGCCACGCTCAAGCGATGATGCTCTTTGCACACTGAGCTGCGAAATTGCCATAGGCAGCAGCCAATGCCAGCGGCGTCCGTCCAGAGTCGTCCAACGCCTTCAAGCCAGCAACTTATTCGACGGCCATGGAAGTGCCAAAGAGACATCGGTCCAGATGCACGGTCAGCCCCTGCGCACATCCCTCCTCCAGTTGCGCACCGTTGTCCAGCAGCATACTCGCACTCTCGACATCGTCTGCGACCTTGAGCGGCGCAGGCCAGGTGTTAGAGTGGTGTTAGCATGCTGCCGGTATGCCGGCACACGAATACACCGCAGATTTCTGGTCGGGCGATGCAACTCCTAAGGCTTGCAGGTGTCACGGTTACAACTTTTTTTGCAGCCCAAACAACTGTTTCCATTGATTCAGTCGCGTACTGTACTGGAGGGCTCAAGCCTGAATGATTTTCCCTGCCGGCAATGGCAGCCACTAGACTAGAGGAGGGAACCTTATAAAGGGTTCTTGGGGCTTTTTTAGGGGCTACTTAGGTGTCTAGGGACTGTATAAGGATAATTTTCAGGGTTATATAGGGGTTATGTAGGGGAATAAGGTCCCTTCTAGGGGTCCCTCCTTACACCCCTTAAAGGCTGGCGCATCTTTTCTGCTTCTTGAACTATGATTTCTGCAACCCACAACCCACATTGCAGGGCTTCAAGTCTACGATGGTTTGCGCTACTTATTTGTGATTGTAGGCTGGGTGTCTGCCACAGAACAAGCCAGCATCAGCATCATAAGCCAGCGCAATTCGCCCCGGAGTCAGAACTGAAAGCTCACTTTGTAAAGTGCGAAGCACTTGGGCAAGTTATGTCAAAGTGCAAGTCCTGACAATCCGTCTTTCACGGCGGCGTGGGGGCGCTTGCGCTCAAGACTGCTCAAGGGTACGTTCATTGTTGCTTCCACTGGGGGGAGCAGAGCACGCACAAATGGGTGGTAGCATTTCCCTGCTTGGAGGTTTGATTCTAATAACAGAATGATTTTGTATCAAATAACTTAATCTACGCGTGCAGGGTTTTAGCTTATGCGGCACACCGCCCACAAACGATCACCAGCGTAACGGGCCTGCACACGCCTACGCGTAAGCAAGGAATGCTTACGCAAACCTGTGTGGTCGAGGCAGAAACCAGGCCCGATGGGACTGTAGAAACAGTTTTGCACGCCTCAAATAAAGCTGAACGCAAACCAAGCTGGTATTTGTTGACTGTATGCGCAAGCCTTGATTAAGTGTGTGTTTGTCTCTGTGTGTGTGTGTGTGCGCGTGGGTGCGTGGGTGGGTGCGTGGGTGGGTGCGTGGGTGGGTGCGTGGGTGGGTGCGTGGGTGCGTGCGTGCGTGCGTGGGTGGGTGGGTGGGTGGGTGCGTGGTGTGCGTGGGTGCGTGCGTGGCGTGCGTGCGTGCGTGCGTGCGTGCGTGCGTGGTGCGTGCGTGGTGGTGGGTGGGTGGGTGGGGTGGGTGGGTGTGGTGGGTGTGTGGTGTGGTGTGTGTGTGTGTGTGTGTGGTGTGTGTGTGTGTGTGTGTGTGTGTGTGTGTGTGTGTGTGTGTGTGTCTGTGTGTGGTGTCTGTGTGTGTGTGTGTGTGTGTGTGTGTGTGTGTGTGTGTTGTGTGGTTGGTGTGTGTGGTCTGTTGTGTGTGTCTTGTGTGGTGTCTGTGTGTCTGTGTGTGGTGTCTCTGTGTGTCTCTGTGTGTGTGTGTGTATGTGTGTGTGTGTGTGGTGTGCAGGCAGGTGGCTGCTGCACAAGCCAGGGCCGTGCGGCCCTTGCTTGAGATGGCTTCCAGCGGGGCACCTTAAGTACACCCGGCCGAGCTTCTCACAAGCATTCCAACAAACATGAGCGATGCCTGCATCCAGCAGCTTTAGCAGATCATCCTTCCTGGGTGTCACATCAAACGTCATGCGACGTCTCTGCACTTGCTGGACGTCCGAAGTTCGTTCAAGTTCTGAAAAATGAGCTAGCCAGGCTCCTATTCTGCACGACCGCAGCTGCCAAGAGCGCTTCTTGTGAGATCTCCACATATTTCGGGAGCCTGACCTCAGGACATCAGACAAAGCAGCGACAGGCCTGAGCCCAGCGCAGCAAAAAGCAAACTGTTCTAGTCCTAGACAGTTTTCCTAGGTTTGAAGTCGGTTGTGTACCCCATGCTTTTGTTCCGGAGCTGTCCCCCCTGCCCCCCGTGTCATTAAAACAGCAGCCCCCCCCCCTCCATTCTATCAGGAGCCTCCTTCGAAGTAAGAGAAGCTTTATGCTGTTTTTCTCGGAGAAGCTACCACCTTGTTCTTTTGGGTGAGAAATGTTGAGCTATGAGTTCCAATGCTCCGGGAGCGTGCTTGTTGGCCCAAACTGCACCCCTGCGGTGTGGATGTTGGTCACCCATTTGCCGCACCCCAGATTTGCCCCTGCGGCCACCCGTTCGCGGCCGCCGTGGCCTGTGAAAGCTTTTTACAGCTAGCTGGGAAAGGCAGAACGACTATCACAACTGCAAACGTCTCCTGGGCATAGCCTGGTCACGCCTGCTAGGTCATCAGGGACACCGGCATGGAGACAGACATGGAATCTCCCAGGCAATGGAAGCCTGTAATTTGGAAAAGCAATCGGCATCGCACCTCGCCGGCCTCAAGCGAATGTTACCGAAAGCTCGGTTCACACAATGCACTTGCTGATCGAGGAGGTCCAAAATTGCAGCTCAGAGGCTTGCGCGCACAAACGAGACCTGGAACCAACATTACTTCACAACACTCTGACAAAAAAGCTCGATCATCGATGTCTTGTAAGGCAAGTCGACCACAAGGCTGCAGCACTCGGCAAGCACTGAAGAGCCAAACCTCAGCGGCCTGGGGCCGTGACCGGCAGTTGCCACATACCAGTAAGGCAAAGCCCCAGAGCCATGGCACGAAGAGCTCGCATTGCGGCTGGCATTCTGACCAGCATGGGGGCTTGGAGCAACGTGAGGCACTGCTACGAAACCTAACCAGGGTCAAGCGGCAGCGGAGACCCAAGGTCAAGCAACCAGGTGTGCGGTCGCAACCTGCACTGGTTTCTAGCTCCTTTTTTCAACAATCTTTTGAACATGTCTAGGCCTTCTGGCCGTCTGACCTGGAAAGCTCATCGGATGCGAGTCACTGAGACTGAGGAAGTACAGCGAATCAGTTCAAGAGCGATTTGTCACCCCCGCCCATTGATGGGCTGTGTATCTCACGTGAACGCCAAAGCAGGCGTAGGTGGCTTCACTCACAGACTCGCAAAGCCTCTGACAGTACAATAAAATCAAAAAACTAATCCTAGGTATACTCGGCACAAGTATTCCATGAAGGGACTGCTGGCCTGCAGATCCAATGTTAGCAGTGCTCGCACTTCATACAACGTCCGACGCGGCTCCGCAGAATTTGTGCTGGCGGATCAACTCCCTTCTTCTGGGCCGCTGCCCTCCCCGCCCCTGTGGGATGCCTTGCTCTGTTCTGGTCCGGTTGTCGTGACACCCTAGAACTGTCGCCGATTGCGCCTGTGGTGTGTACAGGACAGCATTGACTGCCACGTCAAGTGTCTGCCATTTGATTGGCAAGGGACAGTGAGACCTGACGTATCACCCCCCTTTCCGCAAACAACCTGGAACTATGTAGCCGAATGTCTGGCTTCCAAAAAACGACATGTAAGGTGGGGTTTGTGATTCAACATCCAGTTGTGGAGCAAACACTTTACCATCCCAATATGTACTGCGGACAAACGCTCGTCTCACATGGCAAACTAGCAGGTGGTGAGAGCTTAGCTGAGGTATGTCAGGAAGGTCAAGGAGAACTTGGACGACCAAGTGGGCCACACATCCACCAATGGCGAACATGGCTTGTTCAGCCTCACCATCCTCATCTCGAGGGGGCCACGTTTCCAGGGGCTTCCAGCCAGGCAAACAATACCCACCCAAAAGCGTTCCAAAACGTTCGATCTTGTCTGTGATTCCACCACTGCAGCTGCCGATTTCCAGCGCTGTTTGAGCAAGCTGTGCAGTTGGCACGTTCAAGACAAAGGTACCGGATGACAGAATGTTCACGGCAGAATGTCGGCGCTTGTTTATTGAGACAATCAGATGGCCATTGTTGTCCACTGCTGTCAGCCAGCTGACTGTCATGATGTTCCGTATGTTCGGTTCGTCTCCGTGGCAAGAACTCAGGAGGCACACAGGATTCGCGTAGAGCAAGCGGCTAAATTGTGCTGGCTTGACTTCGCACACACTGAAGGATGCCAATGGTTTGCCCTCACTATAACCGGCTGGGATGTGGTAGGAATGGTGCGACGTTCGTGGCTCTGTGTTTCGCTTCATCTCATGTGACTCGTATTTCTTGCGCTGCCTCAGCCTGTCCACAAGCTGTGACATCAGCACACGGGCCGCTCTGAAGCCATCACTCAGAAACAAAGCCTCATCTGACATCAATGCGTTAAGCACCTTCTCGCAAGTCGTCCTGTCCTCCGCGGACACACCCATGCTAACGAACACACTTGCGCAGCTTGAGACAGCTTCACACCTCTTGCGAGTCAGCACACTGACGTCACCATGATGGCGTTCCTCTCTAGATGCTGGGCAAAGATGCCTACCCGGCCCAATATGGGGCCGCCAACCATGCTCATGGAACACTGCGTGGGAAGCATGAGAAGTACATTGAAGCATTTGCAACATTTTCAAATGTTCACTTCAAGCTCTGTGCAGAAACCTCATGGCAGCCGCATGCACACCAAGAGAGGTGCTTCGTATTTCAGAACGGCATACACCAGCGCAGCTTAGCTTCAGACAGGTTTCCACGCCCACACCATCTCGAGATCCATGGACCTCGTGTCATGAAAGTACACTCTGCAATGTGCCTCTGCGCAAATACTAACTAGCGAGCATGTTGAGCAAGCATGTGTTCGGATTTCGTGGTGTTGCCGGACCTCTGGTTCTGAATGACACATGATATTACAAGATGCGAAGATACATCGTCAGGGGCTGTTACTTCACGCCCTGCGACAGTTTGCAAAGATCCAAGCAGGATGTATTGCAAGTTCTGTGCGCTCCGCATCTCTCAGCCGCTCGCCCATTGGCCATGGTACGATGAACCATCAGCAAGGTAGTGCGCTCCCAAGCCTTCCAACAGCATTACTACAACGGCTTCTGCACAGAAGCAACAACAAGCTCCGCAAAACGCAGAATCTGTTTCGGCGCGCCGTGGAACCGATTCCCGCGCCATTGCCCTAAGTACACCTGAGCTTGCCCCCTTGTGTTTTTCGTTGCAATACCCTTACCTGTTTAGAACTAATTTCAGGTCGGTCCGAGAATCCAGCAGAACCATCAGGAAATTTGAATCTTCCAAGCCTGGCAGGGTTTCGCATTTGGCACAGAAGCTCTCTAGGTGTCTCGGTGTCGTGAAACTAAGCCGCACACCCACAGGCACTGCTGTTTGACCTTCTAAGTGCATGCATTTGACAAGGAAAATCAAGGACACCTTTAGATCTTCAGACCCGGCCAGCACCCCTCATATGTCGCGCCATCTGGCCTGCACCGGATTGTGAAAGCACTTTTGCGGGCTGCGCGGCAGCTGGAAGAGCTTCTGGGTGGCTGACCACTCTTGCCGCCCAAACCCGTGCCGCTGGTTCCCACACCACTGGCCTTGGCAAGACTGACGAATAATGAGACGAAGACCTTCCGGCGTGTCCGGCCCTTGCACTTCGGGCCGTCACCAGTGTAGATAGCTCCAGACCGAAATTGATGAGGAGGCCTTGGACTGAGGCAACTTCAGAAGTCCTTTTGGACTCCAAATAGCATTAGATGAATAGATGCACGTGTGGGATCTCCTGCATTGAAAGCAGGAAAGCGCTTGATATAACCTGACAGCCCTGACGAAAGAAGTGGCCAGCAAGCTCAAGACAGGACACGCGGCTGGGAGTGGGCGGAAAGGGGAGGTTCGACAACTGTTCAGGCATGGGGAAGCACGCAACAAAAACAAACCGTTTGGCCACGAACCTAAGATATTGAAAGCCAAGTAAATCTGACTGTGTGCGAGAACATGCGTGAACAATGCTCTGTGGTCACTTTTCCTCACACGTGCATTTCGTCACTAAAGGAAAATATCTTTGCATCAAGACCTCTGAGGCACAAACCTTGATTTTGAGGGAAGCTGGGCAACTGAGGCACGTGCCGTGGGCCAAAACCTCACCAGGTACTTCACAATTTCAGATGCAAGCACCCTTTTCATGACCACATGTGTTGCATCTGCTTCAATCACACACCATAAGACATGCAGCTGTTTTTACACAGATGCTTCGCAGAAGGCGTGAAATGTGAAACGGGCGTGCCAGGGCCTAGTAGCAGCAAGAGCAATCCTCAGACAACACAAGATTGAAAGGTCGTTCGCCACAACGGGGCTGGGGTCCATAATGATTGAGAAGCACGTAGTCAACGCGTAGTCAACTGTAGAGGCCAGGGCGCTTTGCTCATGACTAGCGTTAACGAATGGAACGGCTGTCTTCCTTTTGCAGCCCTTCCTTTGCCCGGCTCCGCGTGTTCGGAAAGTTTTCGGGACCGGGACTGGCGTCTCAATCGCTGCAACGCACTCAAAAGACCCAACGTCACGATCACTTATTTTGCCATGACAGCAGCACGCCTTGCTGTCTTCCAAGTCGTTTTAATCCGTTTTCATTCCGGCCCGCTACTCTTGATCTTTACTCCTGCAGTCCATGTTTCGAGTTCACACATCATACATGTATAGTGTACGTACGTAGATAATTGTATATGCATACATACATTTGTGTCGCTGCCCAGCTCGTTCCCTTTGTCGTTCGTGCGTCGCGTGCAGAGAATCGGAGCCTCCGCTTCATCAGACTGGAGTTGAGCACCCACAGTTGTGCAGGACGAGTAAGACAGAGACACTGAAGCGAGACATGTCTCATCTTTGCTCGCCGATGAGCCCAAGACATACGAGGAAGTTCATCAATGCTCCTGCCAAGCGGGAACCCGCGGCCGCGTTCCTCGTCTCTATTTGAACCCCGACTCGGACAAGCTTGTTGGGAGGACCCCGACTCGTTGGCTTTGTATCTCACTGTGGTATGTGCTAATACGCTTTCCGACCGTCCGTAGGTCTGGAGTTCGGTAAGTTCAGAAGGTCGCGCTCTCGCTGTGCGTCTGTCGTATACGATGTCTGCCTTAACATGCAATTAAAACAACTTATTTGCTCTTGTCCAGGAAACTATGCTGTTATTCGAAACAGTATGCCCAAAAGGACAACCAACATGCATCAAGACATATGTATCATGTATAGTATACAAAACTATATGTGCACACTCACCAATATGAGAAACCATATACGCACTCGCGAATGCCGACAAACAATATCAGTCCTGCCTCAATATGCCGCTGAGCATCGAATGGACACAAAGAAGTGCCGCCACCTTCGCCGACTTTGATCAGATGCGCCTTGAAGATGCGCAGCTTGTCCTGTGTTCGCCTTCCAGTCCAGCCCTCTCCATTGTACACGCCACCAAGTCCATCATCACTCCATTCACTCGACCTGAGCCGTCCAGTCAGCCGGGTTTCAAGCTAACTGCTGTGTTCTGCGCTGCATGGCCCGAAAGCGACAAAACAGTCAATGTCAGTAAATCATGAGCATTGTCATCGTCGCTGGTCATCGTCGTGCTGCTCCTCCTCGACGTGCTTATGCTCATGATCAGGCTCATGCTGATGATGATGATGATGATGATGATGATGATGACGATGCATCATTCCCAGCGCGCGATTTGCATTGAAAAGTTGAAAAGTAAACATGACGAAGCTGTCAATATGTAGCGCCACAACTTTTGAAGAACAAGCAAGGCATGCAGCGCAGCATTCCTTTACACACGAGGAACGAAAGGAAACGATGAAGACGGAGGTCTTCCGTGCAATACATGTGCACCGCAAAAAAGCCAAATCCGATTCCTGGGTGTTTCACACAAGCTCCACAAGCGACAACACTTTCCAAGAAAGCGACATCGACCCACGCGATCCACGCGCCGCGCGCACCGAGAGGTTTCGAGGCCGGCGACGCCACGGTCAAAACGCGGCACTCCTATACCGGACTCGCCTCCGCCTCGCCTCCGGCGATGAAATTGACTAAGGCATAGGAACGGAGGCAAACAAACATCGAGCATCATCCATCAAATATCGCCAACGCAGTTCGTGGGAAAACGCCTCGACATGCTTTCAAAAACCAATGACTGTGATAACACATGCTTAGACAGCAATTCCGGAGCATTGTCCCATTGAAGAACAAGGCATCAGGTGTCTGGCCGTCCAAACGGATCTTCCAGAGAACCCTGCTTGGGTCTCTTGACTTCTCTTCTTTTCTTACCACGCTGGTCATGTCCTTGTGAGCCACAAGGCCGGCTGTGTAAGCATGTGTCCGCTCTTGGAACTGGCTCCTGAGGGTTGTGGATCTGAAGGGGCTCGCGATTTTGCTTTGGAGAAGATGTCGTCGATGGACTCTGCCCGGCCGCTAGTTGCGTCCTGCGCAGCCAACTCATTCTTGACAAGTAGGTGCTTGCAGCTGCTTGCATGCGTCTTGATCTTTCTTTCTTTCTTGGGGGCATGGGGGCAGAGCCCCCCCAGCTGGATGCCTGCCCCGGAATTCGGGACCCCTCGGTTGGCTGTTGGTCTTTCTTTCTTTCTAGGGGCTTGGGGGAGAACCCCCGGGCGTCATCGCCCACCCCTGTATTTGTGTTGGTCTCTCGCTCTCTCTCTTCTCTTCTTTTGGGAATATAGGGGGAGGGCGACGCCCCCCCCCCCCGGCTTTGTGCACCTCCAGTTCGGCTCTCCACATGGCAGACACATGTACTTTGTTGTATGGTGGAAGGTGCGAATAGCACTGGTTTAACCGCTGCCTTCACGAGACGCTGTTTCCCACTCTGCGTGCCGGGCTCTGTAGTTGTGATATGTTGTGATGGCAAAAGCGTCTCCCCACCCCGCCAACGCCCTCAGTCCAAGAAGGGACGCTTACGTTTGGCAGGGTTGTCTGATGTTGTCTGTGCACACCCCGTTCCAACACATGAGCCGCTGCCATGGTTCGTTTCCGTGGACAGCTACTCTCGACGGCCAAAAGCCCGGAGGCCTATAAGCCTGGGGGCCTAAGCCCGAGGGCCTGGGCCTATGCTAGGGGAGCCATTCCGTGACTTTGAAATTTTTTGCGACCACCCTCAACTTGATCCACCCCGCAAAGCCTTCTGGTGTGAGAGCTGGGTGCCTCTCTCGTCCGCTTCTTTTCCTTTGCATGACAGAAGGATCGCCCACTTAGTCGGCTTCCATTCTGTCTCGCCCCACCCGACAAGTGGGGCTGTTAGATTTTAAGGACAAAGCAGCCAGCATCATGTGACGTGATGTGCTCAGGAAACAAGCAATAGAGCTGTCAAGCAGGACAACATTCGGGACAAAAGGCGGACAACCGTATCGGAATGTTGCTCAACATAATGGGCGGGTCGTGCTGGCAAGTCGTCTCAAATAACAAGCTTGCAAAAAGGAAACTGTACTGGAACGTTTCTTCAAAGCAACAGGCCAGAGAAGCTCACGCTGTGCTAAGATGTACTAAGCAGGTCACGGGGCTTCAGGCGGGCAACTTTTCTGAAATGTTGCTTGTATAATTATAAGCAGGTTCTAAGGAGGCTCAGGTGGAAAACTGTACCGGAATGCCTGAACTATAAAGCCTGGGAGTCTCAGGCGGGTGCAACTGTACCGGAATGTTGCCTCTAATCCGCCGAGGCCTTGGGCCGTAGGTGTCTGGGTAGCACAAAGCAGGCACTGCTTTTGCACCCCACCCCAACCCCCCACCCCCCCCAGCTCCACCTCCCCCAAAACTGACAGGCCAGGGCTTGGGTTGCGTTGTTCGCCTCAGCTTCCTGCCAAGAAGCGTCTGGAACCCTTCCCATATTTTGTGACGGACTCCCCCCCCCCCCCCCCCGGTCTGTGGAACCCACAGAGAGGGAGTGCCCTCAACCCCACCCCACCCCCCACCCACCCCCCCCACCCACCCCCCCCCCCACCCCACCCACCCCCCCCTCCCCCCCCCACATGCCACCCGGGCTGCCGAGGCGGCGCGCGCAAGCGTTTACAAGTACAGAAGCTTAGGCCAAGGCGGGTCGCGTAGCGTTAAAAATACTAAACGGGCCAGGGAGTCTCGGGCGAGCAACTGTACTGGAATGTTGCCCCAAATAAACAGGCCAGACAAGCTCATGCGGACAACTGTACCGTAAATAAGCACTATCACTATAAGCAGGCCAAGGAAGCTCAGGTGGGCAACTGTACCGTGCCGACATGTTGCCTGTATGGCGTGCCGAAAAAGGCAGGCTCAGGTGGGCAATCGTGCCGGATGCCCCAAATCCATACTTCGTGGAGGAGTCTATGCGAGGAGGGGTTTTTAAATACATGTTAGCAGAACTGCCCGATGCGACGAACTTTCGTCTTGGCACAGCATGAACTCCAAGTCCGGTAGTTCGGCAAGGCACGCCTGCGAAACTAGCCTGTGTGAAACTAGAGTGGACCACACCCGGGCAACTGTACTGATATGTTGACGAAGCAGGCCAGGTAAGCTCAGGCGGGCAAGACGTTCGAAGTTGTATCTTGCACGGGTCCCTACTCGTGTTGAGTTCGGCAAGGAACGCCTGTGTGAAACTAGCCTGTGCAACTAGTGGGACTACACCCGGGCAACTGTGCCGAAATGTTGACTAAGCAGGTTGGGGGCAAGAAGTTCGAAGTGGTAGAGTCGGGTCAAAGGGTCAGCAGGATCACCCCCTCCCATTCGAGGAGGCCGCCCACAGGCGCTCTCTCTCTCTCCCTCTCCCTGCCCCTCCCCACCGCTTGCTGCAACAACAGGGACTGTGATCCTTGTTTTGCTTTGGGGCAGCTTGCGACACAGCTTGTGCCACAGCCTTTCTTTTGCGTTTCAGGCCACGCTTGCTCAGCCTGTCAGCTGTGCACTTACGAGCAACGATTCCAAAACAGACAGTGATTGCCAATGACTACGTGTTGGCCAGGAAGCGTTGGCTCAGCCGTAGCTTCGACAGCCGCGGCAACCGACGACGAACCAGGCTTGACATTGTTGCTCTGCTGCGCAATCCTTTTCAAGCCAGCCGGGGTCCAATAATTCACGAGTCAGAATTGCCATGCCAAGTGTTGCCAAGGCTCGGTTGCGCTTTCTTTCGCTTCTTGACCATTGATGTGGAAGTCAGAGGCAGACATGCAAGCGTGTGTGGATTGTGTGGATGCTGGGAGCGAGAGGAAGAGGCTGTGAGTCATGAAGCGCTATGTGACGCTGCATCATGCCGCGCTTGTGAGCCATGCTCTAGCGGCCCTCGGAGCCAAGATCACACCAAAGATGGAAGCACAAGCGTCATGTTGCGTCATGCGTCATGCGTCATGTGAGAGTGCAGGAAGCATGTCGGAGATCACGCCATGGCGCAGTGGCGCGACAAAATCACGCCTCGGAGCTCGAAACCTAGGACTCCCAGGATGCGGAGCTCATCCAACCTTGTGGCCGTTTGGCCACACGCGGCCGTCACTTCAGTGCACTTCATGGCAGACGGCAGTTCCAGAATCCAGCTTCGACTCTCACAAAGTAAGCAATGTGCTCGCGCTCGAAGTGCTCGGGCCACCCTGGAGCCCTGCCAGTTGTGAATCTACGCGCCTGTCATGCCTATACTAGTCCTGTGATGTCCTGTGCTACTTCTGACATCTTCTGACCGCGCCTTTGGTAGGATGGTTGAAGCTTGAGGGTGCTCCACGAGGGGTCCTGACTGAATCTGGTCGAAGTTGTGTTGAATTGTGACGTATCTTTCCGAGCCGAACGGCATTCCTCCATTGTCGACTTGGCAGTCGTGTCGAAAAGTTCAACGATCTCAGCATCAATTCGCCGAGCGAAGATCCCACACGCTGCTGGTTCATTAGGGAGGCAGCATCTTCGCTGGATGTTTCGCAGCAAAGTTGATGGCAAAGCCTGGGGGGCACCTCCTGCGAAGTGGACCGTGTTCAAGACTCTGCTCTACTTACTTAGATGACCCTCAGCTTGAAACGTCCGGCAACCCTTGACTCATCACTGTCATTTCAAACATGCTAAACCTGCTTGCGCATCCGCACGTTACACCCTTCAGCCCACCAACTTCCGCATAATGCTTCTGAATACAATCATGATTCTCATGCTCAACATGTGGCAACTGCAGCGAGGCTCTCGGCATGCCTGAATTGTTGGCAAAGTGCTTGTCCCAGTCACGGCTTGAGCCTTGCTGCACTACGACCGGTGAAGTGCTATGAAGTGCTGGCATTCTCTAAGCCCCTAAGGCTGGAGCAGCCCCCATGACAGCAGGAAGAGTCAAGGCGAGCTGGCGATGAGAAAACAGCTAACAGTTCCCACACGTGTCACGTATTCTTCTCGCTGGACACAAACCTGCCCAATCCAGCTTCTTCAAGGATGCTGTGCATGTACGTGCGTCTGTTCACGAGCGCACTGACGAGTAATTACCAGACGAGTACCAAATGCCTGCATCAAAAACCGCCGACGTGTAGCAACGATTTAGCTCCTCGTTACGGCTTTGATGTATTAAGGTAGCCTGGCCGCGCGGCCGCGGTCGTTCGAAACAATATGAGGCACGAATCTTGGCGACAATGCAGATTTTTTGCAATATCTGCAGCAATGGCAAGAGCCGCAAGAATGTGATCTCACTGATATCACTTCTCACGGATGCAAGATGCTCAGGGCACTGTTTTCTCCAAACGAAGGCCTGGAAGCTGAAAAGCTGCCAAGTGGGAAGATGGTAAGCTAAGGCGGTGAAGCTGTGTGAGACCATCTCACACACCTCTCCACGTGACGGTCTGTCTTCGGTCCTGGACGGAAACCGAAACATGAGGAAAGTGAGCCCTGGCAGAGTTCTTGGTCGCGTGCAGGACTAGAGGCAAGTTTTGACTTATCTTGAACCCTGCTTCTAGCTGGCTTGTGTTCGAATGGCTGCAGAGTCTCTTGATCAAGATTTTCAACGGATCCCCTAACCAGCGAATACGCCACGGAACGCGGCAAAATGGTGTGGTATGGCTGGCAACCCAGCTCTGCAAAGGACATGCCTCTGCATAGCGACATGCATGCCTGTATTCATATAAGCCAAAGCTGCCCGCATGCACACAATCTGCCATAATCGCGCGCTCACCATGTGTCGTGCTGAACTGACATGGCTCAGAAGGCGATCTAACATGTGAGCCTGCTATGCTGTTGACACTGCCTTCCGACATGCCTCCTGATACGATCTTGCAATGTACTGATGATATTATATAGCTGCGAACTGCGAACCTTGATTTGGGAAGTGCGATTATGCAGACGCACAGTGCCTTGGAAGTGAGGTCGAGAATGATCTCGAAAGTCCTGGCAACAAACGAACGCCTTGGCTGGCCCACGGGAAAGCCCAACTATAATTCACTACACGTTGCCCTTCGGTATCGATCGGTCATTTGCTTGTTTCACTCCCTTGTCAGTGTTCTGAAATAGTCGAAGTCGAAGTTTATGATGATATTGCCTCTGTGAGGAAGGGTCTGCCGCTGCTAGTCTTTTTGTTTCATGTAGTCGCGGATATTTGAAGTTTCTCGCAGCATATGTTCACAGAACGGTGTCCTGTTCGGTGCCGGGCTGAAAACTGTGAATGCAACATCAGAGCCTCAGCAAGGCAAAACTGTGAGTGGTGATCACGTGATGAGCACGGTTCAGGGCGTTGCCATTTCCGTGGTAAGGTGGGCTGTTGATGATGGCCTGAGCATTCCCAGACAGCAAAGGCTGGCCAGTGCAGTCCAAAGCCTGGCAACCTGGCCTCACCGGACAGGCCACCAGGGCCCTTCGGAAAGAACACCTGGCGGCATGCAGAAGCGGTGTATGATTGGTCTTGCTCGATGATGAAGTATCCAATCCAGAGCCCCCCCCCCCCCCCCCTGGGCAGTGAGGGATTACGCCCTTTTTTGAACTCGACCATTGTCTATGAACACTGTTAGCCCTGTCAGATGCCCTGATCAGGCGCACCCAACGGCTGTCACCGTCGACGGCCACCTCCAGACATGCCGGCGAAGCAATCGAAGCTGTCGTTGGGGAATTCTTGGAAGCGAATGCTGGGATCTGGGATAGCTGGGCAGCAGCTGGCGCTGCCTGGAAGTGGAAGCAGAAGGCGCCCGCTTGCTTGTCGAAAACCTCCAGCACAATGCGATGCAGAATGATGCAGAAAACCGAAGAAGTCAGAAGAACCTGATTGCCACCCGTTGCATGCCATTCTGTAGGGTGCGGCCTCGCCGACAACGACGAGGGATGTGAACACGCCCGGCCGTTGAGGGTCCATCCTTGGAGCGCGGCAACAGGATTCCAGAGTGCCTTCGTGTGCGTTCCTTCTAGAAGATGCAGCATGGAAATGTTTTGCGCATCTGGCTGCGCTTTCGAGGATTCGAGGCCGCAACGTCATTGGAATGCCCGGTCCTGAGACCCCGAAATGAGAATGAATCGAAACAGTCATTCGACTTGCATCAGCTCATCATCTCTCCTCCACCCGGCTGAAGAATGGCGTACGAATGTCTTGCCTTTGCGACAACCCAGAGGCGTTGACTTCATGTCTGCTCGGGTTTAAGGCAGGGACCCATCCACGGACAGACTCCCATTGCCTGCCAAAGAGAAACTTCTGTCGTATTATTTCATATTTTGTGCGCAAGCAGAAGCCACTGTGCAGCCCAACATCCTGAAGCGTTCAGCAAAAACTGCAGGCCTGGAGCGCCTGGATGCAACAGTGAACGTCCGAACTGTCACCTGGCAGATACATTCAGAAGCCATGCGTTGCAATGCGTTGGCAATGCACGGCAAGCAAGGTCCAGGCAAATGAAAGAATGCAGCTTGGTTTCGCCTTGCCATCTTCTATGTACAGTGCCAGCTCCACCTGCCAAACGTCGAAGGGGGCATGCCAATTCAACACCCTTTAGATCCACAACGGAACCTCTTCGCCAGGCCGGCCCCTCACCTGCGAAAGCTTCTGCGAAAGTTTTCGGTTCTGTCTTGGGGACCGGACCACTGGAACTGAGACCTGCATGGCCTGACGGGCACTGTCAGCACGTGGCAGACCTTGCCTGGAAGTATCGACCACTGCCATATTCGTCCGGCCCACAAGCCTCAACAACTAGACTTTTTGGACAAGGGGAGGCCCGCGTTCAATCAGAAGCGTGGCAAGCCTCTTCACCGGTTCCAGCGGCTTGTGGCGCAGAAGGGTAGATGGCCTCTGCACGTGCGCCGGCCGTCAGGCCACATTCTCACGACCTGACCACGCTGTGTCACAGGAGCCTGCAGGCGATCACCATCCCGCCAAATCTGAAAATCTTCACGGCCTCTTTGTCCAATCCTGGCGGCTGGGATTCAACTCACAGAGAACTCAGGCTAACTTGGCAATGCTTTTTAGCATTGCTTTAGGATTGCTTTAGGATTGCTTTACGTAGCACTGCTTGAACATGGCTTTAGCCCATTGCTTTAGGATCGCTGCCATGATGGTTTTACTTGCACAGTGAGTAGCTCCCTCAAGGCGCAGTTGCCAGAGATTTTCAACGAAGTCTGCCAGAGCATACAAGCTGGAAGCAAAGGATCTAAAAGGATCAGTGATGATCGATGAGCCTTATCGGAATGCAAACTCCCAGCTGCAGTCTTCGGGTGGGTTTCCAGATTGGCTTCCGGCAGGGTCCAACATCAATACCTGCTCCCAAGCAGCTGCAGCTACGTCTTCCTCTTCAGCAAAACGAAGAAGAGCCACGTAATTTCGCCAGTACAGGATGCTCGATGGACTTAGCTGTACTGCCTGCTGCATCTGCTCAAGGCCGTACTCCAAAGCTTGTGCCGGCAACTGTCCAAGAACCGCACCCAACCCAAGCGCACAGCCTAGGTTATTCAAGCCCTTCGTGAAGGTTGAGTTGATAGCCAAGCTCTTCTCAAAGTTTGCAATTGCATCATGTGGCTTTTGCACAAACCAGAGCGCTAGTGCATAGTCATGGAAAACCTCCTCCTCGTTAAGTATCAGCGGACTGAATCGTCCCTGAACTGCCTTTGCTAGCAATTGCTCTGCGGTCTCATAGTTGCTCTGGTAGAAATGGATCTGCGCGGACCGATAAAGTGGAATGCAGTCGTTGCCAGTGGGATCTATCTCCATCACGAGTCGAAAAGCAGAGAGTGCTTCGTCATACCTTTCCTTGGACACGTAGAGGCAACCGAGGTTGTACTGCACACGCGCCGACCGCAACTGCCTTGCAGCATCTGCGAACGTGATCGACTCTGGGCTAGCCCATTCCAACACCCGTTGAGATGTGAGATGGGCATAGAGCTCCAGAATCACGACTGCCATGCCTGTCGCGATTGCCCTTGCAAGCCAACCTGCAGAAAACTTCTGTTGGGCAAGGCCAGCCACAGCAATAAGAAGCCCGGCAGAAGGTATGTAAAGCAGGCGCTCGGCAACCATAGTTCCAACTGGAAAGAGCATGTTCGACATGGGCAAGAAGCCTAGCAATAAGATGGCCATGCCCAGAAGAGGAACTTCAGAAGCTTTCTGAATTCCACTCGAGCGGAAAATCTTCAAAGCAACAGTCAGGACCTGCGCAAAGGACAAGTAAGTGGCCAATGATAGAAGCATGCGAGCATCCCAAATGCTTCGCACAAGCGGCACTGCATCAAAGGAGTAGTCGTAACAAAGAAACACTGGCCAGATCAGCAGCTTTCCATATATGCCATGGACCAGAGCATATGAGAGCAGCCTCACGCTCAAGTCCCGTTCTATTGCCACGGGGTTGCTGTGTGGATCCATTCGTTCGATTGTGGTTCCAGTGTACCAAACCCGACAAGCACAGGACGCGATACCAAATATTAGCACGAAGACAGTTCGCAAACGCAACCAGAAGCATCTCTGCGGCAGCTTCAAGATCCTGAGGATATCCCATCCGGCCAGCAAACCGAAGAAGCAGAAGCCGGTTTCTTTGCACAGGCCCGCCACCAGAAGTAACCCACACGAGAAAGATGTCCCTAGCATCATGACCAAACATGCCTTGCAAGAGCTGCATTGGATTGTGCACGAGCAGTGCACCAGAGTGGCGAGAAGAATCGAAAGCAAGCAAAGCAAGTCGGCTCTCCCTACGATGTACAAAACACTTTCAGTATGAACAGGATGAGCGAAGAACAGCAAAGCCAGCAAAACCGCCCAAGGACTTGTTAAGCCAGCAAAGATGCCAACTACACCCAGAAGTCCACTGCAAAGGAGGTGAATGCTTAAGTTCGTGATATGGAATCCTGCAGAGTTGAAGCCGTGCAGGAGGTAATTCCATCTAAATGTTAAAACAGTGAGTGGCCTGAAAGATTTGTGTGTCCATGTGCCTGCAAACATGTCCAGACCCCAGTAATCTGTGCGGAAAAGACGTCGAAGATCGAGCTCCGCGTAGACGTTGGCATTCCTGGCAATCATGGAATCATCCATAAAAAAGCTCTCCATCTTGCAATGGATTGCTGGCATCCACGCAGCCAGGATTCTCAGGCCAAGCAATATGCCGACGGTCATAGCCGCCCTTGTGGACTGAAAGGCTTGCAAACGACAGGCTCTCAAACTGCTAGCAACCGCCACGCTGACATCCACCTCTGAGTGCTCGCAATTGTGATCATGGTGCTGTGGGTCCAGTCCACATTTTGCAAGTATCTCCCTTTTCAGGGCCGCGGCCGACACCGGCACATGGACGTGTTCCAAGCCTTCATCGTCTTCGATCTCACCCGTCTCACCCGTCTTCTTTTGCCGCAACGTCGCACACTGTGTCTGCAGACTTGGGCACGCAGATGCGAGTAGCAACCTTGAGATCCGCAGCTCCTCTCGGTTTTGGTTGTGCCAACAATATACCGTCATGTCACAGAACTCGTCTGCCAGCCCCAGCTTCACCAAACTTTGCATGAAACTTTTTGGCACTGAGCAAGTCATGACATTCATGACTTCGGGAACTCACTCCAAGCTGAAGAACGCAATGCTGCAGTGAAGTCACTCCGCACACAGCTCCAAAAAGGACATGCGCATGGACCTTCTCAATCTTATTGCACTTAGACTAGCTGACTAGCGCATAGTACGCATAGTCTACATAGTCATAGAATCGAAACCTGTCGGAACCTGTCAGAGCCAGGCCTGAGCGTTCCCGACCACTCCCGAAAGCTCGATTCGTCTGCGCACGTGAGGGCCTGAGGCATACGGGGGCTCTATGCACTTACATGTGCTTTCCATCACTCCGTATACTCTGTGTGCCGACACCTTCATGGACCTGAGCACCCCACCACCGTCCGCCACTTTGTGCAGGTTCCGGTGACCTGACGAGGTTAGCAAGTGTGCCCACCAAGGTACGCCTCCGCTTGCAAGGCTTGCTCCCCTTGTGAGGAAGTTGCAAAGTAGCCGCTCTGTCGAGGAGCGGCCAAAACCCGCCGCCTCAGAAGCCAATATGTCTCGCATTGTCTCGCCGTGCATGCACAACTCATGCGCCACGTTGGGACGAAGCTGCACTGGGCCCTTAAGGAGACATGCTCGTGATTCTGGCACTCTGCTAAGCGACATCGGGTCAAGCTGTCTGTGCATGTCTGCATGCATGGAGAACCCATGATCGGACCGAATGTCGACTGACGCACGATATACATCTCCGCTGTGAAACAGGCTCGATGCAACCAGCTGCAGCTGCAGTATGTACATGGCAATTGGACTTCATAATTGAGAAACAATTTCCAGATGTGGACTTATGTTCCTTGTTTTCAGCTTTTGGCGATCCGAGCTGTGCACCGCACTCCACAAATCTCCACAACGCTCCTTCTGTCACTGGAAACCTGGCGTAGTGTCCTTCTCCATGGACTCGTTTGCCACAGCTGGAAACTTTGCCTCTGCTTCGTGAAGCCGGTAGCATGCATCTATATGCATCTTCAACCCTCGGGATCCCAACATCTTGGAGCTGCAGCCGCGGCTCCTTGAAGCGCATAGACCTGCTACCTGGCAAAGCATACGCAGAGGTAACCAAATCGGAGCTACGACATGATGCAACATCAGCAACATCATGCGATACAGAGTTGCGTCGAGCTGTGGCCTGGGACCAGGGCCAAGGTGGAGAAACCGACAGTCGGCTCGGAAGCATTTACCTCCCGTGTAGTTGAAGCAGACCTGCCAACCGGAAGGCATTATGCAGCTGTAACGTCTGCATCCTGTACTGTAGCCCTATGAGCTTGGAAAGACGGCGAAATTCAAGTTTTCGAGGCCTCTTGCAAACATGTGCAAGATCCCCCTTGAGAGTGGAGGGCCCGGGTCTACCCAAGGAATTTCTTGACCCCCCACATGATTTCCAACACGCGCACAAACCAGAGGCTGCCCGCAATTGCCGAAAATTAGTTGCCCCTTCGTTCGGCATGTTTTGCCGAGGATTGTACAAGTAGTCTGCCGAGGATTGCACAAGTAGTCTCAAAGGAAGATGCGTGCACTTGGTCTTTATAATTGAAAGAGAAAAGGTTTCAGATGGGTTCAGATACATGGCTGATAAAAAGGATAACGATAGCCGCGACTTGTAGATGCTGCAAGACAGGCCATCTGCGCATCCCATGCGGCCTGCTGCTTGCCTTGCTGTTGCGCCAAGGCTTGGCCAGTGAGTGGCGTTTGCCTTGCCAGTGTTTGAGCTGTCGCGCCCGCGGACCTCCGCCAAAATTTGAATCAACTTGATAGCTGCAACAAGTAACAAGCACCCTTGCAGGCCTCATTCTGTCCGCAAAGCCAGACCTTATGGGACAAAGAGGTTCTGAGAAGGCATCGCCATCTGATCACCACTTACCACCTGGGTCCTGACTTCCTGCTCGAAATTTCTGAAGCAAGGATATTCATCAGTTCATGCCAACTTCGTATAAACAATGCCAACCAATGCTCTCGTGGCCGTAGCGTCAGGCAAGCAATATTCCTAGGGGCCCCTTGAATTAAGCCAAGTTTGTCGGGCTACTCAGGATCGTGAGACTGTTTGGGGGTCTAGGGTGAGGTCCGATTAAGTCAAGTCTTCCGGCAGTCGTAAGATTCTTTCGCGCGGCGCGCCTTCAAAACCAATTGTCGGGCCTCGCTGTCCCTTTAAATCATTCAAACTCATCCCCGATGAGCCAAGCATAAGGTCCGCACACCCGGCGAGCACTATCGGACACTCAAGAGACAGTATCCAGAACATTCCAGCACGAAGTCTTCAGGTCAAGTCTCCAGTTCCTACCGGTCCACTGCACGTTGTCCGGTAGAACCACCAAGACAACTCTACGTCCTGCAGCTTACTGCTGTGCCTGCTTTGGTGTGTCCCCCCCCCCCCCCGAACGGTCCACGGCTTTAGATGAACAGGGAGGAGTGGATATTCATATTCATGTCAGAGGGATTCGACGAGAAGAGGGACTACGGCCTCGCCCCCTTGAAGCCAAGAGGCCAGGGCTCAGAAATCCAAAGCCCTTTGGGCTCAAGATTTCAAGAGCTTGGCCTTTCATTTAACAGAGACCAGGGCATCGAAATTTAGATTGCCGGGCCCGCGGCTAGCGGCTAGGAGGTCCCGAAACAGTGCCCATCATAGGAGGTTAGGCTCAATACATTTTTTGCTCATGGTTTTTGAACAGGGAATTCTGGAATTCGTGCCAGTTGGGATTTCGGGTTTTCGAGGTCTTGCAAAGAAGGCTTGCCTTTAAGATTCCGAGGCCTGGCCTTGAAGCCAAGAGGTCAGGCATCGGTTTAAATTCTGCAACAACTCCGGGTTTCGGGAGCGACTTGACTTTTCACATGATCCCGCTTTGGACTCCCAAACAGGCCAAAACGGGGTCCTGAATAGCCCGGCAAACTTGACTGTAAACGGGGAGCCCCCCACTAAAGCACGCCCAACATTGTTGCAGCTTGAGACACGAGAAGCCGGCAACAGGAGGTGGCGCTGGCGCGGCTGGTACAGTGACAGGCGCCGGCGCGGGCACTGGCAGCTCGGCGGCGGGCTCCAGGGTGACATCCACTAACTCAAGCCTCGGTGTCAATTACTTCCTGGATAAGTTCTTCATGAAAAACTTGATTGATGCAGCTTGAAACGTCCTGAAAATCACAACAGCTTACAACATCTTACAACCTTAAGCCCAGAGCCGACGAAACTTATGCAATATCGGCCCACAGCCCATGACTTCCCATAGTAAAACATATAACTTTGGAAGAGAAATATTGAATCAAAAAAATGGTTTATCTATGGAATAAAGTTTCAACCAATAAATAACAAAATAAATGATGCAGAACTATTTTTAAAGACTAATCAAATGCATATTGAATTAGATGATGATAATATTGAGAAGCGTTGGGGTAAGCATAGCTAAGCGAACCTGTCGATGAGTTCAGCTCCAAGCAGCATGGGGGGCAACAGTTGGAAGCTGCTCGTGCCAAGGCCTACTGCCATTGGCCAAATGCGCCGTCCCATGTCGCTGCTGGCGGAACTGCCTGAGCAATGAGTTTGTTTTTCTTTTTGGCGGCTTGGCAGGGAGACCTTGATCAGGCAAGCTACTTGAATCAGATGAACTGCTGCGTCGACGGCCTCTTTCTCGATCCCTGTCCTTGCTTGGTTGCTTTCTAAGAGTTCCGAGTATCCACACAAGCTCATGCAGTTCGATCTGGAACCTAGGTATAGACATGCGACACAGACATAGATCTCGCCGGAAAACCTTTACCAAAAAAACGTAAACAAATGTTAAGCCAGGCATCTCGATCTTTCTCCTTGTCCTTGACTTTGTCCTTTTCTTTGCCTGCACTGTTGTGGTCCTTGTGCCGTTCCCTGTCTTTGTCACGCGGTTTCTCCTTCTCCTTCTCTCGGTCCTTCTCCTTGTCCTTCTTGTCCTTGTCTTTGACCTTCTCCTTGTCCCGATCTTTGTCCTTGGCCTTTTCCCGATCCTTGTCTTTATCCTTTTCTTTCTCCCTCACCTTCCCCTTGTCTTTGTCCTTATCCTTTTCTTTCACTTTGTCTTTATCTCTGGCTTTGTCCTTTTCCTTTTCCTTCTCAGCATCCTTTTCCCTGCGGTCTTTGTCTTTCTCCTTACTGGGCATCAGGGAGGCCTGTACCGAAACCGTTGTGTCGTGAGTGCGGAGTCTGCTCGTGCGCCTTCTTGTCCTTCTTCGCATCCTTTTTGGTCTTGACTTTTTCCTGCCGGCAGACTTGGTAGCAGATCAAGCCCTGGCATCTACGCGTGAGTACAGGAGGGAGGCATCATGAGGCATCGAACGAAGGAAATTAACAGGCCAAAGGTGGACACACAACATGGCGACAGATGGCTACAGATAGCTACAAATGGATACAGATGGCTACAGACTGTATGCGGCTGCTCCTTTTCTCGGCCACTACGGCTGCGCTTTTTGGCTCCGGAGCTGCTGCTGGAACTCTTTCCTGGGCTGAAGAGATATTGACGGCACGCATATCTATGCTTTGCACGTCTTGGCACCCTGTTACTGCATCCTACATACAACAAGCGCGCATGGCCCGAGCTCGCATTGATCCAGGGTGCGACCCATGTCAGCTTGGATCTATGTTGGATTTAAACTGCTCTGATTAGATGATTGGTTTATGCTTGATTTCTGCGGCCCTAAGCCTTTTATCAACTGTAAAGCTTGACGATCTTTCATTGTATGATTGAAGTACATTGCGACCATGCTTCAAATGAGCTGCTCGAAAGTACATTCTTGTTGTGTGCTTTGCTTGCCCAAAACGGCTTGTCACAACAGAACCCAAACATGCCATGCTTGTGCTGCCTTCCAGCCGAAATGTACAGGACATGCCGCTTTCTGCTGGACACGTTTGCTTGTCGTAATTGGACATTTGCTTTCCATGCACATCTGTGTTCGGCACTTCTCACCGACTTCTCTCCACGTCAGCGCCATCTGGTCTGGACCTTGTTCGACGATGATTGATGTGTGAAAATAGTGTGCTTGCAAAGCGGTGGCCGAGAGCAAAGCTAAACTTAAAGGTGATCTGCAGCACCTGTCATCAGATCTGGGCACTTCAGGCCAAAGCTCACAAGCAAAGTTAGTCAACCGGCTCAACTCAGCAGGGAAGACAGTTCCTGCAGAAAGCTCCGTGTCACGGCCATCAATGATCCATCTGTTGTTCTCTCGGTTGACCTGAATGATCATGCGTGTGATGGGTGGGGCGGGGCGAAGCCTCACAGCCACCTGGCTATGGCAGAAGGGCACTATTTCTGTTTATCGTACACTAAGCGCGGGCTGAATCCGATGCTGAATCGTAGTGCAGCTCTAACCGCACAGATGGAAAGTACCGAATGAAGATTGCTACAGCCATAAGAGCCGCTGTGGAGGGCCAATGGCTCAGATATAACTGCAGTCTGCCGCTGCAGAGCACAAACCTATACTCACCATACTCTGCTCGTGAAACTAGGCGCGAGAAGTGCAGCAGTACCTGACGCTCACAGCCGTTGTCTCGCGGATGCTGACGTACGATTCCAATCGGTACATCCGGAAATGTCGACGACACTGACGACACCTGCCAGCTGTGATGCGCACTGCAATACAGTCGCCCAGGCTCATGCAGCCAGGTGGACGGAGTTGCCACGTGCCAGCACGCTAACGCGACGATCGATGGCGAGTGTCCAGATAGTGGTACACTCGGTGCACTTGGGCATCCTTGCTGCTCCTGCACCTCGTTCGACTCACTGGCATTTCTCTCTCCTTGATGCGCGCTTAGGGAATGATCAGCCTTGCTCTCAGCTGGCATTCTACATCTCAGCTGTGCGAAATAGCTGGCATGGTGGCTCTGGCGCTACGTTATCATTGCAGGGAGAAGCCACTTATTGCCGCGGTGGTTACAACCACGCCCGCTTCTTCTTTGTGCGGAAGCAGATCAACTTCAGTTCCCCATGCGCACGCAACTCCAACATACTGCCAAACTGCTCAGTGAGAGCAGTTAAAGTCTCGGCGCCAGGCCCCGGGGCCTTCGATCGCAATGTGCTCTCCAGCACGATCAACAGCCGGGAAAATGCAAAGCCTTGCAGCTGCAGTAGCTGTTGCACCGTATTGCACCGTATTGCACCGTTGCATTCTCAACTTAGAGCCACTGCCCGTGCTACTGAGGCTGAAACTCTTCCTTTGCATCCACGTACAGCTCAAACAAGTCATACCTTCACAAAGCCGACAAACATGTTACCGTGTGAAACAATTCTTGATCAACTGTATGGCATTTCTGGCCAGCTGGCCTCTCCTCACTCAGGGTGATGACGGTCGTAAACCTCGAGTAGCGGAGAAGAGCTTGCCCTCCCTCGAAAACAAAGCGGGCGGCCGGCTGCACGCATTCTCTACCGCTGGCATCAGCATTTCTACATTTGTCAACTGCCGCAACATGACGAGGGCCGATCAAATTGTCTCCATCCTTGTCCATTTCCTGACACTCTGCGTGCCGCAGACGTTGCAGGCGCCTCCCGCGTGTCCTGGCCTCCATCTTGAAGCCAGTCCACGATCCACTGATGAAGATGTTGTCCTGCCTCCAGTTGAGCAAGGGAGGGTCAGGGTCGCATCTAGCGGCTTGGTGTTTCTCTGCTTCTTCTCCCCGGCGAAGAAGACCCCCCGGAACAGTCAAGGCCCCTGACTCAAGTTTTCAAAAAACATCTTGCATCTATGAGATACGTACGTTGCGTTTTGGAACATTCGAGCCGCTTAAGAAATTGATCGAACAAATCTTGAAGCACCAGGTCACGAGAACCCGAGCAAACTCGAATGTCGAAGTATTCTTAGTAAGCAGTAACCAGTCTTACTTTTCTGGAAAGATTCGAGCCTGCTCGAGTTTCCAAGAGCCATGATATCGTTGGCGCCCAGGCCAAATGGATAGCAGAATCTAGTGCATTTTTCATTAGGGCCTGCTCGAGTCGGCCTGAAATCTAAATCTAAGCTTTACGGACGTGCTGCAGTCAATATTGCGATGCCCATGGGATTCTCATCGTCATTTGGACCACGTTTTTTTCCACCCGCCAAGCAGACCAGCCCAAATTAATTTGAAGGGCGAGTTCGATTGTGAACAGTAGCTTCAATTGTTCAATGAATGATATCAAGAAAATCGGACTTCCTTACGACTTGATATTCCGAATAATGAATCGGAACTACTATTCAAAATGATATTGCAAGTGGCAGAATACCAAGAACTAACACAATCAGTCCTAACCCCATGAAGTATTTCATAAAAGTACTAGTTGGGCTCCCTGAAAAAATCTAAGTAAGAATTAGCAAATTGCTGCTGGGTCAACTGATGACTTGTTCACATTTAGTCGCCTTTCCCGAAACATGTATTACAAACAGAAACAAGCCTTTGTAGTATAGACGTTATGTTACAAGCGTTCACGCCTTGTGCCAAAATGCCCAATGCATGGTATTTGCAGCGCCTGGGCCTCTTTCTTGGTACACCAAAATGCGCACGGACATTGTGATGGCAAGGGTGATGATGACGATGACGATGACGGTGACCCTTTGACAATTCATAGCAAGCAACAGTTTCCGCGCATGTTTTTAGTGTTTCTCAAGCCCGCCTGTTCAAAAAGCCATGCACTTTTGTACGTCAGCCTGGCGCCCTGTGCGCCGGCACCCATACACTTGTTTTTGTTGGCTTCTTTTATGTTCGAGCCCCCTTGCGAGTTGATACATTATTAAATGCTTATACATTGGACCTCACTCTATGGACTTAACTACATGAAATACTATTTTGGCTCCCTTCGGAACTGACAATTTGTTTGGTTTAATGCCGTTGAAGTAAATACCTGTGTTTCAAACTTCGCCTAAAGTATCCTGAACTTGTAAGTATGGTTGCACAACGGCAAGCACAGAAAAGAACATGAGTTTGTGGGTGTGCCCGTCTATCTTTCCCTTCCCTTTCCCTTTCCCTTTCCCTATCCCTTTCCCTGTCCCTTTCCCTGTCCCTTTCCCGTTCCCTGTCCCTGTCCCTTTCCCTGTCCTTTCCCTGTCCCTTTCTCTTTCCCTGTCCCTTTCCCTGTCCCTGTGCCTTTCCATGTCCCTGTCCCATGTCCCTGTCCCTGTCCCTTTCCCTGTCCCTGTGCCTTTCCCTGTCCCTGTCCCTGTCCCTTTCCCTGTCCCTGTTGCTGTCCCTTTCCCTTTCCCTTTCCCATTCCCTGTACCTGTCCCTTTCCCTGTCCCTGTCCCTGTCCCTTTCCCTGTCCCTGTGCCTTTCCCTGTCCCTGTCCCTGTCCCTTTCCCTGTCCCTGTTGCTGTCCCTTTCCCTTTCCCTTTCCCTGTCCCTGTCCCTGTCCCTTTTCCCTGTCCCTTTCCCTTTCCCTGTCCCTGTCCCTGTCCCTGTCCCTTTCCCTTCTTTTCCCTTCCTTCCTTCCTGTTTGCGAGACATTGTTGCCCGCAATCTTCTTAAGCGCACCTGGCTGGAGGACCCCCCAACCGCGATGGTCGAAATCTGTCTAGCGCTCTCGGGGCTAGAGTCTAGGTTAGAGTTTCCCTTTCTCGATTCGCGTATCTGTGCCCTAAATTCTTGACGACGTTCTTTCTCGCCTGCGTTTCGTTTCCAGTAGCGGACCAAGGCCTTAGAGTCCTTCGAGCGTAGACATCTTAGGCCTTCCCAGGTTGTAAATGCATATAAGTGCAAAATATTACAAATCGCAAGTTTCCACGAATTTATCGTACTCCCTTGCCAACATCTCAAGCCTCAAGCCAAAGCAGTAGGCTGCGGGCACGAGGTCTTCTTCAGCATCCATCGGGATGGCATTCTGCCGAAAGCGAAAGCCACCGTCGTACGCAAGCCTTTCAATCAGAGCCAATGATGTGCAACGGTCACCCAAGCAATCTTCGGCACAAGGCATTTACAGTCGGTCATGTGAGTGAATGAGTGAGTGAGTGAGTGAGTGAGTGGGTGAGTGTGTGGGTGTGTGTGTATGTGTATGTGTATGTGTATATGTATGTGTATGTGTATGTGTATGTGTATGTGTGTGTGTGTGTGTTTGTTTGTTTGTTTGTTTGTGTGTGTGTGTGTGTGTTTGTTTGTTTGTTTGTGTGTGTGTGTGTGTGTGTGTTTGTTTGTGTGTGCGTGTGTGTGTGTGTGTGTGTGTGTGTGTTTGTTTGTGTGTGTGTGTGTGTTTGTGCTTGTGCTTGTGCTTGTGCTTGTGCTTGTGCTTGTGCTTGTGCTTGTGCTTGTGTTTGTGTTTGTGTTTGTGTTAGTGTTAGTGTTAGTGTTAGTGTTTGTGTTTGTGTGTGTGTGTGTTTGTTTGTTTGTGTGTATATATATAGTGTGTATATATGTATATTTTTCTAGTGTATATATATATATATACATGGTACCCCCCCCCCAGTGACCTACCCTTTTTCGCCTTGTCTCAAGTCACCCAGCTGCACTGCAAGCAAACTCGGTGTGCAATATAGCGTATTTCCTAGGGCGTAGACTAAAATACAACTAAAATCGCATACACGGGACAGTAGAAAAACCAAAAATACCAAAACCAAAAAAACCAAAAAACCAAAACCAAAAAAACCAAAAAAAACAAAACCAAAAAAACCAAAAAAAACAAAACCAAAAAAACCAAAAATACCAAAAAAACCAATTTTCCGGGACTCTCAGGAAATCCCTATGAGGCTTCTCCAAGAGTCCCGGAAAATTGTTGTTTTTGGCATTTTTGGTTTTTTTGGTTTTGGTTTTTTTGGTTTTTTTGGTTTTGGTGTTTTTGGTTTTTTGGTTTTGGTATTTTGGCTTTTTGGTTCGCCTTCACGGTCACGAGGCAACAACTACGCATTTTTAAGTGTGCTTATGCTAATTGTGCTTTTCAGAAATAGTATACAAGTGGTCTTTCTAGTGCTTCAGAACTATTTGTTTCGTTATTATGTAAGTAGAGCCGCTAGTGTTTAGTGCATCTTTTGGTTGTACTCAAGTGTAGTAGGCCTTATTCAGCCATTACTTGGTGCTCTGGTAGCTCAATTCGCATGGATAATATTTGCCTGGTAAATGCGATTAATTATCTAGAAGCAGCATTTGCAATACTTGTGTTCTGAAAAAGTGACTCCTACTCGTCCAGGAATACCCCAAAACCCTATAATCCAAACTTTACCAGAGATTCTCCTGAAAAGCTTGCGCTTTTGGATGTTTTTATGTAGTTGTGAATTTGCTTGTGTATGGCCTTCACTAAGTACTTTTCTAGGATTCTTGTGCATTTTTTAAGCCTGATTGTGCAAGTTGCGTTTTTCAAGCATGGTATATATATGTGGTCTTTATTGAATACTTCAGACATCTTTGTTTCATCGTTATGTAAGTAGAACCGCTTCTATTTCCATTATTGTGCATCGTTAAGCTTGCTCATGCAAATTGTGCTTTTCAGACATAGTATATAAGTGGTCTTTATTTAGTGAATACTTCAGCAATCTTTGTCTCATTGTTATGTAGGTAGAACCGTTTCCATTTCCGCAAGTGTTTATTTCGTATTTGGTTGAGTATGGTCCTTTAAATAGTATTCACTTGAGTCAAATTGGGCTATTTGCTTAAGAAATCCTCTGGTAGTTAAATTCGCATAGAATGAATACTTCAAAAAAATGTTTCATGAATATGTAAACATAAGGTGTTTCATTTGACTTTGCAGATAGTACTTCAATAATACTTTGCCTGGTATAAACACAACTGTTTCAATGCATTAGTTGCTCAACAAAGCACTATTTGCCCTTTAAACCACACTTTGCCATATTTTGGTTGAATATGGTGCTTCTTTCGTATTTTGGTTGAGTATGGTCCTTTAAATGGTATTCACTTGAGTCAAATTGGGCTATTTGCTTAATAATTACTCTAGTAGCTAAATTCGCATAAAATGATTATTTCAAAAAGAAAAACGATTCATGAATATGTAAACATAAGGTATTTCAGTGAACTTTTCAGAGAGCATACTTTGCCTAGTACAAACACAATTGTATAAATACAGTATTTGCACTTTAAACGCACACTTTGCCATTTTTTGGTTGAAAATGGTGTTTATTTCGTATCTTGGTTGACTATGCTCCTTTAAATAGTATTCACTTGAGTCAAATTGCGCTCTTTGCTTAATAATTACTCTAGTAGCTAAATTCGCATAGAACCAAGAAAAATGTTTCACTATTTGATTAATACTTTGCCTCGTACAAACACAATTGTATAAATTAGTTGCTCAACAAAACATTAATTGCCCTTGAAGCGCACAATTTGCATAGAAAAACACTGATCTAAACATCTAAAAACAGCATTGTCCGCTTCAGATTCAAAATGTAGATTCTTCCAATGCTAGCTTATCGGGGTCTGTGAGGTGGGTGTCCCAGTAACTGTCCTTCATTACCCGGTGATTAACTACGCGACTTTTGGGCCTTCTTTGTTATTTTTTGTTAAAAAGGCCTAAAAAGGCCTAAAAAGGGTAGGTCGCTGGGGGGGGGGTAGCATATATTTATATATAGTGTGTGTGTGTTTTGTGTGTGTGTGTGGCATGGGGGTGTATTGGCAACCCAGTGGCAACCCTTCCTGCCACAGAATTTTCAAAGCACCTCTGGCTGCTTAGCTGTACTTCTGCATTGTTGTAGAGTGTGGATGCTGAAAGAAAGCCATGACAAACACTCGTTCTATTTGCATAGAGCTCTGGCATGTAGGTACGTATGATTTGCGGGGTACCGTTTTGCACAGACTCCTGCTTTTGGCCTGCATGCAAAGCAGCGTTTTTCGAAACAAAGGATGAATTGGAAGGCTAGGTTTTGAGATTCTGGCATGCCCGCTTCAAACGAAAAATGGCTCCGGAATGCGGTGCTCAGCCTGCTGTTGCCTTGCAGGCCCCAGGCCTGACCCTCCAAGCTGCTTAAAAGTCTCAACCCTTTCAAGAGATGCTGTTCCCACTCTCTGTTGCCGTTTGCCTGCCACCGCCCCCTGACCAAGCTTCGGATCGCCCGTGCCGAGCAAAAAAGATGTTGCCGCGTCGGGTGCAGTCACAGCTCTCGAAGCTGGAAAGGGTCCGGATCCACTTCGCAGACTCTCAATCAGAATAGAAGAACGAACCTGCATCCCGCGCAACCCAACCCCCCCTCTCCGATGCCATGCACAGGCCATGGAGAAATATCCAAAGCAGCAAGGACAGCACATGACAGCACGGTGGATTGTTCCAGGAGCAGCTTGGCAGAACATGCCCGAAGAGCATATGGACCGCTCTGGGTTGGGCGCTCTCTCAGGACTGGATTCAAGGGAGCTGCGATTGTCATCTCAAAGCATGCGAATGCCTGTTGTAAGCAGCCACTCTAAACATGAATCGACATCGAACTGGCCGTCTCTGATATGGGCGCATGAATGGCTACATTGAAGTGCAATCTCTGGCGAAAGGCGAGAAGAATGGCAAAACCATGTTGGCCGGGGTTCCGACCGAGACACATCGTATCTTGCAAGTTCATCTCGGAGGACGTCAGCTTTGCGCTTGCCCCTGGCATGCAAAATATGAGCGAAAGAGGCCCTGAACAAGATTGCAAATGCGGCTGTCCATACTTCATGGGGTCTGCAAAGACAATCCTGTGCATGGCTGCCAGTCGCCGTGACAGAGGCTCGCCGGTCAAGTGGTCAATCTTCCCCAATGTGATTGGACCTCGCCATGTGCAAACATGTCACGATTGGAGCGGTCAAGCTGTGCGATTGCAAGCAACTCGCGGCTCATAAATTCAGAAAGGGCAGTGGGAGATGCTCGCCAGGACTCAAGCACAGGGTGTAGATTTGGTCCACTTCAGCTTCCATTACCTTCCCACATTTGTTGGGCCCGAACCTGCCAGAGGCTTGTTACACTGCGAGTAGGGCTGAGTAGGGGGTTGAGGTCACTCAACCCTCAACACCCGCAGCCCGCTAATTTCGAGATTTAACGCGACCCATTGCGGAGAAGCGAACCATGCGACATGGTGCCCTGAGACTGACAAGACACGAGCCTGGCTGCTCCCCAGATGTCACAACGACCGTTTGTCCCACCGAAGCCGAAGGAGGACACGCCTCGGATGTGGCACAGAAATTGTGACAAAAACACGCTCAAATACGTTCTCTCAAATTTCTCCCCCATCCTAAGCTGAATTCCCAGCTTTGGAAAATCTATCTCTCCCTCTCTCTCAGAGAGCGCCTGTTAGGGCGCTGTTCAGTCCTGGGTCGATCGCCTGACACGTGGCACAGCGCGGAACAGCATGGCACAGCGTGGCATCCAAGTTGCATTGCACAGGCAAATCTCGTCTGCTTCAGAGGAATTGGCAGGTTTTATGATCACGACATGTTTGGACCTTTCGCCAAACCCTCCTGAAGACCAGCTTTGAGCAGGCATTCAGACAGTCCCACTTGCATAAGCCGTCTCGACACCCCCTGTGCAAATTCAGGGGCTGTCAAGAGGCACGCTCTGCATGAGCTCTGTACGGTGCCGTTGGTCATCTGGCGGCCAATATGGCGCACCTCTCTGTCGCACCTCCTTGTCCTCCACTCCACTCATACGCCAAGAACTATTTCAAGATATGCCCTTGAGCAGTTGTCCCGTGAAGAAAGGAGAGCCCAATGACTCGTTCAGCAATGCAAGTCTGTCCTGTGCAAGGTAGCACTGAGCTCAGGTGCCAGGCTCTTGACTTGAAAGGGCTGTATGCCCAACCTGTTTATATCGTCACCCAAGGACAACAATATAAATCTCTTGGGAAGTTCAAAATGCTTCGCACTGCATGCATCGCGGACATCGAAAGGTCCGAACACATGCTGTTGGAGGGTCTGGAACGGCTCAGCCACAGGACACGTCAAGACACAGTTGCAGCATTCGTGCTTCCTTCCCCACTGCTGGCAGTGAAAGCTGAACTAGCGAATGTCAACTTAAGTCACAATTCCCCAAATGCGTCATAATGCGTCCGTGGTAGGCATATGCAGATCTACCAGACCAGAGCCCCCACAGCTAATCCGGTGACAGCCCGCGTCAGCTTGCGATCACGTGGAACAGGGGTTTCCCACCAGCACACACCTGTGCAAGTTGAGCTGTCACAAGATGACCAGTGCTCAACAACAATCAAGTTGCTCACACAATGTGTTAAAATTGCAGGCCAGAAGCAGACTTCATCGGAATCACTCTCAATAACCACCTTTACGGCCACTCTCAAGTTCTCGAGCAAACTGCACATTTATGCACATGGTCGAAAAAATAACACACTTGGCCATTCCTGGCCTCATGCGACTTGGTGTCCATTCTTGGAAGGGCTTTCTGCTCACCTCATCTATTTGATCATGGCTGGCTCATGTAAACGCCACCCGCCAGAAAATGTCAGCCACGTTAATCTCTTCCGAGGCACTCTGGTTTTCAACCAAAGTATCTGCACGAAGTTTTACCTCCCTAACAGATTGCCGCTGTTGCGTCCGGCCATCTTCCCAGATCATGGACATCGTCCTAAACTCGCAAAAACAATTGACAACTCCCCCTTGCTGCGCGGTTGAACCATGCCATGTCGAGCCAAGGAGCTCATGAGAGGTCAAGATAGCATTCGTCGCCATGGCGCCAGGACTTTTGAGGTGAGAAAAAGAGTCTTGACACTGGAGAAATATCGGTGATTCGGTGATGCAAAAAGCATAGCAAGCCTCAACAATGGTTACAAAGTGCCCTTGTGCATTGAGCGGCGAGGCACCTCTGTGTCAAAGAAGCACGGGAAGGCTTTCACATCCAGGTGAGGATTCAACCTGAAGTTGCTGTTGTGGGGTATTGAAGAGTCCCTGGTGAGCTTAAGACAGGGGACGCTAAACCATGGTGCTGGATTTGGTGCGGGGGCTAGTGCGTTATTTGAAGCTTCACAGTTCAAGATTGGGGGCTTCATTTGATTTCAGGTCCATTGGGGAAGGACTGTATTCAACCAGCCACCGGCCTTCCTTATTCCAGGAGCTTTTCAAATCTAGCGGCCTGCCTTTTCCATAGATTCCAGTGGGAAAGGACCGTATCCAACTAGCGACCTGCCTGTCCGTGTGCCAGAGGCAAGGGAGCGCAGCGTACGAACCAGCAACCTGCCTCTCCACATTCCACCCGTCGTCGTGGTGGTGGTGGTGGTGGTGGTGGTGGTGGTGGTGGTGGTGGTGGTGGTGGTGGTGGTGGTGGTGGTGGTGGTGGTGACGGGGAATACCTCAACATGCAGTTCCCCGTCGCCACCACCACCACCACCACAACCAGTGTCGCGACGACTGAAGGCCAGGGCTGTTCGAAGCTGGCACCACCAGCAGTGTCACGACGACTGAATGCCATGGCTGCACTGGACTGCCCCAAGCAGCAACCCAACAACCACAAAAAACGAACCGACCCCAAAGTAAAGGTTCATCCACCAGACCTCTCGCTCTTAACTAGAGCAGCTTGCGCCATCTCCAAGCCACAGCTGCCACGATGCCCCTTTTTCCAAAAGGCAGTTGCTTCATCAACGAGTCCATCCTAGCTGCTTCTGGTGCTTTTGTGCCGTTCCTCGCCCCCTTGAGTTCACCCCCCGAACCCGGCCCTACCCAAAACCTGTCCCCGCACACTTGCACACGCTCGCCCGCCCACCATCCAGAAGCCGCTCGTGCGCATCTGGAAGTTTGGGTTCTCCCGTCGCTGACGTGTATTCATGGTGCATTTACTCTGAAAACTCTCAGGAGGGACCTCTGCGCAAGACGCTTCCTACTTGGGACAGAGAAGGCAAGGTGAGCAAGTGTGCAGATAACACAGGCGACAAATACATCAAAGCAAAGGGGAGGGAAGAAGGGCCTGGCCTTTCCCCCCCCTCCCACCCCCAAAGTGCTCCACGAACGACAAAAGCGGAGCATTAGGTGACTTTATTGCAACTTCAGAGTGATTCGGAGTGGAGTGATTAACGGATTTCGCACGAGCGAAGAGATGCGAAAAAATGCGAAGGAACACGGCCGAGGGGATGTCAGGGTTCGTGGCCAAGTCGTTTGCTGACCTTGTCCTGCCTGCTGAGCCTGCTGTCGTCCTGCTGTCATGCTGCCAGCAAGGACAGCGACGCGTCTGACAGCATGGAACACGGAGCTCGCACGCAAGGCAACCGCAGAAACCGGCAAGACCCCCACCCACTTCTTCTGTTGAACTTCCTGCAGAACCCGAAATCACCATGTTGGGATTTCGCACCCTGCGGGAAATGTCGGGACAGACGCAGATGGAGGATGATGGAGGATAATGGAGGCATGGGTGGCCACCGTGCTTTCCTGGCTTTTTCCTTCGTCGCCCGTCCAAAATCACGGGCAGCAAGGGAACGAAATGAGCCGCACTCTGCGAACCAGAAGAATCAGAACACTCATGCTACGCAACCTTGCTTGCAAGGGTGGCTGCGCTGCTCAGTGTCTGACTGATATAGGTGTGCATTCGGCGGGCATGTTCCAGCCATTAGCATGAGAACCTGGGCAGAAGCAACGCATTCTCCCGGATGGAACGTCAAAGGGGCGACTGGAGTGACGGTCACGTCTCAGCACGTGGCGCACTTCAAGAAGCCAGCAATTCCAGCCTCGTACTGGCATAAATGCTGGCAACAGGGCCGAAACTGGACTCCCATACATCCTGTAGTCGCTGTTGCTGTAGCCCACAACTCACTCTTCTGTAATCGCATCTGAGCCTGCACTTGTCCATACTCGTCCCCTATCATGAGGCAACTGCGCTGCCCTCCAAGTGCCCAATGTTGGACTTCGAACTTGTCAAAGCGAGTGTAGTCTCTCGCGGATGCATGACCTTGGCATGCAATCCGCATTCCTGCTTGCTTTATCCTGAACGCTCGCAAGCGGGATTCACTACATTTACATTCATTGCGTTTTTTGCTGGCCCTTAAGCTGTGCACGTTCTTGAGAGCCCCAACCTCAATAGGATCACCAAGAGCTGTTCCTGGCGCTCAACGGCACAAGAGGATGACACTTGTCTTCACTGCCCTGTTGAATCACGTTGCCGCCTTGCCTGTTCCATGGCACTCTGCCAAGTTGATGTCGCTCGCCCTGTTTCCTGCCTACATGTGCGACGCTTGTCTCAGATGCAGCGCAAGAAGCGGTTACGAGGAGAGTCCAGGTGAGTCGAGGAGTCGAGTCACAGTCGAGACTGCGTCATATGCTGGCACTGGCCTCGCGCATGGACGCCGCAATGCAAGCTTGCTGCGACGGGCCGTTGGGTGCCGTCATACTAGCACTCCGACCATCCTGGAAGCTCAGTCTGCTCTTTTCTGCGCAGTATTGCTCACACTCACACATGACACGCATGTGCTGGGAACAAGCGGGGTCGTTGCTCCGGGTTGCAAGGTTTCTACCGCTACCTGCATGGTCTCACTTTGCTGATGTTTAAAATCAGGAGTCCTGATTGATGCAGCAGCCCAGAAGGCATGAGAGTTGGTCATACATATCCACCTCCATTGCGCTGGCCTCGGTGGTGACAGTGTGCACATCTCGAAAAAGCGCACGTGCGCACGCATCTCTGCCCAGTGCCTTGCACTTTTTGGACTGAGCGACTAAGCATGCGTTACTCCGTCGCAAGTGTCCAGAAACAGACCAGACCTCATCCTGGCAGGCTATAGCCTTTTGGCTCGCAGCTCAGGGTTGCCTTGGCTCTGTACAGCCTAGAGCTTTCGGAATCCCCGTGTAGGCACGACGGGCATGACCTTAGGCGACCCCAGAAACAACCATCTTTTCGTTTCTGCATAGGTGCCTACGTGCTGCGGAAAACTGTCAATGCAGCGGGTGGAGGGCGGTACTCATTCCGCTGTTGAGGACACTAGGACCACCCTTCCCGGAGCGGCCACAAAATAATTTGCAGCCAGTCACCTTAAAGAGCGAGCCACTCTCTTACCACTCAGAACCCTTGGGTACAGAGTCGTCGTAGCACTCTGAGGCAACTTGCGGAAAGAAAACCGATTGCATTTGGTGGCTGACGCTCCCCCACATATGAATGACGCCACTTTTCTAGTCACCTGCATCCTCCTTTGATGGTCGGGCGAACGAACCCACATACAAAACCTGTGCAATGCTCTTATCCTCGCGCGTTTCATACACTTTGGTGGGGTTTGCAAGGTTTAGCCCAGGAAGCCTTGTGCAAAACCAAATCGGTATACCATGACGTAAACAGGTGTCATGGATTGTGCTCCGACCTCAGTCCATCCATCAAAAGAACATGCGACGCACGCCTGCCTTGATTGACCAGGGGCGTGGCAAGGACGCTCAGTGCTTTTTCGGTGTTGGCGTGGGGCCGGCCTTACTTACTTCTTGCTTCTATGGCACCCTCTGCCTAGACATGCATATAAGTAGGATGTTAGTGGCAGAACTGGAGGTCATGATGTGAGGTCAGATTGCTGTATACGATTGTATACGGAGAACACTACGCAATGGTGCCGTCTTGCTTCGTGTGTGTCACCGATATGGGAATCACTTCTAAGCCTCGGACGTACCATGTAAGTTGTACGGAAGGGGAATACTATGTAAGCACCATGCACGCACGATATAAGCACCATGTAAGCACCATGGCACCATGCAAGCACCATGTAAGTGCGATGTAAGCACCATGTGATAAGTAGCACTTTGTATGTACCACGTAAGCACTATGAAAGCACGATGTAAGCACCATGTGATTAGAACTACAAGGGCTATGTGAGCACCGTGCATGTACCATGTAAGCACCATGTAAGCGCGATGTAAGCACAATGTAAGCCCCCAGTGAGCAATATGCAGGCACTTGTAAGCACCATGTAAGAGGGGTAATGAGAGAAAGAGATTGGCGAGAAATAATGGAATAAGAGGAGAAGAGAACAGGGACGGAGAGATGAGATGCACGTCGAGTCACACCGAGAGAGAGAGAGAGAGAGAGAGAGAGAGATGGCACATGGAGATGAACGATAACGACGAGAGGGAGCTGAAAGAAATAGATGAAACGGAGGCGGACGGCAGATCCAAAAAGATATTTGACTGGAAAATGATCGGGAGATAATGAGAGAAAGAGATAGAGCAGAGACAGAAGGGAAATAAACACGAGAGGAGAAGAGCAGAAGATGAGAGAGAGGTACCGCAGATGGGGCGTGGGGGGTCTCTGAGCCCCTCAAGTCTTGAAGAAGGAAAAGAGGGAGATGGAGAGAGAGAGAGAGAGAGAGAGAATGAGATAGGCGAGAGATTATAAAAGAGAAAATGTGCTCGAGATGAGAAGAAGAGAATAGAATAAACACCTGAAAATGCCTGAAAACAGATTCTTGATGAATCGATGCTATCCTCTCGGTCTCGCTCTCGCTCTCGCTCTCTCTCTTCCTTCCATTCTCTCTCTCTCTCTCTCTCTCTCTCTGTCTCTCTCTCTCTCTCTCTCTCTCTCTCTCTCTCTCTCTCTCTCTCTCTCTCTCTCTCTCTCTCTCTCTCTCTCTCTCTCTCTCTCTCCTTCTTCTTCTTCTTCTACCCAGCGAAGAGGCCCCCCGAAGAGGACCCCGGCCGCGCTGGCCCGCTGCTCTGTCCGGGGTGAACTCTCGCTCTCTTTCTCCGGCATTTTCCTACAGTTTCTCATCACTTTTCGTCTCCTGCGTATCTCCCTTTCAGCTATGTCTATTTTCTTCATCTCATCTCTATCGCTTCCCCATCGCTCGTATCCATTTGCCATTTTCTCTCTCTCTCTCTCTCTCTCTCTCATCTTCTTCTCTCTCATCTTCTTCTCTCTCTCTTGCTTGCTTGCTTGCAGCGCACATGATCCCCCTCGAAGGGAGACCGCTCTCTCTCTCTCTCTCTCTCTCTCTCTCTTTCTTTCTTTCTGCGCACCTAACCCCCTTTATTCAAGGGGGCCGCCCGAAGGCGTGCGTTACAGAATGGTGGATGAACTGAAGCTGTGGGATTGCCAGGACCTTATCTAATTCCAGTATGTAGGTTAGCGACACCAATACCTAGTATGACTCTCCCCGAAGTTCAGTGTCGGTGAAAAAGCCCTCTTTAGGACAAAAGGAAGGGAAGGCAAAACGTGCATGGTAGAGGCGTTGATCGAGAGGTGTTCCCGCCCACGAATTGTAACCTTCCCGTGCTACTTGGGCCCCGTCACAGATTTCGGTGACTTGGTGCCGGCTAAGGACTACAGCAAGGATTGGCCTCCCCCCTCCCAAACAACCAAACAACCTCCTGAATCCCTCCAATAACAGACACCCTCAAGGGGAGAGGGAAGGGAAAGTGAGTATTTCCTGCGGTCTGTAAAGAGTTGGCAGGCTTCGCTCTCCGAATTATTGAGGTGATTGGACATGAGATGTTACAGTGGAAAATTGCACATCTGAGGTATGGGTCCCCCTACTTAAGACCGTGCCTCTACATGCTCAGCGCTCATCTCTTCTCAGCGGTGAACGTTCAGCCATGGTGCAGCCGGTCATACTCGCGGCGAGGTGTGTGCAAGTGATCGAGAAGCCACTCGTCGAATTTGCTCCATCAGGTTGCCCCTTTCCTGGTCGCGGTTGTCTGGCCCCCTTTCGTTCGTCTTTTTCCTCTTTCTCGGCAACGGTGACCTCTCCCGGTTTGTCCTGCAGCTCTCTGGTTTTGCTCCAGCTGGGTGGCGTCGTGTTGGCTCGCCTCCCTTTGTTCTCTGATGCGGTTGGTGGTGAGGTCGCTGTAGGTCTTGTCCCGGGTGTCGTGGAGGATGCGCCGGCTGTCTCCCCAATGTTGCCCATGTCGTCGTCGAGGGTTTGATGTGGGGCGGCTGGTCGCTCTTGTCCCCTTTGCCATCTGACTCCTAGGTGCTGTTGGGCGCGGTGTGGAGGCTTCTCCCTTTCCTCTTCTTCCTTTTCTTCTTCTTCCCAGCTGTTGGTTGGCGACGGCGATGGTGGTGGTGACGTTTTCGCCCGGCGTGGGATTGGCTCATGGTATTTCACATGGCCTTGCAGACTTGCCCCGGGGATGGTGGCTGTATCTTCAGGGTCAACCTCCACCTCTTCGTAGTCGCCGTCATCTTGTTGCGATGTGCCCCCTTCTTGTACTGCTTCGCGTTCCACCTTGTCCTCTTCTCCCCCTTCGGTGTTCGGCTTCTTGGCTTTGCTTTTTGACGTTGTCGTGGAGCTTGGCTGCGAGTTCGCGGCCGATGGTATTTCACATGGCCTTTGTTCATGTCCTCCCGACGGTAGCTCTTTGGCGGTAGGACCTGGCGTGCCCACATCTGGTTGCTGTTGGGGAGCTTCTTCTCGGTGTGGTGGTTGTTGTTGGGCCGATGGTATTGCACATGGCCCGGATGGTCGTTCCCCCCCTCCTTCTCGGTGTTCGCCTTCACGTTCTGGTTGTAGTGGAGGTGGTGGTGGTGCTTCGCTCGACTGTAGGGTCTCCCATGCGTACGGTCTGTCCTGGTGCACCCCCGCACTAGCCAAGAACCACTTGGTGACAATGTCGATGTTAGCAATGGTGAGCTCCTGGCGCCTCTCCCTCACCTGCTGGGCTTGTCCTGGGGTGTACTTCTGCGCGGTCCATGTGATAGCCCCCCTCATTGCTTCCAAAGCCGCGTGGATCTTGTGGTCCCCCTCATCCATATCAGGTCTCTCCATGGTTGCACTACCCCCGGTGTTTTGCTTAAGTATGTTGCATGTAGATAAGTGAAGAAGGAAGACTGGAAAGGTCCTCGTCATGACTGTTAAATTCCTGGTAAGGAGGGACTCCCTAAGTATTGTGAATTTGCGCGCCTCCCTCTGCCCCCTCGCTCGGCTGTTAAGGTGGAACAGACCCCCGAAACCACAGGCGAAGAACTGGTCGACATGTGCCCCTGAACTAACCCCCCAAGGGTTTCTAAGGTGCCGGCAAGGGTTGTGAGGTTTGAGCCCAGCGGCGCGGCAGGCTCAAGCCAGGGTTTGGGGGCGGGTTCCTCCCCCCGACTTGAGCCAAAATGGTCTCTCTCTCTCTCTCTTCGCGTCTCATCTCTCCATCTCCCCCGTGACGCGAGGATTAGCCGAGTCTTACCCCTATAGCATCAACATTTTTTGCATCCAGGCGTGGGTGAGCGTGCCGCGAAGGAGCTCATGATGCCCAGGTTCATTGTAACTCCATCGCAGACATAACATCAACATTTCAAACCCTAAGCCCTATCCGCCTCAAGCCTTCTTGTTTGTGCTACCTCACACCCGCTTGGATGGCCGAACTTGTTTGAAATTGACCGTGTATTGACCATATATTGACCTTCAGACCTTGCCGGCCTTGTGCGAGAGTGAGTGTGGAAACCTAGGCCCTAGTTGAGCCCTCTACCTTTCTTTGTCAATTTGTACCCTGACCCATAAAGTCGTAAAACCCGATACCCCGAAGCCCTAGAAGCTTGAATGCCGCAAAGGGCAAAAAGGAAACCGAATAACCCAGCAGTCACCGGTGCCCAATCCATGAACATCAGGTAGCAGATGGCACCCTCAACCTGTAGCCCTGAACCCTGCATTCACTCACAATCTCAAGGAACTATGTGCGCACCAACCCAGACATTTCTGAGCTGCGGACGACGGGCCACTCACTTGGTGAGGTAGCGGCCAATCAGCGACATGTATGGAATACCGCCTGCATAAAGCCTTTCTTTGTCCTTCTTCAGATTTGGGTTTGCTGAAACTAAGCTTGGTGCCAATGTAACAAGCTTGGCTTTGCTCGTGGTCGGTGCTTCCGGCTGCACTGGCAAATAAACACTTGTATCCAGGATCTGTGGAAGACTTGGCAGATTGCCCACGCGAACGCTTGACGCGTGTGAATCGCTCAGCCCCACACTGCACAATAGCTCTTCACAAGACTCCAGTGTGGAGAGGAGAGGCCGAAACTCGTGCGCAGCATGGTCCGAGGCTGCTATACTCTGCCTGTCGGACAATGGTGAGTTTATATCGCTGCGCTCTATGTCGTGCTGCTGCGCTTCGTGCTCGTCTGCCGCTTCTGTGGCAGAGACGTACGCAGTGAGCATATCCAGCTCCATGTCATCCAGGAAGTCCATCTCACGCTCTGACAGGATGTCGCTGGCCTCCAGGTTCAGCGACCTCCAAGCTGCGTGTGCATCTCCCTTGAAGGAGGAAGCCTCAATGACGTGCACAAATTCTTCTTCGCTGAGACTTCCCGAACCATCTGTGTCTAAAGCGTGGAAGGCTACAGCAACACCACCAAAATTTGCGAAGCACCACCTGCGGAACAGGGCCAAGTTCTCAGCAACTTCCTCATCAATTTCATACAAAGTGATGAAGCCCAAGCCTCTCCTGTCCAGACCTAGCCATGCTTTGGCACAGTCCCCCTTCCAGTTGATGCGTTCAGCGGCCTGCTTAAATGCAGACCACTTGCAAATTCCGTTTCCATCCAAATCTAGGCACAGCCTCCAAGCTTTCACGGGGTGATTTCCATACTTGGACAGCATGGAAGTTTTGAAGGACAAGGCTTCGCCTGGACTCGGCTGCTCTGACAGCCACCCTACCGGCTCCCAAAGTTCTAGAAAGCGCAGATCTCTGAATTGGAGTTTTCCGTTCGGCTCCCAGTCCAGCACCGTGAACAAGAAGCTCGGGTCGAAAGGTGGCATATGTGGCTGAGTCAACTTGTTGCATGCATACACCCATGCCTTACGATTCAAGCTGTCCGTGGCTGCGCCAGTGGATCGAAGCTTGCGTTGGTACATCTTCTCTAGCATAAGAAGTTTTTGCCACGCTTCCTTGACACTACCCGTGGTTTTGAGCGCCCAGTCTCTGAATAATGCGAGGGCCCTTGCCTCCTTGAAGCCGAATTCTTCCAGAGAAGCCCGTCCATTTGTGATATCAAGGCAGCTCCAAAGAGACGACACATCCCCACGCCATCCCATTTGAGCACACGCTCTAACGATATCCGACTTCTGGACATAGAGGTACCCATCCCGATCCAACGCTGATCGCCAGGAGTGCATCAGGCTCCCCCCTAGGCTACCGCTTCGCAGGAAGCTCATGAAAGCCAACAGCGCCTGCATAGCATTCTTCTTCGGGCCCTGAGGAGACCCCGATGTTGCACCACTCAAGTTCGCTCTGCTAGTGGCTGGCCGCAGCTGCATCCGTCGTCGGTGCTGTTCCATGGCCTTGAAGGACAAAGAATGGGGACACAACAGGAGCAACATTTCGGATTGCAACGACAAACCCGAAGTCAGGAAGTTCGGCAGGGTACCTTGTCAAACCAAGGCAAGTCAGCTTGTGTCACGTACCTTGGCTGCAATTTTACAGATGCTAGCAGGTGCTGGTGTCGGCAGGTGCTGGTGTCGGCAGTTTGCAGCTGAGCATCCCAGTCTGCTTTCGATCAATGCAAGTGAACAACACGTCTTCAAATCCGCCATACCTGCAAGCTGTCAAGCAACCTCCAATGGCCCATAGTGGCCCCAATGTGCCAACATGTGCTAACTGCTAACGTCCGCAAATAGCAGCCAAGAAACCAGCCATGCCGAGGGGCGTTTTCCAGAAACTGTTCCTTGATGAACGTGGCTTCCTTATTCAGCGGGACGCCCTGTAAAAATTTCAGCAGTGCATATTGGTACCTGTGAAATCAAGTGAATGCTCACTGGCGAGACCATTAGCTGAGCTTCGATTGGCGGCACTGCGCTCCTCTGCTTCCTGAACCGGCGCTCCCCTTCAGGAGGCCCCAAGTCAACGATGGTCCCACGAAGCTGAGCAACCTGAAAGCGTGCCAGTGAAGCACGAAACGCGCGCGCGCGGGCGAGTTGGAACCCACCACGTGGGGAGTTGTCCAAATCAGGGCCCCTTCTTGGGTCCTATACACAGCACAGCACCCCTTAACATAAGGACCCCAAAGGCCCTAATTTAGAGAGCTGCCCAGGTGCTTCCCCCACCTTTTTGTTGGAGGGTGATCATTGCTTAGAAACACAGGCGGGCATTGTAGAATCGGTGGCGGGGTCGACTGTGCCTTTTGAACGACAACTGGAGCTGCTGCACACCAAGACCAAGAGGTCCACAGGAAACACGTCATTTTGGTTGATGCTGTCCTGAATCGCTACTGTAACGCTTCTGACACTGTGGATTCCGGTCGTTACGCCATGAATATGGGTGACGCCCTTGACGCAACGAAGCCATTGACACTGTGGACATCTGCGTACAGTGTTGACGCTGTTCACGTCCTCGCGCGGAGATCAATGAACGGATCTGAAATATCAATTGTTAGGCCATCAGCTCAGCGCATGCGCATCGGGATGCTGGTTCTGGTTGGTGCTGCGGTCCAGCATGTGTTTGATTTTTGTGCCTCCCGGATTGGCACATGTCGAAAGGGTTTTTCCCCTATGTCACTGAGGCAACATTTTCACCGGAGGACCTGCGCAACAACGCACACCATGCCCGACACATTGACGTGCTTACGCTCCGCATACTCTGAATCTGAGCTTGTGCTTTGCTCTTGCATGCTTCAACTCAAGACTGTAAGGCACTCTTTAAGATCTAGATTCCGGCAATGCTCGCCAGTGGCACGGCATGCCGGCGTTGCGGGCATTCTAACATCCTGGAGCAAGCATGCCACTTCGACTATCAACAGATTCCTGGCAAGAGTTTCACACGGAAACCTGTGCATCTGGGCGACCTTGGGCGACCTTGGGCCATCTTAATGCATCTTAATGCATCTTAATGCATCTTAATGCATCTTAATGCATCTTAATGCATCTTAATGCATCTTAATGCATCTTAATGCATCTTAATGCATCTTGCATTTTCATGAACGTTCAAGCGGCGTGCAGGCTTAGGCTTGGCGCGACGGCATCCTTAGGTCCTTCGGAGCTGGAGTGTGGTGTAGTGTGGTGTACATATTGGCACATAAGTTGCTGCACTGGTGCAGATATCCAGATTGACTTGCGCTTTAGTCACTAGTAGAAGAGGGTTTTTAAAAACCCTCTTCTGCTAGTGACTTTAGGCGTGTCTTCAGACTCGGCAAGTTCTGTGCAGAGCTGTATGCGCACGTCTTGCAGCCTTTTGGGCGCAAGCACAAAGCTTGAACAAGTGCCCTGAGCACGAAACGCGTCGCTAACCCACGCTCGCGCCATAGAAAAACTGCATCCGCTCGGCTTGAAAGCGCATTCCCAGAGAAGTGCTTTCAGGTTGATGCGCCAAGTAGCCATGTCGTCGGAGCTTGAGAAAGTCTCAGCGCACCAGGCACGGAAGGCCGCCCAAAGATCAGCACCCTTCCCGTCCACCTGCACACAGGCAATTAAGATCTCGCAAGCTTTATCAACGGCTTGTAGCAGACATTCTCAACCTCTCCCTTTGGGCGGGCCTCGTAGAGCGTTAGGAACCCTGACTCGTCTGCCTGGCCACTCCGCCCCAACAGCATGACCGCACATGACCGCGCCATGCAGCGTGTGCCGCTGCAAGTGTTGCAAAATCTCGCTAGCGGTGAAGCACAGCCAATTCACGCCATGTCACGTCGATCTGTGTGAAGATTCTTTCAGCATCTCCCGTGAATTGCAACCTTAAATGCCCATCTGCCAGATAGACGGTGCTCCAAGTCTGAAACTCTTGTGCAGGCAGTGCTTGCACTGTTGCGGCTGCACAGCCATGTACGTCTTGTATCATGTTGGCTATGGCATGTTTGGCCTACTTGCATTGCCGGTGCCTTTCGCTAGAAGACCTTGCTCACGGTTTCATGCTTCTTAGGCGCTGTGTCGCTCCTCCCTGACCTGAGCCAAGTATAGCCAAGTATCCTCCGCATGGCGGTGATGAATTCCTCTGCGCATGCAGTGTCCAAGGAAGACCCTCAAATCGCAAACGATTACTGTAGAATGTCGAAACTCTCGAAACATCTCAAAACAATCTCCGAACCTCCAAGGACACGTGACCATCGCCATCTTCAGCGGTATCAAAGAAGCGTAGCCAAGCAGGGAGAACGTGACCGGCGGCATTCCTCAAGCAGCTGACACCAACGCACTTGTCACTCGAAGTTAAATTTGACCATAACTGAATGTACTTGACAGGACTTGACACAACGGCCTTCCAGGATGAAAACATGTGGCCTGACCTTTGGCATCCTTTCATGACCAAAGACGTCGAGTGGCCGCAGAAATGCCGCCAAATAGTCGGCACCATCATGAATCATCCAGCAAACTGCATGACATATCCCATCTGCCCGCGTAACATAGGTAGCACGCTAGCCCCTCCGCAACTTGGCTGGCTGATTGCAGAGCATGCGCATGAATTGCTGTTGCCCTGTATACTTTCGAACCAAATTTGAACAACAACAAAACCAAGTCATCAGGCCATCAAATCCATCAAGCTATTCCAAGCCGTTTGCGTGACCATGCAGTGACTATGCCACTATGATCCACTATGCGCTCCAGAAGCTTTGGAACCTTGGGCATGGAACATCCCAATTGTAATTCTGACCCTTGTTGCCCGTACTTGGACTCAGGCCTTCAAATAAAGGAGTCCGCAACCCTCGCCTCTGGCATATCCGTCCCCGCCTCAGCTGTTGAACAAATGTGTATCTAAGCCTCCCCCGCAACCTAGCACGCACCTCGTGAATGCACTTCTTGCACATTTCAGCCAGACCATTCCAAGCCCCCAAAGGAGGTTGCTCAGGACGCTGCTTTCGTTGAAGGTGAAACATCTACCGGCAGTTGAGAGCATGTGCAATCCGCACCTGAGCCACCGCATGCTCAAAGCCTGCCTCACGGCTTGCAAACCACGGCACACGTGACACGGGCTGGTGCCTAGATCGCAGACCCATTGAATTGGGTGTGCCGTCCTCCATGAATCCTATCTCCAGGAATTAAATCAGAACAAGGATCACAAGGAGTTTGGGTCCATCTTTATGGGGAAATGCGGGATGAACACCGAACTTGCCACGTGAGTAGGGTAAATACTATGCCAGCGTAGATCCCAAACGTCGAAAGAGACCACATGAGCCCATGCATACGACAGCGACGACAGTTTCGAATTTCGCGAGCCCAGACGTCCAAAAGCGATGAAAGAACGGCACGCCCCGGATCGGAGGCCTGTGTGGTTCGGTAAAGTCGGGGTTTTTTCGCGACTTTGCTCGTTAAATTTTGATCCTCTACTCCCCGCGAACGAAAGAAAATACATCACTTCCCCACCCGAAAACGGTACCTCCTGTGATTGATGGACTTCTTACCGGGGGGAGAGAGTGCAACACTTAAATTCGGAAAGTACGCGTGTAAGCATTGTATGCATGTGTCTGACCAAGGGTTACAACGCCCTTACAGGACTTCCTGCAGTGAAGAGGGGGATCGAACAAGATTTCCCTCCTCCCCACATAAACACTTTGACTTTACAGTGCCTCCTGATCTATTCCATAGTTTCTGCCACACGCCTAGCCACCTAGCCATGACTTTCCACGGACTGTCCAACATAGAGGTAGAGCACAAACCAATGCCAATCACCCTGGCCAGCCTCGGCACCTCGGCACAAACCATCGCAGAAGAAACGTTTACAGTACCTTTTGGATCTTTTCTTGATTGCGCCAACGCTGCGCACCGTTCCATCTGTCACAACCTTTACTGAGGAGGTGCTCAAGCCTGCAAACTGCCAACGCTGGGTTATTGTCAGGGAAATGGGTGGAATATGGTGGACTCCCCAGTTCGTGCGCGTCATAAAATGGCTTCGTTGGCATCCATCCGGATAACGCATTTGGGTGTAAAAGCTGCGCTGTTGTTCTGCATCATCTGTGTGATGATCCACAATACCACCCAACTCGTGTTGTGGGTTGCCCATGATTGCCCCCGAAGTATCATGTAGTGGTGGCGAGGACCCCTTTGAGGAGTGCAGAGTGGCGGCGCTGCCAAGCATGCCTCTCCATTCTCGCTCTGTTTTGCCAAGGGCAATTTGCCAATCTGGCGCACTATGGAAGTGATGAAGTCCTACATTGCAGAACACCGAACACCTCTCGTAGTCAGTCACAGCCAATGACGATGAGCGTGGAACATAGTAGCATGGCGCAAGCGCAGTTTACGCCATGAGCCTGCCCACATCGGCGACTTGAAAGGTTGCTTGGATGATCGGCCTGGAGTGAAGCAGTGCTGTTTGCTGTGGTGATCTACGGGTTCATAGCTCCTTGCTCGATGGTGTGGATGGCGACGCAGTATAGCCGAATTTACCTGTGAGCCTTGAACCACACCGTCCCGGTGGGTGGGGCCCTTGCAACATGCCGCACTTTAGGTTTTCAGGTGAACCATCAAGGCATTGCGCACTTTTGAATAACTGCACAGACACGCTCCCGCACTTCATCTCCCGCGCCTCCACTGTGGTTGAACGCCAACGCATTTTTCAGGTTACACTGGCAGGTGCATCCTTCGCCCAGCCTCCCATCATTAGTGCAGGCCTCCTGTTGTTGTTGCCCTCTTGTGCTTTTGGAATTTCGACGACTAGAAGCCTGCGGTGTGTGTGTGTGCTCGATGAGGGTGATGGTTTCGGCCTGTTGTGTATTTACTGGTGAGATCGTGCAAAGCCGGAGGGTGCGGGGGAGCTGTTTGTTGAGTCAATGTTCCGCTTGCGCAAGGGCTACTGCCTGGACCTCCCCTTTCCCCTCGCCTAACGAACTCTCCCTTCAACTGGTGCCTCTCTACTCGAGGTTCTCTTTTGATGGCTTCCCTGATCATTTCGATAGTGAGGTTTTGGGGGTGTCCACTTTCTTTCTGGGTGGAGGTGAGGAGCCGGCCCTTTCACTTCCCGGTCTTGTGCCTTCCACGAACACTGACATGAAGGACTCCCTGGTGTGATATGGTGTGATGCATACTTGGGTGGGAGGATGTTGTGGGAGGAGAGGCCGAGTAGGATCGCCGATATTGTGCGGGTAGTGATTGTGAAGCTCCCTCGCACATGTTGCCGAGGGATGCCTATCAAAATACCAAAATTCGCCTCGGCTTCCTGCCGAGAAGCGCTTGGAACAAGCAGACACGGAATCCGGTCTCCTCCTCCCTAACCCAACCCTTCCCCCCGTGCCAAATTTTGTGACGGACCGGCCCGGCTGCCGAGGCGGCGCGCGCAAGCGTTTACAATTATGATCTTAACGATTGTGAAAAAGAACCAAACCTGAATTTGACTCTCTCCCTTGCTGCGATCAGGCTTTGTTTTGCTGTGTTTATGCTTGACGCTTTTCTGAACATCACAGCTACGCTTTAAAGTGTCCGCAAAGTTCCCTGTGCAAGTACAACAGCATACTCGTAGGGGTTGCAGAGTGCCATGGGGGACCCCAAGCCTGCAGCTAGACACCCGCCGGCACAATCGTCTTTCTGATGCTCACGAACCAGAACTTGAACGAGTGAGGTGTAACGGTGTAAACGGAACATCCTGAAGGGCCTGAAGGAGTGTCGGAGCCAAACCTTCACACCTGCATTGGCATTGTCTGACAATGCCTTCAAGCCTTCGAGCCTTAGAGCTGGGGTGATTCAATTGCGCACAACCCGAAACCAGAGACCGAGGTGTGTAGCCAGAATAATGTTTGGAAACGTTTGGGATGTTGAAAGGGCAAGAAGCCTGGAACCAAACTGTGAGAAGCTTGCGGCTAACCCGTAAGACCCGCGGAGGCACCATAAAGGCCTGCAAGTATTTCGACGTGCACCCGCGCGAGAGACTGTAAGATGGGCGTCGGGAAAAGGAGTGTGTGATCGGCAATGCGTGGCGACGGCCGCGGGCATGATTTGTGCACATCAGCGAAAGAACTCCGCGGGCAGATTGAAGACACTGGGCAGGATTTCACATACTCCTACATATGCAAAGTGCGCAACATCAGTAGTCAACAGCACACCTTCATTGCATGACATCTGCAACATGCCCCAGGAATAGTGAAGACATGCGTGAAGACGTGAGGAGTCATGAAGAGTAAGACACAGGCATAGCCATGTACGTGCCAGGACCTGGCCAAGAGAGCAAGGTGGCTCGATGGCAAGTGGGACTCAACAGCCCGGGCACCTATTTGGGTGCAAATCCCACCAGCAACTGACTCCTGCAGCCTGCAAGGATAAGCTCAAATGCATTGCAGCCAAGCTCTTGCTGACTGTCTAAGCATGAAGCAATTCCTGGCAGTAGTACAGCTCAACAACTGTCTGGGCAAACAGGGTGATGGGCATGTGCGCGGCATGGCATTTGTACCGCATTAGCTTCCATCGTCCCGGTAACGGCCAGACTATGCCAGACTCGATCGCACACTGGCTCGTTGCCTACATACCTCTGTTGTAGAAAAGCTCCAGTGCAAAAGGTTTCGACGGCCACTTGCCCGTGTCCTGCAAACAACTTTTGCGGCTGGTTGTCAATGAAACAAGCATCTTTCGCAGCTCTAACATACTCTAACTCAATAAAGCACAAAACTTTTGGGACGTGAATGGCGAGCAGCTGCCATAGACCGCAGCAGCATCACATTGTGCGCAAATGCAGGCACTCCGGGCTCCAGCTGAGCTGCTTTTGCCATGCGGACAGCACCCTCGTTCAGCTGCCCTGTGTAAACGTTGGCGACGCCCAAGTTGTTCTCAAGATAAGCCTGTGATGCCAGGTACGGCGTGCAGTGGTGCATGTGAGGATGCATTTCAATTGGCTGTCTTGCCCGCAGAGCCTGTGAGCATTCTCAGCTTAGAGTCATAAAGTTTTAGAAGCCACAAGCCCCAAGAAACTTGTGAAGCTTGGAAGAATTGGACCGGCAACAGACGCTCTGCCCAAGTCACCAACTACAATTGCCAAAGGCAATGTCCGAGAACGGCTTCCCGGACAGGGCGCGGCCACCCCTAGGTCCGTGCGTACTTTGTTAGCCTGTTGCGGTTGCATTCACAAGAAATGTTTGTTGCTTTTGAAAACATACATCAATGTACCATCTATTCAAGGAATCAAAACCGTGCAAAGATCCTGCGAGAGGCATTTCCTGGATCGTATCTGAGGCCTAGCTCCAAAGCCTCGATGGCTTCTGGCGTCTTGCCCAGATTCAGATACGAGTAACCTTGCTGTTCCAGGAGCTGCTGGCATGGCCATGTCTAGTACCAATTGTACAGCCAGCAGCATGCACTTCTTCACAACTTGTAATGTTTTCCATTTACGTAACCTCAGCAAGGCAACCGAGTGCATTGAGACCATGAGGAACATCCTCATTGCGGCGTAGTCCCTCCTTGATCGGATCCACCGCTTCTTCGAAGCGTTGTTGCAGAACCATCGAGAAGCCTCGCACCCCAAAGCATGCTTACACGTTCAATCAGGTTTTGTCGGCCTCCGAACAGATTCAACGTGCATCTGGCATTCAGCCATGCATCTTGCTGGCAAGGCTCCGTAGTCGACATACAAGGAGAAGATGTTGTGAGAACCGAATCCCAGTGCATGCCTGACAGCATTTGTTGGCATCTTCTATGCACTGCGCAGCCAATCGTTAAAGCCTCCAAGGACAGCGTAACTTGGGCACTCGAACTACTGGAACTACAATTACACCTCTTCCAAATCATCCGATGATCCAATGCAGCCACGCAACCCTGAGAGAATCTTCTCAAACTTGGCCTCAGCCTCTCGGGCACGGCCGGTTTCCAGCAGAATTTGACCGATGCAGTACTGCGTGAGTCCGGAACCGTCCTCGGTAGTTTGCTTCTGACGAAGGAGCTTGAGAAGCATTGCAGCCGAAAAACAGACCCCCACCCCCCTGCTCCGTTGAAGCTTGCTGAATCTTGAGACCCGGCACGTAAATTTCTTCTGCGGCCTCGAAATGGTACAGCGCTTCACTGAAGCGCTCCATTTTGTGAAGGACGGTCCTGAGGCCCACATAAGCTGTCAGGAGTAGACAATTTATACATCTCTTAAGCCTTGAGTTTCGGCTGCTCTGCTTCCGTGGGTCCCAAACTGGTGACGGGTCTTGGTGGACTGAGGGTAACTTCTGGCATCTGCCCCGAACAGGAGCTCGCGGGAAGCCCATTGGCAGGTTCGCATCCTTGCCAGCCATGTGAAAACCAACAGGCCTCCCATCAGCAGCACCTTGAATATCGCAAGCCAACGCGGCTTCGAACGAGACTTCGCGGACCGCTCCTCCTCCGGATCTTTGCCTGCTGAGTGAATCTGAAGACCACGTGCAGCGGGGGCTGGCGTACACAGTGCTCCGATGACAATGGCTGCTCCAACGTTGCAGGGATACAACAAGCGCTCGCCCACAGTGACGCCTACGATGAAAAACAGGTTGGAGGCTGGCACAAAAGGTATAACGATGTTACTGAGGCCAATCAGAATGTTTCGGCTTCTCCTGGCACATGCTAATGCAGCCAAAGCCGACAGAGTCAGGTATGCGGCGCATATTCCAAGCATGCGAAGGTCGTGACAGGTTTGCAAATCTGGTAGAGCATTGTACGAATAGTCCCAGGACAGGGTCCATGGAAAGACCATGAGTTGCGCATATTTCGAGTGAAAGTAGAGATATGTCGCTACGCGTACAAATGGGTCACTGCGGTATTGGACGGGGGTGTCCACGAATGAAAAGCCGGCAGATGTGCCCGATGTGATCCAGCTTCGTCCGAGAAACGTTGCGCAGAAAATACCAACAAGGGGAAGCGAGCCACTCAATGGGCATGGCCCGAGTAGTTCCACCACGGCAAGATGCAACAAAACACAGAAGCCACTTTCTTTGCAGAACCCTCCCAGTACCGCAAGCATTGAAACCAGACCGATGCGCCAAGTGTGTGAAAGAAACCTTCTTGTTTTCAGCGGGCGCCACGACAAACAGGCAAGTAGCCAACAGCATGTGGCCATCGAATCAGCTCGCCCCACAAGGTAAATTGCATTCTCCGCATGCACAGGGTGAACGGCAAAAAGACCGGCAGCTAGAAAAGCTGAGGTGCATGGAACATGCAAACGCCTGAGCAGCAGAACGAGCAAAACGGAGTTCCCAGCATGAATCGCAACGTTGAACACCCGCAGCGGCTGCGGCCTGAAATCCCAGGAATTCCACCAGTACTGCGCTACATAGGAAAGAACAACCAAGGGCCGATAGGACTTGTGGGTCCAGCCACCCTGCAGCGAATTGCCCCAAAAATCGTGCCGCAAAAGCTCTGGAAGAGGTGTCTCCCCTCGAGCGTCAGCATTCCGAACCGCCGCAAAAAGCTCGTCGATGTACCATTCGCTGTAAGTAATGCATGGTGAGAACACCAGACTGAGCGCCAGGACCCCGAGCATGGTCAGCATCCAGCTCCACCTCCTTGAGCTCTCATTGATTCTGGGTATGTTAGCAGGAACTGTGCCTGTGGTGTCTGCGCCCCGCACTGTGCCGTCCGGTTCTGCCGGCTCTGTGTGACCGGGATAGAGTTGACGAAACCGTTGCAGCAATTGGCTGTCGAATCTGTCGAATGTTGGATTGTGAACCCGTTCCAAGCTGCGCTCCAAGCTCCGCTCCACGGACTCCACCAGGTAGCCAGGAACCGCTGCACACCGCAGGTGCTGACAAATTAGCGAATGGAGTTCCTCGACCTCGCTTGACGTGCACTTGCCCGCAGGTGAGGCCACCATGAACTCCGCGGTCCTCTACAACGTCGGAAGTCCGATTGCTGAGAGCTGAAGTTCTGAAGCACAGTACAATTGCATGAGTTCCTTGGGCCGACGTGAGACGCCGTGAGAGGGGGCTTAAATTAGGCTGAATTCATCTTCATTCAGAATCTGTGCCTCACAGGCTTCTTACATCTCTTGCTCCCTTGGAAGATTGCTTCCGCTCTCATTTGCTTCGTGGCATGTTTCGTTACTTCGGACTCCCTGACTTGTCGGTGCCATGCCCAAGCTCGCTCGTACTCATGTGGGCCTGCCAACGTTCAGATGCTGATGCTGCGCCACGTTTCGTGGTCGTAGCCACTGCATCGCAACCTGCCAGGCTGTAAGAGATTGATTCATATTTGCTCCTGTTGATATAAAGTCTCAGATCTTCTAGGTCGAAAATTTTTGCTGTGACTGGGTCACTAGGTTCCCTTCCAGTGCTCCATGACCTCGCCACATGTCTACATCCACCCCGGACAACTTTGAGCCCCAAGCCACTACGTGTTCTTTAACTGCACCAATTCGAATTTTTAACTCAGCTGCATCTTGCTCCATCTTGAAAGGACGTCCCCGACAAGCAGTCCACAGAGCCTACAAGATGTCAGCATTTGCTGTATTCTGCCGTCTCAGCGGCGAACGCAGCATTTTCATCAGAATCACCATGAACTGCATCCTTTTAAGCAATGTGGCGCCACTAACCAAACATCTCATCAATGCTGGTCAACTTGACTGCAGGCTTTCTTGGCTGCCTTAACACGTACTGCTCGTTTCAAGCAGGAAATTTGAGTGTTTGACGTTACTGCGCTCTTTCCGAACCGACCTGCATTCATTTCATGGACTGACTCCTTCGAGATGAGCCCTGCAAGATCCGTTTGTGCACAATCGCTTCTATAGCGCTGGCAGTGCACACACACACACACACACCAAGCGCACGCAAGCACGCACCTACGAATGAAAATTGGGCAGGGTCAGGGGGCAGTCTTAGACACACACACACACACACACACAGTCCTCACACCAATGTGAGACAAAAAGACAAAAGCTTTCATGCTTCATCGCAGAGAGCCAGAGTTCAGTGTCGCCCCAGCCACCTTTAACACTGAAAGCTCACAGATGAAAATGTGCTGCTGGATGGCATCGCTCGGATGGCAATGTTGGAACAGTGTCGAAGTCGAAACGGAAGAGCAGCTTAGTTCTCAACTACTCTTGACTCTTGGCTTATCTTGGCGTATCTTGACGTGATCGATCGGCTGCTGTGGAATCTCTGACGACTAGCAGCAGCACACGCGTGGGTTGTCCGAGAATGTTCCCTGCCGCCTCCGCCCTACGCCCGGGTTTTGGAGGTTCGCCGCTCCACACCCCTGTGTGGCTTGTCAGTCGAAAAGGGCTTCAAACCAATGCTGCACAGGGGACTTTTATTTCTTGCACAGGTCGGACTGGCTCCCAACAGCTCACAGTCACAGCAGAACACGTTGCCAGCAGCACCCCTGTTGCCACAAGTGATGACGAACAGGCTGTGTCCGCAGTATTGGATGGACCTCCACAGGTTGGACAGCTTGCGAATGCCCGAAACAAACATTGGCACGCGGAGAATCTCTGAGAGGTCAGCCGACCAAATCCAAAGCGTGGGACAGCCTGCATGGCACCACCTTCGGGTCTCGGCAACGGGTGACGTGGAGTCTGTTGATGTCTGTTGAGTCAAGTCTGTTGGCCATGGGCAAGTCTTGCAACAAAAGCGGCCGAGGTGGAGTGTCCAGTTCCAGACGTTGCATGTGCACCTGAACATGGTTTTCTGCTGCAGAAATGCTGCAGAAACAACAACTATACAGATAGCAAAGGGTCGGACCAAAAACCGTGCGGGTCTCCTGTGTCAACTTCAGTGTGCTCTTAGACCGAAGGTCCACGACGGTATCGTACATGCGCAAAATCGCTCAAGCACCTGCCCCCTGACGATGACATGTTCAGCGGGGTTGAAAGGGCTCCAGTCCTTGGCTGGGATATGTCGTGACATCTGCTGACCGCTCAGTAGTTTGCTATCCGACATCCCGGTAGAGGATGCGATCGGCCACGTAGATTTTTGCTGACATGCTGCGCCCATGTTGGTGACAAACAGGTGCACATAACTTGAGATACTTGCTTGCACCCTCAAATCATAAACTATCAACTGCTATCCACATGCCACCTAGTACCTATTGCAGCGATCGTGGGCTCAGATGTTTTCGCGCAGGTCCGCAGATCGACCGAATGAGAACGAGACGACCCGTAGATGAACAAAGCATGTACCTGTTCTTTTCTTTCTTGCAGACACATCAACATGCAGCTGAGAACCGACAAGCACGATACAGCAACATATTTAAGTTGCGACAAGATGCGTGGCTGCGGGCTTGCTGGCAGAATCTGCTTGGAAATGGGTAGCCGTTCTGTTTTGTGCGGAAGCTGCAGCCAATAGGTGGCGCTTCTTTGCCCCTCCAACGCGCCCCCACCCACAAAGAAACTAAAAATGCTAGTTAACTACCCTTTGCGGAGCAGGTTGACGTCGAAGCAATACCAATTGCAATCAATACCTCAATTCGAGGCTCAATTTTGGAGCATTTCCGAGTGCAGCGGCGTTTCTGTCTTCCATGATTTCCTTATGAAATTGAGTAATTCACTATAATTCACTACAGCAGGGACCTCCTGCTCTTCCCAGCTCCCCCTCCTGCTCTTCCCCCCTTTGCTGATCTGTGCCTTGCTCCCGATCCTGGTGGGCGCAAGGACCTCCACAGACTGGTTGTGTGCTCATAGGCACCGCAGTGCTGGTTGGAGGGGAGGCCACCAGTGACGTTAGTGCTGCTGCTTCGAGTCCTGGGCAGGATCAGCTCCATGGCTTTGCTGTCGTCTGCCGTCGCATGGGTGGTGGCGTGGTGGTCTTGCTGGGTGCGGCTGCGTCATGCCGTCATGCTGTGTCACTGCGACGCGATCCTTGTGTTTCTTTGGGGGAGGTGTGTCGGCCCGGGCGGCCTTGTGTGCCTTGCTGCTGCTGGTACAGACTCTTGCTTCCTTCGAGAGCCTCCTGGCCCTATCGCTAAATGCCATTCTCGGAACCACCACAACTCAACCTTTCTCCATTTTATCCTCTGCCTCAAGGGAACGGGGTTGGCACTCCCCCCCTTAAGCCATTTTGTTTGCCCTCACGGCTTTTCCTCTCGTGTCTGCTGGGAAGCCATGCAACACAGAAGCAGTGGACACAAGCACAGCTTACCCCCATTTCCATTTTACCTGCGCAGATTAGACTGATTAAACGCAATTAAACCCATTTCTTCCGATTCGACCCCACTTCACCACGATTCCGTATAGCCATCAAATATACAGGACCACGAACAAAGCCTCCCGCGATCTTTCAATGTTAACGGGTCAAGCTGAAACTAAGCGAGTAAGTCGGTGCTAAAATGCTCTCTTCTACCGACTTGAGTTGCCAGTTGTTTGCCAAAGACTATCCAAAAATCGCCATTCGAAGGTGATTTAACGAAAGCTAGCGGTCCATAGCCTTCTGCAACCGTCCGCAGTTCCAGACGTGCAGCTTCCCCTGAGCGCCTTGTGACCAGAAAATCAGCAAGCTAAGGGCAACAACCTAAAAACACGAGGCTATAGCTGCATGTTATGTGCAATACGTCCACGGTCGCATGTGCTCTCCAATTGTTTCCCCTTGCAAAGTGATCCTCTTGTTTCAGGAAGGTGTTCCTGTTAGAGCCGCTCGCTTCAGGGGTGTTCTTAGTTCTTGCTTCCGGGTTTTTGTCACAGCTTCCCGATGGTCTATAACGGTGGGCAACAAAGGTAACCCCATGTAGCAGCCTGTGCCACTGACTGCAGCAGCTTGTTTCACTTTTGTGGGGAGCACATTTTAGGCCCTGAGACGCTGACAGAACCAGTATCACCTAAGAACACGCCGATGTTTCGTCCACGAAGGGTTTCCTGAACAAGCTTGAACGTCCGGAGCTTAGTCGCAAGAGTCTGATATGCCGCGCGCCTTGCTGTAGCCACCGCGATAGAGGACAGTGTACCCATCTTCCATGACAACGCGCTGGCTTGGGGACATAAACCTTGGTCTAGCGACAGACAGCCAAAGATGGATGCATTCTTCGCAGGCTCCTGGCCCAAGGCCCAAGACGACAAACGTGCAGAATCTGCCGCTGAGGTCTCGACATGGCTTCCTCGTGCGGGATGTCGAAAAAACTGTTGTCGAATGAGAAGATTTCTTCATTTGCCTCGAACATAACACGAGCACAAGCACAAGATCACTCCAGCGCTCCCAATCATAAGGATCCAAGATTGTGGCAACGAAGGCTCCATGGATGGTGTAGATTTTGCCAGGAGTATCGTGATCCCCGTCCTGTGAAGAAGGTTCGTGATGCACTGAACCTTTCCTTCTTCAAAATCCAGCAGACAAAACACTGCGACGGAGTCTGAGCACTGGCTACTGCTAAAGGATGGCTAGGTCCTTGGTGCAGTACAAATCTGTGTCCCACCTGCAGATGTCCGCGCACAAGGCAAACATCAAGAAACACCGTAAGGCAAACATCAAGAAACACCGTCGGAAATGCTTTCATAGAGTGGAGTGGAGAGCGCCTCCCTGACGGAATTGCAAGCATGCCATCAGTACCGTCTAGCAGCATGGACCAGTACCTGATAAGCACGGGGTCGCTGAATGTCGCCACTGCAACTCCGCAGGCAACTGCCATGCCCCTGCGCGGCACTGATCTGGCCCAGTGCCTCCCCCAGGCAAGCGGCACATGACCTTTCATTAGCTCTCAACTTGTCGGCTGCCGAGGCAACTTGGAGAAATATCATGCAAACCCCAAAGCTAGCCAATGTCGGAAGCCATCGTACCCTTCTCGGACGACAGGTATTTGAGGATACTTCACCGCAGGATTCTGCCGCTGATGCCGGCCAAAAACTCCCCGTACTTTCAGATTTTCTGCCCTTTCAAGTTCCACATTTCCGAATTTCAAACTTGTGAGGGCCTATGTCTTTGAAACTAATTGGCCTTGTGGCTCCATGGGTACTCACAAATTCTGAATTGCGGAAATCTGGACGTTCAGTGATCGTGAAAGGAGATAGAACTCAAGAACAAACGTGCTTGTTTTTTGAAGGGGGGGGGGAAGTGTATCAGGTTTGAGGTCTTTGCAAGGGTTACAAAAACAGGACATATAGGGGGTTTGGAGATGTTTGGAGCGGGTTCTGGATGGGCCGTGTTGGGTCATGTTGGGTGGGTGGTGGGAGCGGCTTGGGCTCGGAACTCACTGTAAGAACGACATACCCAAGCACCAGATATGCACGCATTGTGGTAGGTTCGCAAAGCCAACAACTGCCAGATGCAATAAAAACTTATAGATACTGACAGTATATGAATAAGTGAATAAGCACCTTCTCCCTCTCTCTCCACTGAGTGCATGTTCGCGAAGTGCTCAACAACTTCTCATCTGGGTGTGGCGCGCTCATGACATGCACGCGGTCGCCCTGTGCAGCACAAGTGACTGAACACACCGATCACAAACTCACTCCATCAACATGGAGGCTTCAGAGTGGCTTCACGCACCTCTGGGTGCGGTCGCCCGCTCATGATTCCCATGGCCTCTGCCTCGCGAACTTCGTAACACCACCGACAAGTGCAGGACATCAAGACGAGAAGGAACCAATTGCCTTCATCATTGGATGGCCTTCCAACTTGCCAACTTGAAACCTCAGCCGCAGCAAGGAGTGGCGGAGTGGCGAAGTGGCGCCTTTTTACAACGTCTCAGGATGTCTCAATAGGGCCTTGGGTCACTGGCTTGGCTGGTGGCTCCAGGACCCAGCTCTGCAAAACAACGAACCTCCCGAGCCAACACAAGCAACGCACGTATCCCACGAGTCAATGATAGTGATAAGTCAAAACGATGTGCAGCTTGCACAGTGCACCCGACAGATGGGTCACGAATGCCAGTCTCTCCATCTGTTTGCAATGTCCACGAAGTGGAAGGAGGGATGCCGGATGCAGCGTGCGCGGAAAGCTTCAGTGCAGACAGGTAGGCCAAGTATACGACGAGTCCGATGAGCCATGCACGCCTCTTTGGCCCAGGAAAAAGTTCGACAGGAACCCTCCTGCTAGGTGCCGGGGCATTCGGCGTGTGCCATTCGAGTCGTGAGGAGACACAACCGCGAGCGCGCAAAACAGATTTCCAGAAGCAGCTGGCCCTGGCCGCTGAGACTGCACAACAATGCCCAACAGCTGCCTGCTGCTTACCTTGTTCTTGCTCTGCAAAGTATGCAATGCTGAGTCATACCGTCTCTGAAAGTCTGCTTGGCATGTCTCCCCTTTACTCACGCAGAAAGCTGGCCTGCCAGCGGGCTTGTATGAAAAAGTCATACGATCCTTGTGCGAGCCACCGGCGAAAAAGAACTTGTTACATCGTCTCTGCACCAACAGCTGGGCTAACCCACGCCCCGGAAGACCAGGAGCTTTCGCCTTCCAATAGGCAGGGTAACCTTCGGCTGAGTTGTCCCGACTTCCGAACCACTCAAAACGCATCAAACTTGTACCAAGCTTACCAAGTGCTTGACGAGAAACCGTGAAACACCTGAGATGCGGACTGCGCGCTCCGGACGCTTGGGGCCAGGAGTCAGCTTGATTTCGCCGCTGTCTGATTCGAGCCTTCCAGATGCGAACGCCAATGATACAGCAAAACGCTCGAGACACATGTGTTCTGTATAAGTGGGACTCGCACCACATCATACAGCACAGGCGACGACGTCGCAGAAACTGTAGGTGCTCCTGCCGCAAGCAAGAGAGAAACCTGCATGCGTGATAGGACAGGGATGAAAGGGCGACCTCGCCTCCAAGTGGCCCTCCTCAATGTCATCGTCCTGCAGGATGCCATAGCACAGCAAGTTCATCCGAGATGAGGCAAACCGACAGACCCGCAGCTGTCTCAGATTGTCTCAGACTGATAATATAGCTGGCTAAGACAGGCACGTTCAGAGGGTCCCCTTCCATAGAAAACTCCTCACGGCCTTGCAGATGCTGTGGGCATCTCCGCAACATTTTAACAGTTCATCAGATATCCGGCATTCCAACATGCGGAAAGGCAAAGACGTGTGGCGTACGGCACCCACCTTACTCACCATGACTTGTTGCACAGGTAAGATGCACGATGTGTGATGCACTGCAGACTCCGAGATGATGGCAACAAGGTTGGGGATCTCTCCCCAACACTGCCTTGACAACCACGCACACAGAATGGCATGATTCATGATGCTGGCTGAATTACAAAAGTCTGAATCAGCAAAGGGAAAGGTGACGACGGAAGCCCATGTTGTGCCACGAGTTTGCGGCCACCGCCTCCGTGGACGCGCACTTGCAAGTGCGGAATAAGCTAGCAAACTGGCAAACAGTGCCCGAGCCCATGCGAACCTGCGCCAGCACGTTGAAGTTTGAGTCCAACTGCTGAAGGTTCTAAGCAACAGGGAACATGGGATCAATATCAGAAGTGAGATCGAGAAAAACTTCGCCAAAAAAGTAAAGGCTTCCAAGAGATGAGCCACTTCGTCACGCCCTCTTTGCCCGGAGAGGAATTGCACCTTGCCTGCGGCAGTGTCCAAGGTCATGCTAGAGCCCATAACCATGCGGCCCATGCGGCACATGCGGCGCCTCGCACTCCATGCCCCAGGTAATCGGGGAGCAGCTCCTGGCGCAAACCTTCGGCTGAAATGCTAGTTGACACAGCCGCTGCACGCTCAGCCACGAGCCTGCAAACCGACGCATCGACCGCGCTTCGCGACATGCTGAGTCACCTGTGACAACCCAAAATCCGCAAGTGCTATAGTGCATGACCATGCTTTCCAAACATTTCCAAACTGGGAAGCCAGCACAGTGTGTCGGAGTGGGCAAGCTGCACCACGGCCCACCCTCTCGATTCGACGACCTCGCCTCGGAAGAGCTCATGGGACCAGATGCCCGGCAAAGGCTTCCGCAATGCTTCAATTGATGTTTTGCACATAGGCCAGTACCTAGTGCAAGACCGAAGTCTAGCATAGCTTCGGGCTCCTGAGCAATGATGCCGAACAAACAGAATGCTAGGGACATGGTTGTGCTGAAGGTTCTGAGAATCATGCTGAGGCCGGGAAAACTAGATCGAAGCCGCCTTCCTGGAAAGCAAGCGGCTGGGTTGAACTTAACGTAAATGCTTCAGTTTGGTCCGAAAGCCTAGACGTGCATTCTCTAGCGACGCGCAACATCCTCCGCAGGAGGCGGAGCATGTTCCTGAAGATTTTCAGGAAGGATTGCCTGAAGCTGCACTGAGTTGGTATGTCCCGGTTGACCATTGAGAATCCGCGAGCCACCGTGCAGGCACACATTTCAGAATGCTGCCAGTGTCATCCCAATGTCCCAGAAGTGAACGGCATAGTGCCTGATCACATAATGGCTTCGAGCTCATGGGCCTGCCCTACATTGCCGCTGCTGGGTCGCTGACCGCGCGCTTCCCGAGGCCAAACCCACAACGAGGCCGGCCAAGCCACTAACATCGGGAACGGGCCTGATAAAAATCAGCTGCAGCAAGATTCTGCACGCTTAGGCGCAGCCATTTTCAGGCACAGGTCCAGTTGATTGAAGCATTTTTGATGTGTTATGTCGGAACATGTCGGAACCCGGATTGGCTTGGTAGTTGATTCGCCCCTGTCCCGATTCCGATTCTGATGCCACATGCACGGTATTTTGCGTTATGAGCTCAAAGAATTTTGCATGCGCTGATGCGCACTGTTGCACTTGGAAAGCCATTCCATGCCGATCCCGGAACAGCAAGCGACAACGCATGTTGCAAAGTGCAAGGCTTGCTTGAGTATCAACAGCAAAAGAATATAACAACTTATCGATATCGAACATCGCGTTTCTAACGAACCGTTGGAACTGCAACTTCACCATCGCACAAAGCAGTTCCCAAAGGGAACGACACATTCAAATACCAAAGGAATGAGCGGAATTCCTAAACCTACCTAAACGCCAAAAGCGGCCATGATGAAGGCATCACCTCATCACTTTTGAGGTTAGGCATAGCTGCCCTGCATCTTGTAGGCACAAAGCTCTTGGAGTCTATGGCTCGCGCTGGGCCTTGGGGATATTTAGTAGCTACATGGCCCACGCCGATTATTCCGTAGGCAGTTTTGGGATATATCCTGCCGACTTATCTTGAAACATACAAACATACAACGAAGATTTTTGACCAGGACGAAGCAATTCCAGGAGAATCCACGCCTCGCCTAAAAAAAGAAACTGTGGTTCGATTGCGGGTGGCTTTGGGCGGCGTGTTGGAGGGTTCCTTCCCCTCCCTTACCTCCTCCGAAACTGCCTTCGGCTAGGACTTCTTCCGACCTTCCCGGTGGAACGACTGCAGTCGTGTTTGGCAAAAGATGCTTAGGCACTGATGGCGGGTTACCCGGCCATCTTCCTTGGAAGATGTTGGGCCCATGCCGCGATTCACACGGTCAGTTTAGGCCGCCGCATCTTTCTCCACACGCGACTAAAGCCATTCAGCCGGAAGGTCGGAAGACTGCGCGCTAGCCTCAACGCAGTGTCCGTCAGGGGCTGATGCATGGTTTCGTTTCGGGACGTCTTGTGGCCTTGCTTTTGCTCACCAAAAGGGCTGTTTAGCCCGCCCCGGACTGTTGAAGTGGTCTTGGAGTGCTCCTGGAGTGATCTTGTAGGGGTTTTTGAGAGTTTGTGTTGTGGGGGTCATTTTGGGTCTAAGTGGGCAGCTGGAACCGAGAGGGGCCCTCTCCAAAGTGAAACAAAACGAATCGTGATGTTTTCGCCTCGTGTCTCAAATTGATTGGGACCCTGAGTCTCCCGAAGCCAAAGCATCGATATCCATGCCTCGATGAAGCTTGCCCTTACGTGAACGTTCCATGCTGTCCTCAATCGCACCAAGTAAAATCTGGTGATCCGACTGAAGATTCATGGACTGCCGGAAGGACGAATGAACACATTGGCGGCGACTTTAACGACAAAGTTATCTGAGACAGCCATTGTAGTGTTTGACACCATGGTTCCGATCTGTCACTTTCAGCTGCTCAGCTTATCACAATCTAGCAGGCATCCATTCCGTTCCAGAATGCTGAGCCTTGTAATGGCACACCTATTGCATCTTGGAAGGCAAACCTAGGCAAACCCGTTGCTTCTACCAGCATATCCGCACGCAATTTGAGCTTCTCCTTGCAAACAGTTCGTTTTCATCGTCTTCGCAATTTCGTCTTCCCACCCCCCCCCGCCCCGGCCCCTCCCGGCGGAAAACAGGACCCAGTTTTTTTGGGGTTTTCTAGAGACCCCCCGTTGTTCGTTTTCCGGTGTCCCTGGTAAATCATATGAGACTGTTCACCACTCATGTCTTAGGCCCAGGTGAGTTCTATTCATGAAGTTACTGCAATACTATGCTAGAGGGCCAACCATTTGCTCTCAGCATCAATTAGCAAAAGGGCACCACACACACCACACGCCTGCTGCTTTCTATGCGCATACATGCGAATAACTTGTAGACAATGGTCTCGGTCATACTAGTACACCATCCCCAGCTAAAAATGTAGATTGTTTGGATGTGGCTAGTAAAATTGGAGGTCAATTCTAAATGTAAAAATATACTGTTGACTGGCCGGTGCAACCAATGCGCAAAAATACATGTTCGAATCAGTGGCTAGTTCATTGCTTGAACTCCCAACCTTTCTCTGGAAGCGAGTAGAGCCTATTGTGCCATCTTCTGCCCGTAGCCCGTAAATACCTGAGTTGGTATATAAACAAATACGTGTACACAAACATTAACACTTACATATACATGCATATCTGCATATATATATATATATGTGTGTGTGTGTGTGTATATGTATAGCGAGAGAGAAATCGAAAAACACAAAACGAACAACAACAAAAGATGCGTGTATATGTAAATATGTATGTACATTTGTGCCCGCAAGTGTACACATTCTCGAGCAAAACAACCGGCTAAGGTTAGATTGCCAGGCATGCATCAAATCTCAAGCCTGCCATCGTCATCGTCTAGTCGCCGAACGGTCTGCGGGTCCACACCTGAAGCCCAACTCAAGGCTCGGGTATTCCACTTCAAGAAGTTCACTTTCTGCCCAATCTACACTCAGCGACTCAGCGCTCTGTCTGCAGGATGGCTCTGTTGACATGCTTTCGCGTTTCTGTACGGGACAGACACTCCTGTTAGGAAATCATGAATCTCATCAAACTGTACTGTCTCATCGGCTTGGCTTCACTCACTGCGCTGGCTCGCGCTCCCTGCAAGGCAACGACTAGCAACAGGGCGACATCCCAGTCCGCGGGTTTATTCCTGAAGGCCCTTTTAAACTTTGTTTGTTGCGTGGGAAGCAGCGTGCGCCGCACAACAGGACCCGGGGCCCCAAGCTGGTCATTCAAATTGTCAAGTGCAAACAAATGCAGATTGGCATTGTGAGTGCACAGCCGACGACACCCTCGTCCCCTCGACTTTTGTGAGGGTGTGCCAATGTGTGCCCTCAACGATCGCCATCACTCAAAGCCTCGACCTTCCGAAAGACCCCGCGACCTGGCACCGACTGACCATGTGTGACGTTGGCATGCTGCGCTGCTCTCTCTTGAGCCGCAGCTTTTTGCATGTATAGGGCGTGCAGGGACCACAACAATGGCCACGGCTCAGAATGAGTGCCCGGCCATGGGCCAGAACGACGTTGCCCTCTAAGGGCCTGGACCGTGGAAAAGTACATGCAAGACCATGCAGGATCATGCAAGTGACCGCAAGTGATCTTCTCCGAAATCTGCTGGCTGTTGTAAAGGAGACGCCGCAGAAAGAGAGAGAGAGAGAGAGACAGAGAGCGAGAGAGAGAGAGAGAGAGACGGAAAGGATGGAGAAAGAGAAAGAGATGCAGAGCGACAGCGCATGCTGGGCCACCGGCAACTTCCTGGCCATGCTCCCAGGCAACCGCGTGCTGCCGACTACCGCATGGATCCGAGGACACCCTCAAAAACGGCTGAAGCAAAAAACAGATTAACATAGTTGAACCTGCGGTGTTTGCACCAAAACTGCCAAGTTTGCAGCGCGTCGAAATGGGACTACTACATAAAAAGGCTGTGGCGCCTTCTAGAGTGCCATGCACCATCGGTAGACTTGTCTGCATCTACACAACCCGACCTGCATCTCTACCTTGAGCAGACCCAAACCAGCAGTTCCACACAGGTTCCATGATTCCAGGACTATCCACGCTTTGCAATGTGACCAACAAAGGCAAAGCATCTTGATGCTCACTTGCCCGAGTTGCAAAGTTGGTCAGCTGGTCCACGTTGCTTTCTTGCAACTTCTGGACGGTACTATGGCTGGTCATGCACAAGCGCACTCCGTAGCAGCACAAGGCTAGGTCTCGGTCTCCACCGGAGGTGCCTCTTCTGTGGGCTGTGGCTGTGTTGCTTCAACCTCAGCCTTGCGCTCACAGCAGTAGATATGGTACCTTACCCGCGCTGCACAAGGAAAGAAAGACATGTCAAGTCTTGTACTCAGAAGCGGTCCAGCATTGAGGCCACGACACATTGTCTTTCTGATCAGCTGCCGCAGCAGCTTGCATGCTTGACGGGTCGGGCGCTCCCTTTGCAGCCTCACAAGCCGAAAGGCAGTGAGCTTCACCAACTCACGACTTCACGATGCGAGTCCTGCTGTGGCACCGAAGGCCCTCAGCACCCATTAGTGTAAAATCACTTCTTCTTTTTTTCGATCGCTTTTGATTGTCTCGAGACATGGGTTGACTTCGATTTTCCACAGCGCTTTGTCTGGTTTCCCACGGGACTCGCACCCCGGTCGCCATCCGGTCGCCATCCGGTCGCCATCCGGTCGCCATCCGGTCGCCATCTGTCGCCATCCGGTCGCCATCATGTCTGAGGGTGCTCATGCATCACGTAGACTGCCAGCGCCTTGTGCCTTGGGCTGAATCGCGTATTGGCGGAAGCCACATTCACGCATCACAACCGTCAGGTCCACAATTCCAGGCCCTTAGCAATGTGGACCAATGCGTGCTCGATAAGCTGGCTTGCGAAGTATACAAGGATCCCTTTGCCCTGCCCAACTTGCTATCCTACTTGTAACCAAGATGCATGGACATGATCTTCCAGGGCCCACATAAGACTGTGTGCAGCTGTCCAACTAAAGTGCTGAGCTCCGGCAGGATCTCCTTCAATGGTGTGCTTCCAGGCTTCAGCACACCAGTCTTCAGCATACTTCTGCTATCAAGACTAGTGCAAAAATTCCTGTCTCGGGGTTGTAATGCTCGGCGAACGGAGTCCTTGGTGCCAAACAGAATCCGTTACAGAAGCGTCTTCGCAAAGAAACCGGTCACGCAAGGTTGGAAATTTCTCGAAAGCCAAGTAAGGGTGCCACTCATCCTTATCGGGAAAGCCTCGGCCGCGGTGGAAAAGTCTGTCCTTGAGGACAAGGGCCAACTGAGAGAACATGGCCTCGGCTATGTCAAAAAGGCTCCTGCTATCATATCATATGAATATTCCGAATATCACTCTTCGCGGACGTTCATGGATTTGCCATGATTGGGTGTGGAAATGAAAGCTGCAAGCTGCCAGCCTCTGACTCTTCATCACCTCGGGCCCTTGCTTCCACAGCATAGCCTCCAGGGACTCTCTAGGGCCTCTCTAGGGCCTCTAGATTCCCTCCGCGCGGATTCTTAGGGCTCACTCTCACTGCTTCGTGTCAAGGTCCGACACGCTCATCGTTGACGAGGTGCGTTTCAAGCCGGCATAGGCGAACCATGTCTGGTCCACCCACGTGGGGCCTGGCCGACTACTGTCTAACACCATCGCCGCCATGCCTCAAATGCCAGCCTTTCCAATATCCACGCGGATTGAAGAATTGATTCTGCTTGCTGACCTTTCTCCAGAAGCAAAAGAGGCAACACTTGCAGCCAAAAACCTAAGGACCTTGAACAGGACAAGTACACTAGGTCTTAACACCCAACAAATCCAACAAGCCTTCTAAAGATCTGACGGCAGGTGCTGATGGCAGGCTGAAGTTGAGAAGAAATTTGCTCGGGTCTCGCAGAATTTCGGCCATTTGCCGTGCCTCTGTTCAGTACGAATGTGCAACTCATGCCTGTACTTTGTGGTCGACAGCAAAAACACACCCAGCCTGAGAAAGAGATGCAACTCCAGCAAAAAGGGCGGCATAACCTTCACAGCCTTGTATGGGCAATGCCTGAGAAGACATTGACTGCATGATTGCATGCTGTGCCGTTCACCATGATTGAATCAGTGCTTGAGCGGTGTTGAACTCGGGAGACTGTGGCAGGCACTGTGCCGTTGAAATACACGTCCGAGAAGAAGCCAGCCCTGCATTGCCAGAGCTCGAAGAGCAGGGACTGCAGCAGCAGCAGCACCACCACCACCACCAGCACCACCACCAGCACCATCAGCACCATCAGCACCAGCAGCACCATCAGCTCCATCGGCACCATCAGCACCAGCACCAGCACCAGCACCAGCACCATCAGCACCATCAGCACCATCAGCACCATCGGCACCATCGGCACCATCGGCACCATCAGCACGAGCACAAGCACCATCAGCACCATCAGCACCATCAGCACCATCAGCACCATCAGCACCATCACCACCACCACCACCACCATCATCACCAGCACCGCCGCCACCACCACCACCACCACCACCACCACCATGTAGCAACAACCGCATTCATTCATTCATTCATGGATTCATTCGCAGTTCGTCGAATCCAGTCTCGCACGGACCACATTGTTTAACAGACTCAAAGTCAAAAAAAACCTAAACAGCACAAAACACACACACACACACACACACACACACACAGAGAGAGACAAACCTAATAACCGGCTGACGACGCCCAATTGTTCTCTTGCCCGGCAGGAGCTCAGCCAGCCGACAAGCCGGGTAAGTTAAGGTCGCTCTGTGATGAGTTCGGAACCGCTCTCGCTTCAGACGAGAGCGGGGGGAGCTGCTTGACCGTCTTGACCATTTTGATCCCCATGACCTTCCTGATTTCCTAGGCTTCCTAAACCTTCTTGACCTTTTCAAGTCTCTGCTTCATTGCTTCATCCTTCTTCTGGCTGCACGACGGCTTACACAGCTGGCTGTAGAGCCCGCGCCTCCCACCAGGAACGAAAAATGTCTGGCGAAGCTTTGGCAGCAAACGCCCCGCGGCGTCTTTCCATTCCTGTGCCTCCTTCAGCATGCCAAGCGCATCTGACATTGCCAACAGCATCCTGGGCTGATCACAGATTTCCGTATGAGAAAACACCATGTTCACTCCCCGGAAGTCACAAATGTGTGTAACGAGCGCTGCATGACACACCACGCCCGACAGTGGCAGTCTGCTGCTGAAACGTACACATTGATTGCATGCCTACTACAGCAAGGAGTCAGTTTGTCCTTGTACAGATACGCATTCAAATCGATGCTCCAAAAATTCAGTGTGGTAACCTTGGGTGCGCATGCTTCCACACATGCCGCATCTTGCTCGCAAAAGAAAGATTACCTCCGATTGCCATACTCAAGGGGCACGGCTGGATGCATTGTAGGCTGATGAAGCGTACTCTGGCAAGAATCTGACACCATCATCCATGCCGCTTTCCATTCCCTGGGTCCATGAACACAGGCCGACACCTTTGACGTCTCGCGCAGAATACCAGAATTCATGAAATTGCTTCGCAATGCCATACATTTCTTGAAGGAAGGGCACGTCGTGTGTCGCCTGGTAAATTTGCCACACAGCCCAAGCCAACAAGGGTGGCTTGCCATTACAGCCACCTGCATTACCACAACGGTCAACTTTATCAGGAATGTGTCCATTGCGCCTATTTCGCGCAGAAACAATTAAGCGCAGCTGATCTTTGGCAATTTGCGGAGCAAACGAAACCATGCCGACAGCTTGTTTGTATGTGTCCCAGGACCAGAAGCCACTCTCGTAGCCATTGTAGGAAGGAAGAACGCCATCTGGAAGACCTGGCACCGATCGCCAGTTGTTCATCAATGTCATTACAGACTTGACAGCAACCCATCCCATGCCCTGGTTGTGAACTTGTGGGACTAAGACCGATGCCAAATAAGCTTTCCAGCGGCCGACCGAGTTGTCAATCATGGAATCCAACTTGCGGGCATCAGTTCCAGTTCTTGTAGAATTGTATGGGAAAACAACAGATACGAAGGCACTTGCATTCCCAAAGGCTTGAATACTGACTTCCGAAGACTCGACAGCCAATTCGGTACTGTTTGCCTGGTTCCATGTAAGGTCTTGCTGCACGCCGTCGTCCAAATATGTGGTTGAAAATGTAAAGTTGCCCCTGCTGAAAGCTGCACCTCTGAAGCATGGAAACTCAGCTTCAGGCAAAGTGAAGATGACTGAATTCCCAGTCCACGCTGTCATGTTGATGTCCGAAAAGGAGACCCTGAACCTGACCAACGCGGGCGCCGAGCCATGATTTTGGACAGAGATCCGAACGACCACCATGCTGGACGATTGGAATATCAAAGAGACCTGGACCCGCAACGGCAATCCACCATGCGTTAGATTGCCGTCAAGCATGATGGAGCCTGGGTACGAAACTGCTACCAGGGGTCGTGAATCAGCGTGAATTCCATATTGAACAATGGGAATACGCCCTGCCATGGCCCAATCCGGTGCAGGCCCACGAATGCCTCCTGGCTCCGAGCGGAAACCGTACGTGGAGCCCTGATCAAAAAGCCAGGCTTGTCCAAGGACGTTCGGCCAATCGAATGGGGAGCTTGGCGAGCTTGGCAAGCTTGCGAATGTGGAAACAAAGTGCCAGGCAGTCAGTAAGCGCGTCAGGCCTTGCATCCTCATCTGATTTCCCGAGTATCCTCAACTTGAAAAATTTGTGCAGCGAAGGCGCACCATCAGATCTCTTGTGTTTGGGCCAAAGCTCAGACCGATGCAGCGGCACTGGACGCGGCATGTCAGCAAGCGATAGACCACACATCACCACACATCACCACACATCACCACACCTTCCCTCCTTTTGCTTTCGGATCTGGTGGTGGATCCTCAACACAGCTGGGGCATCTGGTTTGCACTGCGCGTTAGCATCGCAAGACTGCTCCGGCCGAGACTGCTGCCAACGGTCTAGCAACCTGGTGGCATGAAACTTCCAACCTTGCATCCTGAAGAACAGTTGCTTGTGGTGACGTCTTTCTACTGTCAAAGCAATCTGAGTCAATTCGGCACTCCTGTGACACTGAGGAGAAGAGTGGCAATCTCTGTGCCGGCCGCGCGTGTGATACGCATACCTGATTCTGATGGGGTTGTGCGACAACACCCGTCATCATCGAGACTTTCCACGGAATTCGCCACCATTCAGAGATGAGGCTTTGAAACAGCATCTGGGCCGGCCGGCATATCGTCCAGAGCCTTTCAAAGTTGCCTGAGCAACACTGGTGGCTGTGAGGAGCATCTGAGTCTTCAAAGAGAGCACGCGACAACAGCTCTTGGCATGCGCATCTGGGCTCTGTGAAACTGCTGCCTGGCATGAGACAAGTTTTATTTATTTTTTTTCTTGAAGCGAAGCAGGGCGAAGGCCGGGCAAAGCTCCGCACATCTTCCAGGGATCAGGAATTTCTCCACCCCGTACTGTCGAAAATGAGCTGTCCAGCATCGACCATGATGCGACTTGCACGCAGGTCGCATGCGTGTGCAGGGATGCAGTGGACATGGTGAAATCGCAGGGCGAATAATTGCCCATGAACATGCGTGAAATTGAGCAGCTCTGCTGCTGGCCATCCACTGTGTTTAACAAGAGTCGGCAGCTTGACTGTGCAGGCTATCCGGATGTTCTGTGTCTGCAACTGAATTATTGCGATTTTGAGATGCATTGTGGAGTTCTACAGTATGGCCTATGAACCACCTATGAACCACCTCACCGAAGTTTCAAGGGTGGTCTAGATTTCGTTGTTTTGTCTTCTGCTGCTTTGCATCCTAACTGCTTGCAGTGCTTGCAGCGCCTGACCCATCCATCCGACAGTAGTTGGGACGTATTGGGACGTTGTACCCAAAGAGATTCCTGTAATTTCCCAGAAGCTACAGCCCGTGAAAAAACTGTGCTTCTGCATGCCACAGGATCTGTGCCCATGCAAACATGGAGGCATCTGGTGAGTTTTTCTGCGTCTTGATTTCGAGTTGCCGAATGCCCTGTGAAAGAATGACGCATGAGAATCTGACGCCACTCCGGCAGATGACAGTGGGAGAGCAAAACCTCCCACCAAACATACAAACTGCTATAACTGATCTAAATTCTAAAGATATGTGCTAGTCCACACATCAAAAGTAGGACGACAGCAAAACGACGGAGGGACGACGGAGGGACGATGGTGGGACGACGGAGGGACGACGGCAAGACGACGGAGGGACGACGGCAGGATGACGGGGGGACGACGGCAGGACGACGGGGGGACGACGGCTGTCGCGCCGTCGTCGCGCTGTCGTCTCGTCGTCGCGCCGTCGTCGCGCCGTCGTCACGCCGTCATAAGGCCTAGTTTAAGCCCAAACTAGGCCTTATGACGGCGGGACGACGGCGGGACGACGGCGGGACGACGGCAGGACGACGGCGGGACGACGGCGCGACGACGGCGCGACAACGACGCGACGACGGCGCGACAGCCGTCGTCACCCCGTCGTCGCGCTATCGCACCCTGTCGTCGCGCCGTCGTCACCCCGTCGTCGAGCCGTCGTCACCGCATCGTCATCGTCGCCCCGTCGTCACCCCACCGTCGCCCCGTCAAAGCCCTGACGTCTAGACCCCTCTAGCTGGACTAGAAACCATACCCCACATATCTCTAGAACTTAGATAAGCTATAACCTTTCCTGGGTGCGCATGCTTCGTTGTAACATTCCTCCAGCATCAGAAGGGACAGATTTTACTGCAGGCTTGAGCCCGAGAGACCGTCCCGCATGCGCTGCATCATGCAGCATTTAGATATGGTCGCCTGTGTCGCAGTTTGTTGGAAAGTCATAGCTTTAGCTGGAAATGGCAATAGAACCTGGAAGATTGATTGGCGTTTGGAGGGCCGAGTCCAAAATGCAGATTGTGATATCTACAATAGAGAGTGGAGAGACCGACCCAGCAATTCTATAGAGTGCCTGCCCAGAACCTGCATGGGCTGCTAGTGAAGCAGTGTCGCAGTATGTCGCGTACGTGCGTGGAACTCTTTAGAGCTGCACTGCAAGACTTCCTAAGCCGGCACAGTCAGGCCGCATGCACCACTGAAAGAAGTGGCGACAAAATTTGGCACATCGGGAAGAACAGCCCCGTCATGCCAAAAGCCTCGTGGCAACAGCTTAGCAAGATGGGAACATGACGGAACATGAGTCTGCTGCCGGCTCGCCAGCCTCGTCAAGCTATTCTTCAACTGTTTTCCACCTCCAGGAAACGATGAGCAGCTGGTGCACTTCTTACATAAAGGTGTGTCATGTGTGTCAAAATAGGACCTGGAACCAGCCCGACTGCCCATGGAGATTTTCTTGTGCACATCCTGACTCTTTTCAGACCTTATGTGCCAGGTGCAGCGAGTTGAAAGGACTTTGAAAGGCAGTTGAGCCAAGCTGGGCCAAGCTGCGAGTTCCACCATGCCTCGGCACATTGAAACGGGACATGAGAGTAAAGATAAGAGGCCGCAAAAGCAAGCCCAGGAGCCAAAAACTCCGGGAAGTGCACCTCGCCATTCCTTAAGAGCAGCTACGGCAGCTACGAGTGACGATCTCCTCGTTCCCTCGTTCTTCCAGCGACAATTTGAGAACTTGAAGAACAACACAAAGGCCCAACAAAGGCCCCAGCCTGTCGGTGTCCATTTCGTTGACCGCCTTCTGGAGCTCCGCTTGCGACAGGGGGAAGCCGAGCTCAGCTGCTGCCTCCAAAGCTGAAGTTGTGGAATGTTGCAGAACTGCGTGAAGTGGCTCTCAAATTTGCATCCAGCCTCTAAGCCTCTTTACCGAGGAAGCCTCTTCATTCCTATTTTGACTTTTTCGAGTGATCGACCTCCTCTTATCTTTTGTCGGCGACCTCTATAGGTTTCGGAGTTCCGGACACCTCTTTACGCCTCTCGGGCTCTTTCCACCTCTAGACCTTATTGAAAGCCTCTTTGGGTTGGACATGCACTTCAGGAATGAAAGCGATTGCTGATTAAAAAGACTTCAAGCGCCTGAAGACTTTCAGAAAGCCTCTGGCACGCTTAAGATCTCTTGAGGTCTGAAGATGCCTAGAATGGCGTGCGCCAAGGCATGCAAAAGCGACAAGACTGTGACAAGACGCTTGGATTCAAGGCTTCGGTAGGCTTACTAGAAAAGGGAATCACGGAGACAAAATAGCAGCTAAAATTACAGAAAACGGATGCGAAGAGGGGAGAGGGGGCAGTGCAGTGCCTTGGCAATTCCTGCTTTGGTCAGGGTGCCCTTTCTCTCGACGTCAATCTTGTCAAACACATCCTGTGGAGATGCGCAACATCAGTGAAACAGCCATCTGGCAGAGGTCCCACATGTGTTGCGTGTCCGGCCGCCCACTGAAGGCTTACATGATCGATGCCGCAGGTTTGTCTGTCTACTGGTTGGTTGGACCTGCTCGCTGCTTCGTTGCTCCCCAGGGTTTTCAATGGTACTGGTAACTACGTCGGGCCGCCATGATTGTAGGTTGCCCACCCTTTTTCGAACGGCGCGACACATTGTCGTGGGCTCCAGCAGCTTCCAGCATTGCCGCAGCACGTGTTGTCTTATTCTGCACTTGAAGGGGCGGATCATGGCAACGGGAGCACATGAAACTTCCCGATCAAGTCGCATTTCGACAGAGCAACAAAAGACGAAAAGGTTAAAAAACAACGAACAGAGCCACGAAGAGCCTTTGCAGCGCATCATCTTGCGCCGATTGCGCCAGTGAGCTAGTGCGGGACCTGAAGTCTTCCAAAGGCCGACGGGCCATGTGGTGAATTGTGGTGGCCATACTCATCGCAATCCTTGCGACACAAGATCAATTTTGTGGCGCAGCCTCCGTAGCCCTGGCCTTACCGGACCATATTTCTCTGCCTCTTTGTCGAGTGATTCGGGTGTAATGATTGGGCTGGTCACACCCTGGGCCTGAGTGGCCGAAACTTCGACTCTTTGCCGCAATCCTGCCTCAAGTACCCAAGCAACTCCAGTACTCGAGTTCATACGCGACCTGCCTGATAGGCTAAACAGCACCCATTGCACTAGAGCCATCCACGGGAAAAGAGTTGACCATCGTCCGACCTACACGTTCCAGTCCTTCACGTCTGCAGTGCATGCTGTTCGAAGAAGTGCTCCAACCTTGTTTGGCACCTCGCTTTCATGCATTTGACACAATTTGACGCCGACACACAAAGGCCGTGGGCCGTTGCAAAGCCCTCTTGCAAGGCTCAACACCGGACATAAGTAAGCTGGGCCACCGGTCCGGCAAAGTCACGGGCTAGGAGCTGCTCGGCTTGCTCATGCTCTTCTAGAGTGCGTGCATCAGACCACCCCAAGCACTCCTGAGGTTGCTACGGCTGCACCGTATGAAGTGCACAGATGCATACAGGAACCGACAGACTGCGCTCTACATGTCTACGTCTACCCCATCTACCAAGCGTCGGCCATGATCTGAACAACGCGCGGAAGGCATAAGCGGGCTGCTGTCGAGTTGAGGAAAGCTAAGCGGGTTCGTCGAGCTAAAACATCCGCAGGTGTCACTGCATACTCGTGGTTTACCTCAGCTCAATACCACTTATTGACCACCCCGCACTTCGAAATTTTATTGACATCATATTGTGGTGATGCGCCATAAGACAAACAACAGGCAAACAACAGCCGAAAGACTGCATATCGCACCTCTGCCTCCAAATACGGGTAGCCAGTTGTAGCTGCTGCGCCCTCATAAAGTCTGGGATAGTGCTTGTAGAGTCCAGATCTTGATCCTCGAGTTGAAAAGACTTGAAGATTCCGTCGCCTTGCTGTCGCCTTGCCAATGCCTTATTTGCAGTTGGGACGCCCTTCACTTGGCCTTCTTCGACGCATGAGAGAACATCCGCAGCCTGGGATGACAAGAGCCTAGGGCACACTTTGAGATACGTGAGTCTTCAGCTTCTCTCGCTTTGTATTTAGTCCCATTCCTTTGCGGTCTTGTGATCAGTCCCGCACTTTTAAGTTCGCAGCACACCTCTCAAGCTAAGTATCCTGCTACCTCTTACATTTTTTTCCTTGACGACCCGTCCCGCCGAATGTACGGTAGCTTCTTCAACGAGTGCTCATGACCTGTTCTTGTTCATTCCACTGTGCCCTTGCGGCACTTGCAGTCTTATGCTTGAGTGCCTGCGCTGTTTTGCTGCTGCAGGTCATTCTTCCTCGCTCTTCCGTGTTTGCTAGCCATGCGCAAAACCGTGTCTTTGGCATGGCCTCATGGGGGTCAAGATGGATCAGTTTCATGCAAGGGGCTCTGGTGCCATAGTTTCTCACCAAATGCTGGGCCACGTCGAAAGCCACATCGTATTTCTGCGACAGCCGCACGGCCAGGTTCTCGTGATATCCTGAACCATGTTCAACCAAGCGACCAGTGCTTTCCACAATTCGTCGTACAGTAGGCCCCCAAGGGACAGAACAAAAATGTGTGCTGCAGCGCCGGTATTCATCTTCTTACAACACGAATATTAATTTCTAGCCCCGCCACCTTCCGGAAACTCCTTCGTCTTTCCTGTTCCCAGCAGTGGTGTCTCCAAGGTCTTGGAAGGGCCGGCCTACATGCGATTGCGATTCTGCTCTCAACCAGCAGCACCCTCTATGCTCCATAAAACTTGCTGCCTTTGACAATGCTATCCGTGCACCTTCTTCTTCAGATCCGGGTGGCGCTCTACAACCTGGTCAACACCATCCTCTGCCATCTCTCGCCAAGTCGTCCACTTTCCACCAGAAACGAAAGTTATGCCGTTCGTGGGATGGTGCGACACCTGGACCCAACGATGCTTGAGCTTAAAAAAATCTACAGGCGTGCAGCTGTGTGCTGGAACTTTGCCTTCCTCGACTGTGCGAGTGTGCACAACTGCATTGCAAACTGCGGGAATTCATGCTGCCACGGGGCAACGTGGTCACGAGAAGCAGAGCTTTGATCTTTGGCATTCGGATCTCCGCAAAGTGGGCGAATGCCATACCATGCCGACATTACATCTCCTTACTTCAACTCTGTTTGTCATGCAACAGGTTTTCAAAAGTTTCAAAGATAGAAAAACACAAAATCAAGCCTGGTCAAATTATTTGGCTATGCTGGCTGGGCTTTTGGTCGGTGCGGATGCCACGCGGGCACGTAACGTGCAAGTGTGCTGCGCGAAGGGCTTCAAGTCTTACTTAGCCGCCGTTAGCCGATTCGGCAAGAAGTCGGAGATGTCGGAGATACTTACTTTCCCCACAAATTCGGCTCAATGGCGTCAGCGGGCACGCTGCCACGAACCAGGTTGGGGAGGGGGGGGATAGGGGCGTGGCGACCTCTTCAGGCACACGCTTGTAGTCAATACAGTACAGGTCTGGGTCAAAGGCCGCTCACTCACTCTAACCTGATTATAGCTGATTAGGACTGAACACCTGTCACTTGCAAGTCATCAGGAGCAAATAAAGGAGGTGAACCTGCCAACTGCCACCAGCTGTCTCACAGATCGCAAAACACGCAAGATGACTCAACATATCGCAACATACTCACACGCCGACCTTATCTTAAAAACATGGTCGGAACAAGCGGCATGGTCTTTGAAGGCCTTCTATACCAAAAAAAGCAAGAATCAAAATTATGGAAAAACACCCTTCTCACGGCCTTGTGAGACATTGCAAGACCATGGCCTAAGCATGCCGTGGCCCGCTTGGCTGAGACTTGTTCTCACGTGCTGCTGCAGGGTGCTTCTTTGGATGTCCCAGCTCATCCTCGTTCGCCTCGGCCGCCTCGATGAGGTAAACTCGGAAACACACATCCGATGAAAACTCCAAACCTGGCCCATGAAAGTCCAAGAAAAGAAACATGGCCCACATTTCTTTCTCCTCGGCTGCCCACGCTCGTCGGGTTTTCCATCCACGCAGCACGCGCCACTCCTGTTCGACGGCTTCTTCATCGAATTGGTGAAGAAACATTCTGCCAGGTGAAGGGGCATCACCTTGGGCCGACTTGGGCCTGTCCCATTCGAAGATGAAGATAAGCAACGACTGGGGTTTGATGAGACGTCGACCACGTTGCAGCAGCTGGTATCGACTGTACAGGCGAAAGATGAAGAGTGCTTAGAGAGCTCAACGCGAGAGTCACGCAGCCATACTCTTTGAGCACTCTTTGGGAGGCGCCCTGCACTGTGAACTGCGAGCGGGGCATGAAATCAAGAACAACCTAGGTTTGGGGCCTCGGTACCATCTCTCCTGGTTTGGTCACAAATACATCTTTCCATTTATCCTCGAATGTCTCCAACAAGTTCATGTCTTCCTGTACAGGATTGTACAGGGAGCCAGCCATTTTCTCAAACTTCTTGATGGGCGTCAGGTCTGGAAACCTCTACCTTGATAAGGCTGGCTGGTCGTGAAAGCCGGCTGCTGCTGTAGCTCCCCGGGTCTTCTGCATGCTCTTCAGCTGCGCCTGAGCTCTGACGGTCTCTTCGCCTTGAAGAGCTGCTCCTACTGCTGCAGCTGTTGGTAGCCGCCACTCCTGGTTCACTGGGCTGGGTTTTGGGCTGAGTTATTCTGTGCTGAGCTCGGCCTCGCTCAAAGCATGCTCAAACGACTCTCACGCTGCGCGTGAGAGTCTTCTAGTTTCACCTTCAGGGGAACTTAAACACTTGACTGTCGCCGAAAGCTGCTGTTTTCTTTCTTGCTTTGCTTTGCAGCAGTCAGAGAGACAAATGGTGGCTTTCGCTTCGAGCTAGCAGCTGTCTGACGACTCGTCTGAGCCTGCTGTGTCGGGCAGGTGTCTGAGCCTGCTGTGGTAGGCGGGCTCTCTCCTCGTCACCTAAGCCTGCTGCGGTGCGTGTGCGCTGTTTCCTCATCATCGAAGCTTGCTCCTCGTTCAAATTTCCAGCGTGAGCAGGCGAGAGAAGGTTCCTTTTTCTGCTGTGTCAGGCGAGTGCTGCTACCCAAGTCGTCCGAAGTGAGTTCTTCCTGGTCTTCTGCGGAAGATCTCTCAAGTCTGGCTCAGGCTGTGACTGGCTGTCCTCCTCAGTGCCGTAGCCGCGTCGCAGCCGTCGTGGCCACCACCACGTCTAAGCACTTCACAGGACGCGGACGAGTTGGAAGTCAAGGGCCAACAGTTCGCGTGAATGGACCAAGGCGATGTCGCTGTGTTTATGGGTTGAGTTACGGGCCACGGGAGAGTTTCTGGATCCTGGCCATGGTACAGTGACAGCATTGAGTACGAAAACACCGGTTTAAGCAAACGAGCGGCTGGGCCGAGAGCTGACACCCAAAAAGTACCGGCAAAAGGTGCTTTACTACAATAAGAAATCCAGGGCCAGGGTCCCTCAGATTTGGGCCCGAATTTTCTTGCTTTGGGGGCGTCTCCGGCGTAGGAACATAAAAAAGCAAAGAAATTCAGGGTGCAGTTAGCGCAGTTTCCTGAGCTTGGGCCCGTGAATTACACCCGGGCTTCCGTTAACTTAGGTATTTGAGGGTGGCCTTAGGCTGGGGCTGATTTTCTATTGAGTCGAACCGGAACTGCGAGGGTTGTTTACATCCAAGCCTCTGACCCGCTAGCGGGCAAGGCCGGCTGCAACCGCAGTAGGTCTTCTACCGCAGTAACCAACAAACAGCATACATGCAGTCACTGAGGAGTTCAATCAGGAATTCAATTTCAATGTCATGGAACAGACTAAGGCAATCTCGGCGAAATCGATACAACTTGTGTCAAGGTGAGCGTGAAGACAAAAGCCGACGATTGCATGCGAACATGTTGCAGACTATGAAGCAATGAGCGATCCAGTGATGCATCGAAGGGATGGTGAAGTTGGACAAGCCGGGGTTCATGCTGATTCGCGGAGCTGAGGATTTTGTTGTTTCCTTTTGGGCCTGAAAATGGATTCTCTTATTCCCTAAACCCTAAACCCTAAACCCTAAACCCTAAACCCTAAACCCTAAACCCTAAACCCTAAACCCTAAACCCTAAACCGTGGGCTGGGCCTCCTAGTTGGAAGGGTTGAGGAAGCTATTTGGGATGGCTTTGAAACCGGTTTGGAGCCCAAACCTAGCTGAGAAATCCAGAACTGTACCCAGAGTGTAGAGGTATACTTTTGGCTTGCTTCGGGCCCTGCAATAAAGGATTTATTAAATGCTAAGAAATTTAGGGGTGTCCTCGGGGTGCGAGGCTCCACCTGGAACAATCGTGGAACTATCGCCGTCTTATCCAGCACTGTGTCCCAACCTGAGCTAGCAAACATAACTGAACGCTGCCCAGTCTCGTCGACGCACTTGCAAGTTCGGTGACAAGTACTTCTCACATTCATTTATCAAGTACTGTATCTCGTCCTCCAGATGGGCAAGTTTTCATAGTTGAGACCACGCCTGTATCTTCACAAGAGCGCGCGTACTCATGGCTCCAAATTAACCAAAGAAAGCGAGAGAATAAGGAGAACACGTATGTGCGCAACGATACAAGCGGCTCTCCTCTGGCACCTGGTGATGCAAGTCAGGCATGGTCTTCACATCTGTGGTGCCGACAAGCGTGTAGCCCTCCCACGGAAGGAAGAAGAGAAAAGAACCTGCATCGGAACATGTCAAGGCTATGGACTTAAGTTGTTTGGATACCATTCCTTGCCCCAGTGACCTCTGGAAGTCATCATATCGACCATACCAATGTGGCGGGGGCAATAATATGGCCTTCAAGGCCATGCATGTTGAGAATTCCTGTGGTTGGACGAACAGCGTTTGGTCACTGACTATTTTTGCACTGCACAGATCTGTCCAAGCTTCGGAAGAACAATGTGCGTACCTCCCATGGCATTGAATGCGGCGACAAATGTGAAGATGATGGAGCTGCCGGCTGCGCAAAGCGTCATGTTTGTGTATGGCTGTACCAGCCTCCAGAAGCATTGACCATAGGCTTCACATCTTTCCCCTCGCTAAGCTGCCGCAGGCCATCTGTGAAGGGGCCACCGCAGTAGACAATCTTCTTGGCCTGTCTAATACGTTAGGACATGTTGGGGCGAGCTTGTGAGGCATTGTTTTTTGTCATGCCTGACACATATCAAGCATTATCAAGCGGTCAAAGCTGGTGAAAGCCTTGACGGTAAAGGGCTTGGCTGCAGGATCGGTCTTGTCAAGCACCTCTGGCATCACATCCAACTACTCTGACACCGGCTCACAAGAAGATGGTGGCTGTCCTCTGCACCCTCGGCGACACCATTGGCATCAAAGAGTATCTTCTCAACCTGAAACTTTGTGGCGACTTGGTTAATCAGCATTTGCAAGGTTGTGCAAGAGGGTGCGACATGGAGGAACGCGGGGCCTTCGCATAGTTGGTGATGCATGACCCATGCATTGCCGCGGTGAGAGCGATGCAGAGATTGGTTCGTGCGTCATTGTGCTCGCCCTCATAAAACACCGATACGTACTTCATCCTGGCAGAAACGCGCGCACTGTCTCTTTAATGCAACGTTTTGAACTTAAACTGTCATACATCACCAGCTGCCTCTTGCCATCCATTTGTGGAAAGTCTGTTCTGGCTCTCTCTGAAGACATGACATAGGAGCTTGGCGCAACATACCTCCAGGCGCTGCTTTCACCCTGCTTCTGAACTCGGCTAGTTTGACCTGTTTGACAGCAGCACCGATGCTTAAGCAAGATATCTTTTCAACCGTTAACCAAGTTAACCATCCCTCAAAATGATTCCAGAAAGCTGACCAACACGACCTTTGTACACTCGCTCACTGTCAAGTCCCGTAGGAAAATTGGAGGATACAGAAACACATCACGCGTGGCTTGTGGGAGGGAGTGTCGTCCCCTTTTGCCTTCCACGCATGTCTCCCAGATGTCTCGATGCTGATGCTGTGATGCGCGTCTGTTGTCTCCCACTTGTTCCCCAAACGGCTTGACCCGGTTAGAGCTGGGGGTTCTTGATTTGTTCAGCAAAAGGGGTTTCCGTGTTGCCAACGTCTTGACGCTGGCTGCTGTGAGGCTGCCGTCTCCTCCCATTTGTCTCCCATGCGACTCCCACGTCTCGACGCTGGATGATGTGACGCGCCTCTACTAGATATCGACGCTGGATGCTGTGAAGTACGTCTGGGAGAGTTGTCTCCCCCCCTTTGTCTCCCAGATGTCTTGACACTGGATGCTGCGACGCGCGTGGGGGACTCCCAGTTGTGTTTTATTTTGAAGTGAGCATCCCCTGGAAGCTGTTACAACCGCTTGCGACTGTTGTGTTAGCTGTGTGCCATCTCTCTTGTTGTCTGGATGCTCTGATGCTCTGATGCCCGTCTGGGACTGTTGTCTCCACTTGTCTCCCACGTCTTGAGCTGGGGGGGGGGGGGGGTTTCTTTGTTTGTTGCAGGAAAGGTTTCTGTGACGTTCTTCTGGCCGTTTCGCGGCGCTACTCCAAAAGTTGTCCGTGATTTGTCTTCTTTCTGAAGTGAGCAGACCCTGGATGCGGCGACGCCTCTCTTGGACTGTTGTCTCCCAATTAAGACCCGGATGCCGTGACGCCTGCCGCGACGGCAGATTCAGGTGGGCAACAAAAAGTCGCTTTTGCTGTTTTCCAACAGATGAAAAGTAGTGGTCCTCAACTTGTTCATTCTCACGTTGTTTTTTGTTTCCCCTTCTCGCCCCTGTGAATGCATGTTTGTTTCTCTGCTGGGCCCCCTTTTTAGTCTGCAAGCCGCCTTTCTTACTCTAAGATCTGCAAGCGTTCTTCTGTTTAATCTACGGGATCTTTTTCTTGGTCGGGCTGTCTCGGGGGGTTTCAGGGCGCCTGGCTATTTCAGAGAGGCTTCTTCGGGTTTCAAGAGTGCTGCTTAGTGCTTGAATGGGGGAGAAATACCCTCGCACCGTAAGGCTGGAACCACAAGCCTAAACCCAATCCTTGACCCGAACAACCCATGCTTCCACAAGCATCCATGCGTTACTTCCACAAGCCTCGATCTTAAACAGAAGTGCTCAATCGATCACGTACATTCTCCACGCGAAGGCGGCGGCTTCCCACTTCTTCATACTTGTCTTCCAGTAGCAGTTTCGACATAGGTGTCTGCTTGCTCAGAATGGGAATAAGCTAGAGTTCCTGGAGCATAGGACAACATTCATGCTTTGGTGACTGGACAGGACATGCTGTTGGGGGTGCGGAATAGCAGGGAACTCCGTGGAAACAGAAACCCGATCCCCGGAATAGGAAATGTAACCGTGAGAATGAAACAAAAACTCCTCTGAGTTGCCTTCAATCTTCATCAACCCCACACAAGAAATCCCGGCAAGCCCCGGCCGCAAGACAAAAAATGATCACAACCAGACGTATATAGATATTATCATATTCTTACACGGTGAACAAGCGTCGAGCTTTTTCGTCTCAGATGGACCCAGGCACTGTCCCAGAAAGTCGTAGAACTTGAAGAAGACAACGAACAGACCCGTGCACGGCCCAAGCGCAGCTGGTGGATAATCCTTGGAGGTCACACAGCCTACAAATAGTTACCGCCAACATGTGCTGTCTAAGCTTTAAAACATTTACGAATTCTGCTGAAACCATGTCCAATGCAAGAAAGCCTCAAACGGTGGCGGCCAAATGATCCATTTGTCGAGCCTGTGGCAACACTCAGCTAGTAAGGTATCTGCTTGCAATCATGGGTTTCACTGCTCACATGATATGCTCCATGTGTTCGATGGCTGTCAATGCTTCAACTTGTGGAAGCTCTGAACAGTATGGACGATACACCTGGTCCAATCTACCTAAGCTTCCTACACTTGAAGACTCGAGCCGTGTGTTTGCAGTGTTTGAGATTTTGCTGTTGCCTTGAACTCCGATGCCAATGGCAGCTGCTGCGTGTAGGAATTACGTCCGCTACAAGATGCCAGCCGGGCTGGCTTATCTGGCTTTGCTATGCCTTTGCCTTAAACTTTACCTAGGACCTATGCTTTACTTGGCACTCCTTTCTCACTCAGTCCAAGTGGCGGAACGGCAATGGGAATCCAATTAGTGATGTGTGGATTCATGGTCAGCATGTACGTCCTCTCACGGAAGCATCCCAAGACCTGGAGCCGCGACTTGTTGTTCATCGCAAGGCCTAGATATTCTTGACTCCCTAGATGCTGGGCTGCCCACCATGTGCCATGTTCCCGTGAACTCCTTAGCATCAGAGGTCCAAGAGTCCGAAGGCTGGAACATTAAACAAGCGGGCCACTCTCACACGCAGACCTCATCCAACACAACAATGGGCAGTTCCATGATAGTACTTGGCGGCATCAAACACCCCGCTGCTTAATGCAAAAAGCCGACAGGACAGAACTACCTCAGGGGTTCGAGCCAGGATAAGCAGTGGGGTAAGCCTTCGCTGCCCCCGCAAGCAGGCAAGTTTTTGCGTGACTGCACGTTTTGCCATCCAGCATCGTTCCATGCCGCCATTGGACTCAGCAAGGAAGATGGCGAGAAAAGCTTCACCAAGCCCTTCACAAGGTACCGCGAACCTTGCACGCAACATCATACAACCAAATCTCAGAAGCAAATGAAAAGATGCATTAAATACATACACATAAAATGTGTACACATATGTAATGTGGTAGCGTTGGCTCAGAGACTTAGAGATGTACGGTATTCCGTGCCCCGTCTTGAGCCTGCACCACTCGCATATCTGACGTATCCAGCAGGATTGGGCTTGAGGGCCAAGCGCAAGGGAGGCACCAAGTCTAGCAGGAGCATGCCCTAGCGAAATTTAAATGCCACATTTTGCATGAGAAGAGCCAGCCCAAAGGAGCTTCGTGGATTTGGAAGAGGTTCCGGACGCAAAGTCTTCCTCGCAAGCTCATGATCTTCGAGATCCACACGGCCGAACACCTTTAAATCAGGGTCTATCTACGCTGTCTGCTCTGTGCACGTCTCAACCATCCAGCGGATCTACATCGCAGTCCGCTCCTGCTCCACACATGCCACCTTCAGTCCTCTTAGTTGCGCCTCCAAAGCAACGCCAGCACCTCGCGAGCCGTGGCATTGCAGATTTCCAAGCATGACCACATGTGCCCACCTGTTGCACCGCCGCCGACCACTAAGATGTCAAATTCTTCGCCACTTGCTAATCGCTTGATCTGATCAGCTCGTGTAGGTACCGGCTTCTCGTCCACAGTCCTCGCCACCCAACAGCTGTCCAAGACATAACGGGGGAACAAACGCATAGCAGGCAACCATCAACTGCCTGAGCGAAGCCTTCTGGATCTGTGCTGGTGCGATATCAAGTGCAGGTTTCCTGTCCTGATTTTCTTCTCGCGGTCCTAGCACACCACACAATTCGGAAATGGACGAGCATTCGGACCTTGCAAGATGAATGCACTCCTGCCGCTTCTTCTCGCTGCTGTAAGAGAAAGAGGCAACACCAATGGCAGCGGTCGCAACAGTTCCAGTTGCCAGTAGCCTTGGTGGCTCACACCAACCCGGAAACAACTCAAGCCATCCACAAGCTCATTGACAAATGCAACTGTTGCAACGAATTGCAACGAATTGCAACGAATTGCACAGTACGCCTTTTGCCAAGATGCAGCCTGCGTCTCCACTTTGAGGATCTCGTGACCTCTTGCGCATGAACCATTGCATCAGTCGGATCAAGGCCATAGAACTTGTTGAAGGCAGCTCGCGGAAAACTAATCGGTTCCGCTCTTGCTCTACCTACCTCGTCAATTTTTCTGCATTCTCGGATCGAAGCTGGCGTCCTGCCTCAGCATTGCTGGCGAATCGGCGACCAATGAGCCTTTGCGAGATAGGTGCTGCTCGGCGCAGCATGGGCTGCCAACACCTGTCGACCAAGAAGTCTTCACAGCTGGTTCATCACACAGGCCAACAAACTGGTTGCAGGCAAGCTACTCTGGTCAGTCTGAGCACTCAATCTCGGGGCGTAGACCCGGAGAAGCACAGCTCAGATCTGTTGCATGATCTTGAGGGCTGAAATGCGGCGTATCCGAGTCACATCTCAAGGGGCATGGCAAAACTCACTCATCTCTACTCTCTGCACTCTGTGAATATGAATGAATTTGATATACGTCAAACGGCCCATACCACACAAGGCGCGGGCCACAATCGACTGCAGGACCTTTTCGGCGGAAGCCCAACCTTGCCTCAGAGCGCGAGTTTCATCGCTGCATCTGCTGCATAGTTCTGACACAAGAAAGCAGCTTGAAATTCTGCCTGCCCGCGAGCACCGTGTCCAGAAAGGCTTTGTCTAGCACGAAATCAAATCGGTTCGACCAGTCCTTCTGCGTATGGTATGCATCTGATGTTTTGCATGGGTGGCAGTTGCAATGCCGCCATGCGGCCATAAGTGTAACATAAAACGCGTGTCAATAAGCCGGGAGCTCCTGTGGCAAGGTTGAAGCATCTGCAACTTCGAACTCCATGGCAGCCTAAGACAGAGAAAGAAGCCACTGAAGATGCGAACCCACTTCGCATGCATAAGCAGCTTGCCTTCTCTTTGTGCTTTTCACGAAGGGAAGCAATGAGCTCAGCCTATGTCGCACATCGCAAGTCACTTCATCGACATATCTCCTGACCTCATGCAAACTAAACTGTGAAACGTGCGATCGGAAGGTACTATGGCATACTATGGGGCGCAAGTTTTGAGACAGCCATGGCAGACAAGAGGCACACTGGTCAACCTTAGGAGAGCAAGCAACCACATGCAGCGATAAAAACTTGATAAAAAACCCAACGTCTCCCTCTTCCTCCTCTTCGTCTTGTTGTGTGCAGCGTGCTAGTTTGCTGTCGGCGCCCCTCCACCCTGCCCTACAAACTGCTCACGCACTCGTTTCAAAAAACGGCCGGCGACATTCTTGCACTGCACTTGACTGCTCCGCCTGTCACTTTGAGTCGCGGTGGGCCCGGCCATGTTGCTCGGCTCGTGCAGAATCCTTCTCAGCAGTTCCACCTGAGTCCTGCACAAAATAGGTGGCGAGGCCAGGTTCGTCAACATCCACGTCTTTCTCACTTGGAGCAAAAGCACTTTAACAACTTTAACGCTATAACCCACACGTACCAACAAGACAGACTAGACCTGCAGACGTTCTTTCTGCTGCAACAGCGTGTGTGCCATTCGACTCTGCCATGTAGGCGGTACGGCTCACACGTGGTGATACGATGCAAACTACCCATGCCAATGCCGGCTTCCCTGACTTGTTCGTTACGCAATTTTACGCATGTATGTCTTAGTTCAGCTCAAGCCTCCTTCCTTTCAGCCAGCAGGGCCCGCAAGGCCGCAAGGCCACTCCAAAGCGTGCGCTCCATACGCGAGTCTGCTGGAGTGAGAGGACGCCCGACGCAGTAGCACCCCCGAGTTTTCGGCACCCACTTGTGAGACCCCACGACTGTCTTTCGTTCTTGGGGGCTTGAGGGCACAGGGCCCCTGCCCAGTGCGCGACTGTTTTCCTTCCATCCCTCCAGCGCACATGGCCCCGCGAAGAGACCGTGCTCCACCGAGTGTGTTGGTATGTGAACAACGTATTGACACCACGTGGAGCTTTGTCCCCACGGAAGTGAAGGCCCACCTTGGAAAGAAAAGAAAAGACAAGACAGAAAGAAATAAAAAAGAAAGAGAGAGAGAGAGAGAGCCCGAGTGTCACTATCGGTGAGAACCTTGACCGCTCTCACCCTCCTCCCTCTCCCCGCAAGTCGTCGTGGTTCTTTCGGCATTCGGGTGTTTGATTGATACATGGGAGGGAGATCTTTCATCGGTATACTCAACGGACATACTCACCACCCCACAGCCACAGCCATCCCTGTAGTGAGAGGACATCAAACTCGTCATGGGCAGGGGCCTAAATTAAGGGCGGACCTTCGAAACATCGGTCCTCCACCCACACACACACACACTTTGCACGTTTTTTACCCCTCTTTGGCTCTTTCAGGCTCTCTCTCCCTCCCTCTCCCTCCCTCCCTCCCTCCTACCCTCTCCTGCCACCTCTGGGTATTCCTCACATGCCTCCCTGTATCTCAGGCGCGTGCACATGTAATCTTGGATGCCAGGCCTGCCACACAAGCTAAGCCCTGACACTATGCCGCTCTTGCCGCTCTTGCTGCTGCTCTTTGCTTTTCTGCCGTCCAGGCTGAAGCAGACTGAAGCACTTTGAGAAGAAACAGGCTTCACATGTACGGAGCTTCAGTGAAACATGACAACCGCGGATGACAGCATTCTTGCGCCGGACAATCACAGGCAATGAATTGAGATTTCGCCCTTCGAAAGCTTAAAAGAGGGTCCACCCGCGCGACTTCTCATTCGCTGTCTAAATCAAGGCATTCAGTCGCTGCGACTCTGGCGCCAAGAGGGACTTTGAAGGCTGTTTGCCGGGGTTCGCTTCTCGCCAGGGCATGCTGCTCCTGCGGCTCCTGTGGTGCCGTGTCCAGCCAGTTCAGCTCAGCCACATGCGTGAACTCACCCAAGCTTCCTTTGACCTCGTCCTTCACCTCATCCTTCGCCTCGTCCTTCATCTCATCCTTCATCTCATCCTTCACCTTGTCCTCGACTTCATCTTTTGCCTCACCTTTCACCTCGACCTTGACAGAGAGCTCTCTCTCCCGCAAGGCTTGCGTGAGTGTGGGATGCGTGGGATATGTGGGATGTGTGGGATATGTGGGATGTGTGGGATGTGCGGGATGTGCGGGATGTGTGGGGTGTGTGGGGTGTGTGGGATGCGCAGGGGAAGACATAGGAGAGTTGGCCAAATTGGGGCGCAAATGGGCGAAGTGCTCCCGTAGGCATGCAGCGGCTGCGTTTGCATCCACCTTGTCCACCATGAAAGGATGCAGCCATTGTGGTAGAAGGCTGGCCTTCCTTAAGCAACGAGAAGCAGCAGCTGTGGCGACAGTGGGTATGAGACGGCATGACTAGGCATAGGACCGTAGGACTTTTTGGCTGATCTGTAATGACAGAACAGGCAGGGGATCAAGGAAACTTCAAGGGTGGGCGAGGTCAACCCAATGCAAAGTGCAGATGCCAGGATGCCAACCACCATGCTGCCCATCTACTCCCCTCCCCCGAGTATTAAACCCCCCCTACCCCCCTAATAATAAACACGCCCCCTTACTCTAATATAACTATAATCGGGGTAGGGGAGTATGCTTTCCGGCTAAAGATGGGTTCGACGACATGTTCCTCATGTTCCTCATGTTCCTGCGCTCACTTAACAGTGACGCAACTGGAGCCATGTTGCAGCATGTTACGGTCTCAGAAAGCCGAGCTAGGGTCTGAGGAATGCCAGGTTTCGCAATGGGGGAGGAGGAGGAGGAGGAGCAACAGTAACAAAGCCTACAGGTCTACAGACGCCGAGATCCCGACTTTGATGGGTTGGGGGACCTTCGTGCTCTCGTCAGAAAAGACCCACGGCGGACCACTTAGATCTGCCAAAATAGGCCAAGAGTCCCCAGTTCTGCCCAGCGACTGTCTAACAGCACGAGGGCGCCAAAGTCTAGCGGATGACGAATGCAACGGCCCAGAGCCTGTGCGACGGCGTGGAATGCTTTGGACTCATACCACGCATCTCCAGACACGGCACCATTGGATCGCGAAACCCAGAAGTCATTGAACGCTCGCTTCTGTGCAATCCGCTCTTCGGTCAGATTCGGGAACGGGATGCCGATGCACACCACCCCACGTGCGAAGTCATCATCAAAAGAAACTCCTTCACTCATCCTTCCGCGGTAAACTGCCAGCAGAACAGCCTGTCCAGTCTGAGAGATTGCAAGTTCATACCGCTGCTTGGCCGCTTCATAGATGCGAGCTGCGGAGGCTGTGGATTGCGTGGATTGGCGAGGTGGCGGTTCCACCACAACGGTTCCTTTTGCATTCTTCAGCTGATCCAGGATGCTCTCACCAGTTTTGGGCGCTTCCTGGGAGACCCGTTCCACGGCACGATGCCGCCGCTTCTTCGGGGCGATCTTCGCCTTCGCGCTTCCTCCGCCTCGTTCAGACCGTTCAGACCGTTCACTTTGTTCACTTTGTTCACTTCCCCAGGCCGCCAGGCACCGGTCCAGGAGGTCGTAGGAAGGGAGGAAGACCAGGATCCCGGCAGGGATGGCTCCACAGATAGTGACCAAGGCAGCACCTACGGAATGCAAGAAAGGTATTCTCTTCCATGCCTGGAAAGTGCATTCCAGCTTTGAATCCAAGCTCTGTGATTGTGACACGCTCACCACTGTCAAAGCACCGCGTCCCACGACGTGACCGGCTGTTAAAGCAGGAAGGGCACGGGAATTGAATGTCGGGCCAAGTTCGGAAATGGTTGCCGGCAGTGGGGAGAGAGTCCCCGACATAAGCAAAATGCTGTGGAGTTCCGAAACAAGGCTTGCAAAAGTCCCTTCTGCACTCATTAGCCAAGTTTGCAGAGCTGCCCGCTGACAGCGCCCTCCGTGCCCCTCGGGTCGCGCGTGGACCACGTAGAGATCGGGACTGCGCACTGATTCAGCGAGCTGGTGGACCAGCGAAGCAACAAGCTCCAGTTGTGCAGAAAAGGTTCCACTTCCCCCAGCCAGCTCTCGCAGCAGGGCTTCTCCACGAGGCCCAGAATGCACAGTACCACGGCCAGCAGAAGCAGCAGCAGAAGCAGCAGCAGAAGCAGCAGCATCCGGGCGCAACAGCAGATCAGAGTCGAGCTTGAGCAAGCGCAGGAAGGCTGACACTTGGCGGTGCTCTGGAAGGTGCGGGGCATATATAACTGGTTCATTCAAGTCAGATAAGAAATTGCATATGCGGCCTAGTAGCGAAGAAATAGGTCGAAGAGCGGCAGTCATCCCTGAAGCTTTCCGTTTCATGTCCGGTGCATGTGGACCTGATGGCCGCTGGCTGGTCGCCGCTGAGACAGTGGCGGGAAGCATGAAACCACCCAGCTCGTCTGAGGCTGGCGCTGCAGGCACAGCAAGCCGCTGAGCTTGTTCATTTGCCACCACATGCCCGGCATGCCCACCGTGATCTTCACCCAGCAACCGCTTGATCACTGAAAGGGCGTGCCTTGCTTGATCCAAAGTAATCTCGGCCGACCCTGCGTCGCGACAAACACCTTCGACGTTGTGGGCTTCATCCAAGATGATGATACGCCCACTCAGGTCTGCACAGCTCAATCCGGCCGCTTGGCGCACGGATGGATCCAAAACGTAGCTGTAGGGGCAGAATACAAGTTGAGCATGCTTCGCGAGAGAGTGCGCGACATAGTACGGACAAGAGCCGGTCGAATGCCCAAAGCTTGCCATGTCCTCAATGTCCCACGGCTCAGGGCCCCGAAGACGAGCCTGCGCCGATTCTGGCACCTCGGGCAAGGCCAAGCGCTCGTGAAAGCTGCAAGTCTTCTGCTTACGCACATGGCGACATGCCTGCCGAAGTTGCCCGTCATCTTCAGCAGATTGTAGCACCTCATCGTTGATGCACAAGCCAGCCTCCCTTGAGCCAAGAACGGCCATGATCGGCCTGTATGGCGTTCTTTTCAGTTCACGAACTGCTTGTCGAACTTGCGCATGTGTGCGAGTGGCATACATCAATTGTGGTGCACAGCCGGTCTTCATCATACGGTGCCGTTGCCAGGCTATGCAGGCACAGAGTACAGCTGCTGTCTTCCCTGTACCAGTTGGACTTTCGAGCACCGCATGCTTTCCAAGAACCAAAGCTTCCAACACGTTTCTTATAACTGCATGTTGTGGTTCCAGCGGTCCCTTCTCAAAAGGGAAGAGGACCTCAACTCCTCCCAAGTTCAACTTGTACCTGGCGTTGTGCTGAACGACTGGACATGGCTGGCCACTGACCATCCCCGGGGTGGAAATGCTACCGGAGCCTGTCCTCAGCGCGAGATTATGCAGCCGCATTGCGAGCGCATCGACCGGCGGAACGTCAGTAACTCTGGGATTTGAGGTACGCCCGGTAAGCCCAACGTCCGGCGCCCTCGCTGCTTCCGCCGGTGACTGTGGGCGGTCACCATTAAGCCGAGAGCGCTTAGCAGGCTCAGCACCAAAGGCTGCAGCATCCGGTGGGCCCACCTGTCTAGATGCGGCCTCCTCTGCCTCGAGAGCAGCTTGCAACAGCTCATCATCATCAATGTCATCCTCCCACATAAGAGCTTTTCAGCCCTGTCAGATAGCCAGCTACAGAGCGTGATGCATGCCTACTAGGATATCTTAGAAAACTATCCAGACTCTCCATGTGCTGCTGGCACGTCAACCAAGACTGAAACAAATAGAGAAAAATCTCAGTGCTGAAGGCGGTTGTCAACTTCGGCTAGTTGCACTTGACAAGGGACAGCAGTCATGACACAAATTAGCAACACATATTAGCAACATGAAAGGAACCAGTACCGGACAGAGGCGAGCATGTGCTGTGGAATGTCAGTCAACTGACCTTGGCGAAGCCCTGTGATACAGGCCTTCGGACAGAATCTGCTCTGCCACAGTGCTTGTGCCTCGCACTCTGCCACAGACTTCAGCATCCAGGCCGTGGAGGTCTCAAGCCAAGCGACCGCATCCCACGATCAGAATGACGGACCTCAACGAATTAGTCAGAGCGCTTAAGCCACTATGGCTGCTATGGCCAGCTGCCAGCATTTGACTGGGCTTAGCTGCGGCATATGTGTACTGCTCAGTATCTCGTATCGCGGAGGCCCGTCTAGAAACTATCTCAGGTCCGATGGATGCACCCCCAACAAAAGGTGTGTAGGTATGGCTTTGACTCAGGAAACTCTAAGGGCGAAGCTGCCCAGTGTGTTCCCTGCCTGTGCAACTAGACAGCTTTCCTGCATCGTGCCCTGAGAACGCTGACCAGGCAGCATCGCAAAGGATAGCGCTATCATAATGGTTCGAATGATCTAACTGTTGCTGGCTCACTGTCGGTGACTCTGGGATCCTTGCTCTGCTGTTAGCCAGTCTGAGACAGTCTCCTGGGCACACCGCATATGCTAAAGGTGCTCAAACATGTAGCAGATACACAGAAGTGTGGCCTTCAAATGCTCCCACTTCACGTACCTGTGGTCGGCACAGGCTTCAAAGCTTGACGTGGTTCAGCCATGTCCAGCCACTAGGAGGATGGTAAAAGTTGCACTTGCTCTTTCATCTTCTGCTTGAAATGTGGATCAACCTGCCCTCTTCCCATGCTGACAACTTTGCCTACCTTCAGGAGCTGTGGTTCACCTTAGGTTTCGAGTGTTGGCCGTATAGCTTTGCTAATTATTCCTGTCATTCGGTCCCTGTTGGATAATTGACCTCCTGGGAAAAACAAAACTGGCAGCGCGAAGGCGATTATGGCAGGGTAACGTAATGTGACAAGAATGTCTTGTAGAAGTGATTCTGTTCTCCCAAATACTTGTACTGCACAGATGCGAACTGTAGCTCGTATTGTCGGTTGGACGCATCCATTCCACTCTTCTGGCGGGGAAGGAGTACGGATATGACTGGCTTTGCTGCGTGCGTTTCCAAAGGCCACCTGAAAACTGCAGCTGTAACAGACGAAACTAAGCGAAAATCAGCAAACCATCAACTCAGCAAACCATCAACAGCTTATCTTCGAGAATGCCGCCTGCCTTGGAAAGGTCGAATATGATAAGCATCGTATCGCAGACACCGCACTTTTGTTTGCAAGTCTTGCAAGCTTCAAAACAAGTGTTTTTGTGCAACTGAAGCCCTGTTTCGTACAGCATGGCATCACCTGCATCGATGATCACAAACTGGGGAGCTGACCAATCAAACCTGGGCTTGAGCAATGTGTTTGAGGTCAATTCCTTTTCGGCTCTGCAGCATTTGAAGGTTACTGTAGTTGGACAAGGTCAAAACTCAACCCGTCCCCGAGCCAACTTTATGAAAGGCAAAGGGGGAGCAACTTTGAGGACCCGATTTGGCGAAAACTCTGTAAATGGCCCCAGACAATGATTATGATGCTGATGGTAATGAGCAGGTGATTTCGCTGGCTATTATGCTTCTGTTGCTGCTGATGGCGATAATGAATGTGCATGTAAAACATCAAAATGGTAATTCTGCTCATGATGCTGGCGATGATGCTGGCGATGATGCTGATGATGATGATGATGATGATGATGATGATAGTGGTGGTGGTGGTGGCGGCTGTGGCGGCAAGGGCCTGAACATGTAGATGACACTGAACGATAACGTGAAGTACGCAGATGATGACGGCAATGATGCTAATCAAGAAATGAAATGGCGCATGCGAACTTGTAAAGAAACCATCATAAACAGACCCCCACCCCTGTACGCATGGAACCCATTGTGACACTACTAATATTGACCCCTCCACCCCTCTTCGGCCCCCTGCCCCGCTCCCCATCCTGTGATAGAATCGATAACTCGTAGCTTTTCGGGGCCTTTCTTGGCCGTACCTGCCAAAGCTTTTGACCAAACTCAAGCCTGACTTCGCTAGCGGGCGGGCTTTTAACTGTGGCTTGGGCAAGCAAAGGGATTCACTCGTATGATAGAAGTATAACTCAGAAAAGTGTATGAAAACGCACAGCTTGTGCAATGGGCTTCTCAGCCCCCCTGATTGGGGTCCAGAAAGACATGTGCATCAGGTGTGTGGGTGTGAAGCCGGCCTAGGAGGAATGAACGAGCCAAAAGTGCCAACAGCCAACACGCTGCTTAAAAGGGGGTTGTTGTCGGGAGCATGGTATTAATAATTGCCGCTGCATGATACCATGCCGTCAACCTTCTTAAATTGTTTCCAAGGGGCGGCTCGAAGCCTTTCTCCTGGTAACGGTTGGACCAGTAGAGCGCGTGATCATAGCAAGGCCTATCGGCCCATTCGGTTTTAAACTTTCATGGACAAACTAGACACAATCGACACCAGATAGCTGACACGGTCCAACCCATCTTGAAGCGCACGAGGCGGTTACTGCCTGGATGGTCTTATCTCGGCGTCAAACCGCTCGGCATCCACCCCTGCAGCGGTTGGCTTTTGAGCAGTCATAGATAGAACAATGCCCCAAGAAGCCGCGGCATATGCCATGCTACTGCCTGGCCTGCCATGCGAAGCTCTGGCAGCTCTTGCTTGAAGTGAAACAGCTTGGCAATCGGCGACGTGCTTGACTATGTGTTCTGTCATGCACCCACTGCCATAGACAGGCACCACAATGTGATTCCAGGAAAGCCCATGGAATAGAGGCCTACTTATTGCCATCAATCTTAACATAGACATACGTGGATTATGCCATCGACATCGCTGTTGTTGAAATACCGGGGAGACAGCCCCGTAAACGACCCAGATCAACCCGAGCTGCTCGTCAGCGCCAACAGCTAGAGTCAGCTAGAGACAGCCAAGCTGCTCGTCACTAGTATACACATCGTCGGCACAGCTCAAATACTAGATTCGACATGACCTCACCAAAGACCTTGAAGCATACTGGCGCGAAATCTGGCCCCGGGAGAAGACCATCACTCACGACAGATTGCAACAAGATGCCCCTCCTTGGCCTCAACACAAACCCACCTACCTTGCCGCCCATCACAGACATGCTTGCCGCAAATGGCCCAGAAGCACTCGGAAAGGGTTCACTTGCACGCCTCCCGGCAGGCCACGCCGCCGATGCCACGTAGGTGGGGGCGCAGGGCTGGTTCGAGATTCTCGAGTGGCCGTGGACTTGGAAACACCCCCATGCCAGGACGCAAGAGGGCCGACTTACAAATTGCGGACACTACAAGTTGTACAAGCTCTCGAGCACGAAGAAAAAGAGACAGAGCACCTGCTTCGAGATGGCTGGCGAGCACAGCGTCGGAACGACTTCATCGGCTTAAACACGAAAGCAGCTTCGGCCATGGCTCCGCAGTGGGCAAACTGGCGGATCCTGCAACCCATGTGACGGCGCTGCGGCACAGTGGATCTCCCAAGCCAGGATCACCACACTTGCCACTGGTGCGGCTCTGCCACACCAGACACAATGCTCAGGCCTACGTAGCTCCAGCACACCTTTCCAAGATAGCCTGTTCCAGGCCCTTGGCTGGCCCCGCACCTAATATGTTGCAGACAAAGACCTTCTCAGACAGTTGGCTGAGACATTCGCTCACAAATCCTGCAGCATCGATACCCAACTCCCTGAACCCCCCTTTTCCGCTGCAGCAAACCCGCACTAGGTCACTGCAACTGGGAAAGGCATCCATTGGCAACGGCGCTGGCATGGAGGACGAAGAGTAGTCCATCTTCGACGTCTGCAGCAAGTGCGAGCTCCACTACTGCAGCCGACAACTGGCCAACTGCGGTGAGCTCACGTCTTCCAAAGCTCATGAGTGGTCTTGTCCCCGCCTCCGGGAGAGGCCTGATCTACGGGCAAGCGAGTCTCTCATGACCCATTTGGGTTGGCCACAGAGCAGATCCGATCACGATCTCCTGCGTGATTTGGTAGGAGTGCGCGGAAAAGTTTTGCAACACAGATACCCTGCAGGAGCGCCAGAGAGCGCCGAGGTGTCAGCAGACTGAAGCACTTTTTCCTCCCCTTCCACTTTCCCTCTTTCCGTAGGTCCGTGCCCTGGCGGCAACACTGCTGCAAGCGCGAGCAACGCTACAGCAGTTCAAAGATATCATCATCATCATCATCATCAGCAACTTATTGGACAACAGCGACGGTGTAACAATGCACAGCATGGACTTTAGCTTTACCTGCCGACGATCAGAAACACAGCAGGTACATCACTGAGCGCCTCAGTGACTACGGCAAATTTTGGACTCTCTCTCCTCTCGCTCTCTCTCTCTCTCTCCCTCTCTCTCTCTTCGTATTCTTCTTCTTCTTATTTTCATCCTCCTCCTCCTCCTCCTCCTCCTCCTCCTCCTCCTCCTCCTCCTCCTCCTCCTCTCCTCCTCGTCCTCCTTCTTCTTCTTCTTCCTCTCTTCTTCTTCTTCTTCTTCTTCTTCTTCTTCTTCTTCTTCTTCTTCTTCTTCTTCTTTTTCTTCTTCTTCTTCTTCTTCTTCTTCTGCTGGGCTTGAGGGAGTGCAGTCGCCCTCCCCCGCGCGCGGGGCGCGCCCGGCTGGTCTCATGTTCCAATGAGACTTTGCAGACAAAGGCCGGAGGCTTCCCCTGGGAAAAAACCCTACCCCCTCTCTCTCTCTCTCCCTCTCTCTCGCTCTA